TTCTGTGTATTGTAGCACCAGTAGGAGCCTTTTGGATTCAGCTGTGAAGAAAGATAGTCCTTGTCTCAATTTAATAGTTAGATCTTTCATGCATCAATTATTTTTATGATAATTATACTTCCATAGTTATACAACTAAAAGTACATTCACATGTCTCACTTAATACCTTCAACAATCTTTGAATCAGGTGTTACTCCCCATTTTAAAGGTGAGTAAACTAGGACTCTAGAGGTTAAATCATGTGCCCAATGTCCCTCAGCCATCACATGGGAGAACCATAACTTGGAGCTAGGTTTCAGACTCAAAGATCTAGAATAGTACTTCATCATCTTGTGCGGGCACACACTCAGATGCATGCCAGGGCCGGGCAGGTAATGTACATGAGTGAAGTAGGTTGCGTAGGGGCCTACTATGCACATGCCTCACCTGAAGAGGATCACCAACACAGCTTGATCTTACAGCTGTTCAAAAGAAACCCAGAATCTTGTTTGTATTCAGAATCTCTCATATCAAGGTTGGCCACTAATTCACATTCTTTTAAATACTGTGTGGGCCTAACACTGCTCATTTTTGGGCTAGGCCATTTGTTGGTCTGTAACCTCTGGTCTGTAAAATGCTCAGGGCTGTTCTTGGCACCATGGGGATACTTGGTGGCAGAAAACATTTCAAGGGCCTGCCCTGGTTGGACCACACAGAGCTTGGCACAAAGTACTCAGCTCTCTGAGTCCCCAAACCCTTGCACCTCTAAAGAAGGCAGCCTCTGTTCACCCAGAAGGTGCTGCAACAGTGTTTTATCACAGCCTCTGTGCCATGGCCAAGGGCAGCTGTAGAAAAGCCCATAGCGCCTATAATATCTCTGCCTTGTGTGGTGCTGGGTTTAGGACCAGTGTTCCAAAGGTCACTGCTGAATTAGAAAGAGCATACCCACAGGGGTGTCCTGGGACCTGCCCCTCAAAGATCTGAGCAGAGCGGCAACTCTCAGATGAGTCTACCTCCGCCCACCCCCTACCCCAAAGCAGGCCTACCGGGACACAGCAGTAACTATCATTCATCACCTCTTGGTTGTCTTGACAGTTTTAAACATCCGGCTGGATCTCGTGGCCTTCCCCCTCAGAATCCCGTGTCTCTGCGAAGTCGTCCTGGAGTTACTTCTCGGAGCGGCCGTGGAAACAGAGGAGGGGAACTGGGTTGGGGTGGGCATCAGATGTGGGAGGGGGGGTGGTGTGCTTGCTAGCTGGCAACAAAGCAGCAGTGGCCCTGCCCCAAGGCCACACGTGCCTGGTCAGGCTGGCTTCTGATGTTCAGTCCCCTGGGCTGGGACAGATTTTTTTTAACGTCTTGAAACTTAAACTGTGCTTGTAGGAGACTGTAATCTTTTTGTCTTTTTTTTTTTTTTTTTTTAAACAAACAATCTCCACCTCCAGTGGCTGTGACTGGTCCCAGTGATTGTACCTTATTGGTCGCTGTGGTCTGGGCGGGCCTGGAGCCAGAAGGCGACTACTGTTCCTCCCCCAGTCCACCCCATAAGGGGAGGGAGGGAGGTTTCAGACTCTAGTTCCTCTCCTTTGCCCTCTTACTCTCAAGCCTCCCTGGGCCCAGCAGAAGCAGTGGCCGGCTTCCTGAGCTCTGCCTGAAGATGGCCACCCAGCACTGGTTGGGTACAAGGGCTGAACCAGTGGCCACCGGCCATGCCTAGGAGCTGGAGCAAGAAAGTCAGGTGACCTCTGGCCACAGGGGCCGCTTCAAGCCCTCCCAGCTGAGAGGGGCCACTGTTTCGCCTTGTCTGTCAGTGCAGTGCCTGTGCTAAAGGTAGAGAGGTGAGTCCTATCAGATTCCCGGCTGGGGCCCTTTCACCTGCTCTGGCTCCTCTGCTCCCATGCTAGCTGTACTTTTTCTTATTCCAGTGGATACCTTCCCTTGATTAAAGGCTCTTCTTGCCCCTTTGGGGCTGCATGAGGTCTGTGCTTTGTGTGCATATATGAAAGGAGGGGAGGTGGGGCTTTTTCTTCCCTAAAACAATATGGCTGGTACTTGGGCCTGGGTCCACCACCAGAGACAGTCTTACTGGTTCCTGACATTATCCCTGCCAAGGCCCCTAATCTGGAGACCTTCATTGAATGTAGACACCACTCATTTATCAAACTGCTTTCTCTGCCTATGAAGAGCTTTGGTCCCTTCTACCTCATGAGCTCATTTGGGCTAAAAGCCAACCTCAGAGTGGTAATGATCCCATTTTATGACTAGGCAAATTGAGGTTATATGAGATGTAGCAGCTTGCCCCAAAGCTAGCCACTGAATGAGAGGGTAGACTTCAAATCCCAGACTTCTGCCGCTACCAGTTTTAAGACCATAGCCATGTGTGGCTATTTACATTTAAATTATTCAAAGTAATAATGTTTAAAATTAACTTCCTAAGTCCCACCAGCAACAAACATTTCAAGTGCTCAATAGCTACTAGTGACTAATGTCTGTGGTGTCAGATGGTACACATAGATAATAGTTCCATCATTACAGAAAGCTCTCTTGGACAGTGCTAGACTTGGTGAAACCTCAAAGTAGACACGTGTTTGAATCCCAACTCTTGCTGCTGAAGTTGAGCAAATTGTGAGCAAATTGTATTCTGTGCCTCAGTTTCTTTATAAAGTGGAGATAGTTAATGTAAACAATCTTATAGTACCTGCTAATACAGGTACTGAATAAACAGTAGCTGATCTTCCTACCAGCTCACTGTCCCAAGCTGATAATTCCATTGTGCTAGACATGGGGGATGACATCATCCCTATCTTGGAGCGACTTGGGGGACTAGTAAAAGCCAGATGTGTAAATAGATACACCAGAGTTTCATATTCACTAGTGTAAGTCTGGGAGGTCACAGGTCATATATTTATGAGAGGGTGCTAGAAAAAGTTTCAAAGGGTTAGCCTTTGAGCTGAGCTTTCAAAATTTTCTTCCAGACCACCAAAGGATCTCTGGAAGTGCAGGACAAGATAATATTAAAGGGAGGAGGGGCTGGGGGCAACTTGTACAGCTATGACTTACTCTGTGACCTCCCCGTCCTGCCTTGCAGAATGAGGTGAGCCCTCCCCTAGGGCACCTGGCTGTGTTCTAGCTTTGCAGTGAATGTTAAAGGTGCTCACTGTGAAGTCGATGCTCACTACAGGGCAGCTGCTCAATTCACCCTTGGAGGACAGTGTTGCTTGGGTGAGCCAGCCAAAATTTTGTCATGGATCCATGTTCCAGGATGTGGGGCCCCTGAAACCAAATTTGCTGCCTGATAAGAACAGACTGGGTGGCTTCCAATCAGCTTGCTCTCTCCTGGGGGCATAACTTTTGGGAAGCCCAGTCACCAGCCAATGGGGGATTGAGAATGGTGACCTGAGCAGTTGGGGTTGCCTGGACAGCTAGGTGGAGGACCCACCTTCACTGACTGGACAGATCTAGCCAATGACAACACAAAGCAAGTTTTTTAAGACCAGGATACTCTCTTCCCTGGAGTCTGCCTAAATGGGCACCGCTAGAGTTTGCCTCTCAAACTTTCCATATTTCCGTGACCAATAGACAACCTTTAGGAGCAATAACATGGGCTTATGTTTAACAATGTTTATGTTGAAGAGTGGGGCCTTAGAATCAGACCTGGGTTCCAGTTCTGACTCTAATGTGTGATGATGCAAATTATTTAACATCTTGGAGCTTTATTTATCTCATCTGTGATTTTTGAGGATACGACTTGGTCACTACCTCCAAAAAGGTTGCTTAGTTTTGTTTCAATGGCTGTGCCTAATTTTGATTACATTTTTTTCTGCAGTTGACTCAAACGATGATCTGTTTTTCTATTTCTAAGTTATTGTGGGGTAGGGGTGGGGAGGAGGGTGCTCTGCCTTGATCATTGTTTTTCACATCTATCCCCAAGGGTTTGCTCCTAGCCCCATCCGTCAGGCCCTGTAGATACCATCCTGCCTCATCAGGCTCCTGCCTCATCAGGCTCCAGCCACGTTGGCTGCCTTTTAGTTCTCCAGAGAGGTTCTTACCCTTCTCAGAGCTGTTGCTGAGACTTGCCTCTCTCTGGAATGCTATTCCTCCCCTGTTCCCCAGCTAACTTCTGACCTTTGTATACTGTAAGGCTTTGGCTTAAAAGTCACCTCTTCAGAGGATGGTCTTGACTGCCTTATCCAAAACATGCCCCCTTCCTAGTTTTAGTTCATGGCCCTTATCCTGCTTATAGCTGTTTTATACTTTTGTTGCTTACATTTTGTTTCCTCTCCACTGGGCTATGAACTCCATGAGGTTAGGGACCAGCCTAGCCCATTGCGTAGCACATGGTCCTCTATCAATACTGTGCAATGGGAAGTGCTGGATGAGGAACCATGGCACTGATAGTAACTGGTAGCCCTGTGCCGTGCACTCCCACCATCAGGGCTATGCTCATCAACGGTCTCGGGCAGGTGAGATTCAGAGTCTGCCTGCTTGAGAGAGCCCCGGAACCAGCCAGCCAGCCTGAGGGTGGTGAGGAATAGTTTCCAAGGTGACAACAAACAGGGGGCGGAGCCTCGGAATGGAGGGCCCAATTAGGGCCTTCGCAGGACCCTCCCAGGAGAGAAGGCGGCGCTGGGAGGGGGCGCATGCAGAGTCCTCACTCAGCGCTGCTCCTGAGCGCAGGGGAGCTGAGGGTATCACACCAAGGCTCCGCCGCCTGGTACCGCCAGGAGGGTGGCCCCTTATGCAGCTGGCCGAGGAAACAGCAGCTGCCCGAGCCACGCACCAGTTCCCCAGTTCCATGGCCCTGGGTACGCCACTCAATGTTGACGCTACCTCCAGAGACTCTGCCACGGCCCCAGCCCACTTCTGTCTGGCCCAGTGGGGCTTGTGCTGGTGGCGAACACGCAGCCCGCAGCCCCGCCTTAGCGCACAGCCAATGCCACACCTTGGAGCCGCTCACTCACAGCATTCACGCCCAGGGCACCACGGATCTACGCCCCCTCGGGCCCTCGCACACCCCAGCCCTTGATGATGGCCCGCTGCAGGACGGTGAGGCCCTGTGCGGTAGGCCCATCCTGGCCTGAGGCGGTGGCAGCGAGGAAGGGGAGATCTGGGGTGGAGGGAATGGAGGCTGGGGGAAGAACAATAAAGGGTGGGCATCTGAATGAAGGGTAAAAACAAGAAGAGCGTAGGCACTGGGGTTAGGAGGGATGCTAGGCTGAGCCCCCACTACGTATCTACGCATCTACGCATCTACGCATCTTTCTGCAGGTTCCCTTGTCCTCTGGCCAGGATTGTCCAAGGCGTCTCATCACATGAGCCGGCTCAGGAAAGCCAAGATCTATGTAGAGAGAGCTGTCAAGGTCGGAGAGTATCTGTGGGGGGCTTTGGAGGGTTTCTTCTAGAGTGGCTCAGCCTGCCTCCCTTAGCTAGGGTTTTTTTGTTTTGTTTTGTTTTTGTTTTTTAAGATTTTATTTATTTTTAGAGAGGGGAAGGAAGGGAGAAAGGGAAGGAGAAAAACACTAATGTATGATTGCTTTCTCGAGCGCCCTCTACTGGGGAACTGGCCCACAACCCAGGCATGGGCCCTGACTGGGAACTGAACTAGCAGCCCTTTGGTTCACAGGCTGGCACTCAATCCACTGAGCCCCACCAGCCAGATACTGTCTGAGCTGTCTTATCCCATCCTTAAAAGAGCAACCAAAACCCTTGATCCCACGCCCGCCTTCAAATATCTCCCTATTTTTGATACCCTTCACTTAGCAGACTTGTCTGCTTCTTTACCTGGGATTCACTCTCAGCTCCCACCACTCTTCTGAGCCTTCCCCGCGTCCTTCAGGAACCACTCTAGTCAAGGTCACTAGGGACTTCCCAGCAGCTCCTTTTCCTTCCTAATCTTGGTTGTGCACTCCATGTCATTCTCTACTGCTGCCCCACACACCCTTTCCTCTTGGCTGCCTGCTCACTCCTAGTTTTCCTTTCTCCCTCGCTGGCTGCTGATTTTCAGTTGTCTTTGAAAGTGGCGGGGCCTTTAGTAGTTCCTTGGACCCCTCCCCCACAGCTGCCTCCTTGCTTGTGCATCCATACAATGTGCTGTGCCCCCTACATGCCCTTCCTGCCCAGCTTGTGCTCTAACTTCACACCCAGTAGACCCAGTGCCTACTTGACACCTCCATCCAGAGAACTTGCAAGCATTTCCATGCCCCACACCATACTCCTGATTTTCTTATTTAAACCAGTCCTCACTAGTCTCTGGTCTTCCCCATCTCCTAGTTGCTCAAGCCAGAAATCTGATCTTTCTGTTCATTTACCCACACATCTACTCCCATCAGCAAAACCAGTAATCTCTATTTCTAGAACAAGTCTCAACTCTATTACTTTCTCCCCTTCTCCATTGTAGTTACCTTCATTCTAGCTATTGTGATTTATCTCCTACACAAACAACAACAGCCTAACTGGCCTCCCTACTTCCATCCTTGTCTTCTCCATCTAGTGGCCATACAGCAGCAAGCCAAGCTTTCCAGTCGTGGCACTCCCTCACTTCACCTTTAGTGCTTCACGCTGCTGTTATAAAGGGCAAGACCATTTCCAAGGGCTGCAGGGCCTTCCACAGTCTAGCCATGACCTGCCTCCTCAGGAGTGCTCCCCTCATTTCCACCTTCACCCTGGCAGCCTCCTGCCAGGTCCTTCAGACCTCTCTCCAGCCTCAGGACCTTTGCACATGCTTTTCCCTTTGCCTCAGCTTCCATTTCCCCAGCTTTGTAAAATTCATGACTTCTCCACCTTCCCTGACTGTGTATGTATTTCTAGTTTCTCTGGATCCCCATTAAGTATCCTGTTTTTGGGCCCAGCCAGCTTGGATTTAAATTCCTTTTTTTTCCCACTTAAGCACTGTGTGGCCAAGCTCCATTCAACCACTCTATGCTTCTGTTTCATAACAAGTTAAATGGGGATAATAGCATCTGTTAAAAACACATGTTATTCTTAGTAATATCTATAAATGCTTAGCACATAGTAGGTATGCAATAAATATTAGCTATTACCATTATAATTTTGACTATGCATATTTACTTATCTACTTGTTTATTATCTTTCTCCTTACTAGATTATAAAAATTCCCTGAAGGCAGAGCCCATAACTGTCTAGTTCACCATCCCCTATGTCTGGCACTTAGACAGTACTTACTGAACAAGAATCCTTCTTTCACCTTATAGGAGAAGAAGATATTTATGATTCAAGGCCGCTACCCAGTAATCCGGTGCCTCTTGCGCCAGAGGGGCTGGGTGGAGAAGAAGATGTTCCGCTCCTTGGATACCACCCAGCCACCACCCCAGAAGGATCTGGATAGTTCAGTCCTGGAGGATAACAACACCACTGAGGATGGTAAGCAGTTCCCTCCATTTCACAAGCTGCCTCTCTGAGTCCCTTTTCTTTGGTTCCCATTATCCCAGGGTTGAGACTTGGGTATGGGCCTATGGGGCAGGGACTGGGGCCTCACCAGGACTGGGCTCTGCATTGCAGAGGATGAAGATGAGGATGAGGCGTTCCAGCCACCACAACTGTTTGACTTCAATGATGCACTGGAACTTGATGACCTAGATGGGACACATGCTCTGATGGTGAGGGCCCAAGGGACTGGCAGGGGTCTGCTTAGTTGGAGGGAGAGCACTGGAGTCCAGCTGGATGGCGCCAGACAAGTTTTTTCCTTCCCTGAACCTCAGTTTCCCCATCTGTGGTAAAAAGTGATTGCTTCTCTAAAGCCTGGGTGGGCCAGCAGGGTGGTGAGAGACACAGTGGGGCTCAGACAAGACTGGCCTGGGATCAGAACTTGGCTGTATCAGAAACTGGCATAAACTCCATGCCTGGGAATTCCTCCTTCTAAATAAAAACCTCATAGTTCATCTCCTTCCTCTGCCCTTGGCAAGTGAAGGCTGGAAGGACGGGCTTAAAAAGCTCTGAAAGAGGCTGGTATGATGGTGTGGAGGATATGCATGTTGAGGTGAGGACACTTGGCTTTGAGTCTTGCCACCACTACTTACTAAGTTGAACTATACCCAGTTGCCATTTTTGTATGTCAGGAAAGGCTGAGCATTGGCAGTTTCATATGGCTCAACCTTGTCAGTCCTTGGACAAGTCACATACTCTCCCTGTGCCTCAGTTTCCTCACTCGTGAAATGGGGATAACAATAGCACCTGCCTCATAGCAGCATGGTGAAAATTAAATAAATCGACATGGAAAGTGCTTAGAACATGGGCTAGCACAGGGGGTTATTGCTTATTAATAATCCTACCTCCCAGAGTTGTAGGAAAAATAGAGCGACTCAGAGACTTTATTGCATGCTATATGCTCATCAGCTTGGAGTCACTGTCCTGCCAACCGAGCAAGTCATTGGATGGCCATGGGCCAGAACGAGGTATAGTATTTAGCTGTATGGCTTAGTCACTACCTAGGGGCACTTGGCCACAGGAGGCTGCAAGCCACCTGCTCTCTGCTTGCCAAGTATATTCCCTGGAGGAAGAACTGTCCTTTTTAAATTTACACAAAGATGGTGTGTGGGTTAGAGGCCATCTTGGAAGCATCCTCTCCTTCCATTCACTCACCCTGCTCAGCAGGGCAGGAAGAAGCCTCTTCCAGCCTTGTGCTGCCCACCCCAGACTCCCCTGTCTCCTCTCCCCAGTCTCGCATGGTTCGGAATGAGATCCCCTACTTCATCTGGACCACTCGGCGGGATGTGCTGGACTGTCGCCTCCTCTCTAAGGATCAAATGATAAACCACTATGGCCGGGCTGGCTCCTTTACCACAAAGGTGGGCTTCCCAGGGAAGAGGGAGTGGCATATTCCAATCCCCCAGCCCCTGGGCCAAGAACCCAGTTTCCCACTCTCTTTGTCGGTAGGAGAGAGTTCTCAGGAAGGGTTTGGTATATAACTCAGTGGGGTTTGGAATCAGACAGTCCTGGGTTGAAATCCAACCTCGGTAGCATGTCTGGCACATGTAGACATTGGCTAAAATAGACTCCAGGATCCAAATGGGATCTGGAGCCAGAACAAACACTAATTTCAATGACTGAGCAAGAAGGACCTTACCTCCTAAGCAGAGGATATCTGGCTGATGGATCCATTCTATTTTACCTTAGTTTATTTATAAGTGATTTCACTTCACTGAGCCTCAGTTTCCTTGTCTTTAAATGAGAATACCAGTAAAACTGTCTTCTAGGATTGTGGCAAGAATGGAGTCTTTATAATTGGGACTGTTAGTGTATTGTTTGTTGTAGACTGGGAAGGATTCCTAAAGGAAGCAGGTCTTTAAGAACGTGATGGGTTGGATAGGAGGGATGTGGGGCATTCTCAGCAGAGGGACTGAGTAGGCAAACATATGGGGATGGATATGAGCAAGTCAGGCCCAAGAAGTGCTCAGAGGCTCTGAGAATGTCCAGGTAGAGTCTCCCTGAGGTGTCTGGGCATGTGCTGAGGGCAGGAAGCCCCTGGAAGATTCTCTGGTCAAGTCCCACCCTACCCTCTTGGCGGCTAACTCCATAGGTGGGACTGTGTCTCAATCTCCGGAATTTGCCGTGGTTTGACGAAGCTGATGCTGACTCCTTCTTTCCGCGCTGCTACCGCCTGGGGGCTGAGGATGACAAAATGGCCTTCATAGGTAAGGAGATGCCCTTCCCTGTGCCTGGATCCCTCTGGCTGAAGGATGAAGGCTTCTCTCCTCATGCACTTGTCAATCCTAGCAGAATTCCTTCTCCAGCCCTAATCCTTGTCTTTCCCTAGTGTACCTCCCTTAATGAGCCTCCTAGCTTGGTCAACACAGACCTCCAGAAGATCTTAGGTATTTTAGTTTATATTCTAGAGCAGATTCTAAAAATTGGTCAATGTGCTGAGTTTGGAATCCAGAATGGATTCCAGGCCTGTGTCTAATTCCATTGGCTAAGTCAGGTCCCTAATCTAGAAAAGGTTCTAGACTTTGGGCTTCTAAAGCAGAATAGTTTCCAACTCCAGAGTATGTTCACAATTCTGGTCAGAATTTGGGCCCAGAGTAGATGCTAGGTTTAAATTAGTCTCCAAATCTAAAATAGGTTTGGGGCCAAGATTTGGTTCTCAGTTTAGGAGCCTATCAGAAACAGAAGAAAGAAATCACACAACAGGTTTAGGTGAGATTCTAAAGGCAGAATATGAACCAAGTCAAGTCAGATTCTAGGTCTGGTTCTATGTTTGAAATGGGAGCAAGGTTCTAACCCAGATTCTAGAGTTAGAAGGTAGTAAGGTTCTGGATGCAAAATGGGGCAGGTCATGATCAGGTTCCAGAACTAGAACATGCCTGGAGCCTAGGGGCTGAACAGAGTATCCCCTGCTCCTGGAGCAGAGGACTTCTGGTTGACAGCTGCCCGCAACGTTCTCAAGCTGGTGGTCAAGTCTGAAAAGAAGTCATATTCTATCCAGGAAGAAAAGGAAGAGGCCCCAGGTAAGTACTCTGTGTGTCCCTCCATTCCCCCATCCATTTATCCTTCCACATGTCCACCCATCCATTTATTATTCACCCATACATTTTTTTATTATCGACATCTGCCCATCCGCCATCCCTTCCCACCAACACATCTGTATATCTACCCGCCCCTCTGTTCTATCCATCCACTCATCTGTCCATCTACCTACCCACTCACCCACACATCCACTGTCCTCACATTCACCTGCCCATCCATCCATTCATTCATCTCCCCACCTATCCCCACATTGCTGATCTACTCATTCACCTATTTCCCCTCAACAACACACTTCCTATCCATCTCTCCACTCCTCCACCTTCCTGTCTAGCCTCCCACAGACCCATCTACCCATGTCTCCACCTGCTTTTCCATCCTTCTATCCATCACCTGTTTATCCTCCAGTCCGTCCGCTCATCCATTCTGGTGTTCCACCTATCCACCTGTCTTCCTATCCGTTTGTTAATTGATCCACTGCCCTATTCAGCCCTTCCCTGGGCCTGGCATGTGGCCAAGCTGTCTAGCGAGGACAGACTAAGTCCTGCCTGTGGGGAGCTCAGGTCCCTGCAGGAGAGGAAGCTGTCAAACCGTGTAGTTTCATGTGGCCTGAGGGCCCCTGGTGCCTTGTGAAGGCACAGAGAACACCACATTCCATGTTGACCCAATCCATTGATTGCCCGTTCCCTCTCTGGACTTAGCTCCTACTTCAAAGCCCCCATACTGTAATCCAGGGACTCAGGGACATAAGGGGAAGCTCTGCTGGGAGGGGGGAAATCCCTGTCTCTTCCAAAAGAAGACCTCCCCATTGCTTCTTCTTGGGTGTGCCGGGTGCAAAGAAGACTACTGTGTGCTAAGATGGGGGCACACGGGCCTCAGGTGTGTCAGAGGTCCCTGGATCATAGATGCAGGTGTGTCTGAGGCTATAGGTGCAGAGAGGCCCTGGGGGCAGTTAGGGTGGACCCTCAAGTAATTGACAGATTTTGGGACAGTGGGGGCCAAGGGTGAGCACTAGGGTCTCAGGGGAATTTAGAACAAAGTTTCAGGTAAGTGACAGGTCCCAGGGCAGTAAGAGATGAAGGTGTGTGGAGGGCCTCAGGTGGACTTAGAAGAGTCCTCAGGTAAGTGACAGGCCCTGGCCCCGTTGGTGCCATGGCATGTGTCAGGTTACCTGTCAGATAGTGATAGGCCCCTCTGTACCTCTGCAGAAGACAAGCAGCCTGAGATACAGGAGAACAAGCCAGTGGTGGTGTCCCCAGATTTTGTGGATGAGGCTCTGTGTGCCTGTGAGGAGCACCTTAGCAACCTGGCCCACCTGGACATTGACAGGGACTTGGAGGCCCCGCTGTACCTCAGCCCTGAGGGCTGGTCCCTCTTCCTCCAGCGCTACTACCAAGTGGTCCAGTGAGTACCTCTGCAGCACCGCGTGGGGCATGGGCAAGTGCCCCTTGCTCTAGGGGCCTCCATGTTCTGAGCTAATGCTCGGTCAGGGACAAACTCTCTCTAGTGTGGCCCCCACCTCCTCCCTGGGCCTCTTGCTTTTGTTTGCCCTGTTACTCTCCTGCTCAAGAACTCTTCAGGGCTCCCACTGCCTTCACGATGGGGTACAAACCTTCCTTCCTGGATCTTGGCATAGCGCAGTCACAAAGATCATGGCTTGTGCTATCAGGGAGACCTCAATTCAAGTCTTAGATTTGCAACTTTCAAGCTCTGTGACCTTGGGAATGTCACTCATCTTTTTTGAGCTTTACTTTTCTCAAATGCAAAATATATTTTTAAAAATTGTCTTTCTCAAAGATAAGATTAGACAGGATAATTTCTATTATGTGCTCAGCACAGACTCAGTATACACTCACAAAATAAGGCCCTATTAAGTCCACCAGATTTATCATAGAGACCAATGTTTCCCAAAGTGTGTTACATAGGATGCTAGTTCTACAGGATGTAAATTGATTTTGTGGAAAAAAGTGGGGGCTATTGTGGCCAATCTTATTTGAAAAACATTGGGTTAAACAAAGTTAGTAACAGGTTTCCTTGGCACAGGGCTTTTCAGAACCTACTGGTGGGATATACCTTGGGTGGCCTCAAGTAACATTTTTTATAACATTGATGAGATGCTGCTGTAGGAACTTTTGTTTATATCAATTAGCCTATGGTAAAATTGGTTTTGTTATACATTGTTTCATTTAATTGCAGACCCTATCAACAATGTAAAATGAGGACTTATAGTATATCCCGTAAGTCCTACTGTGACCCTAGGCCCCCCCCAGCCCAAGACATCCTGAGGGATTGTGTTTTCAGAAGGGAAGGGTCCTTAAGCAGAGGAAAGAAGTGTCAGGATGGAGCTGGTGTAGGGAGATTGCATTCAGCAGAGGTGTGCGGGAGAGACTAGAGGGAGAAGGCCCTGCAAGCAGAACACTCAGCCCTTCTCGTGTGGCAGGCTCCAGAAATGACAGCTAGACCCTGCCCTCAAGGGACACAAAGCTCCAGTGGGGAGACTTGCAGCAAGCCAGGTGGGAGTGCTGAGGGCCTCACTGGGATGGGTTTGTAGGAAAGAATGGAACAGATTCAATGGTTTATTTGTAGGGGAGACTAAAAAACTAGCAATGAACTTCAAATGAATGACATACTGAGAAAACCCACATCATTGATAAATAATTCATTTGTATGTTTTTTAAATGTCAGAAAATGAAAATGACCCTGTACTTTTCTCTTAGCTCCCCAGAATATGTAAAGCCACCCTTCTTCTTCTTCTTTTTTAAGATTTGATTTATTTATTTTTAGAGAGGGGAAGAGAGGGAAAGAAACATCAATGTGTGGTTGCCTCTCACATGCCCCCAACTGGAGACCTGGCCTGCAACCCAGACATGTGCCCTGACTGGGAATCAAACCTGGCTGGCACTCAATCCACTGAGACACACCAGCCAGGGCTAAAGCCACCCTTCTTAAACTAAGAATTATCAAGACTGAGTTAGAACATTATGTGAGAAGAATGTGAGTCCTATTTATTTCTGGGTGTAGGCAAGTTCTAGAGGGCTGTAGGAACCTCTCAAGAGTCGCAATTTCATAAAATGTTGCATCATGTAACATACAGAAGTGTCAGGTTGTTCAGTACAGGTAGTTAGCACCCATTAATTCATTTAATATTTACTGCTGTGTTTCTCAGCTTCCCCTCCCATACCCTTTACCTCCCCCAACCCCCCGCCCCCTCTGGTAATCACCATGCTGTGTCTGTGTTTTCTCAACTTTTTAAAACAAATCCCCGACTCAGCAGCCAGGCTTTTTATCAAGGTTGATTTTTCACAAGCATACTGGTTGGTTTTTCTTTCTTTTTGTTAAATATAAAACCATATTGTCATGCTGAACATACTTTTTCCAATTACTGTGCATGCCCCGGCCACCCCTATGTGACACCTTTCTGGGCCAAATCACAGATTTACTGAGCACATTCTTTGTGCTGTGGCCCACGGAAGAGTTTCCAGCAAACCCTATGGAAATAGAAGGGTAAGGACTTAGGCGTGAGTAAGAGGCCCGCTACGCCCCTTCCATCTGGTTGTCCCTGTTCCTGGCACTGCCCGAGCGGTTACTGCTGCCTCCTTATTAGAGATATAAGTTCTCTGTGGCTGGAGACATCCAAGAGACTAAGATGTAAAAGGGAAGTTAGCATCTAGTGCAGGCTTCCTTACTATTCAGTCAGAAGAGAAGAAACAGGAGAGTTTGGATGAGGCAGACATCTGGGCTATTTTGTGACTTGGTTTAATTCAGGACATTTTGTGTCCTGTAGGCAACAGGGCCTCTCTTTGTCTATGAACCCCAATCTGTACAGACCAGTTGCGGAGGCAAGCTCCTGTGCCAAAGTACTTGCTTATCCAACCATTCATTCATTTAACAAACTTTTAGGGAGCACCAAATAAGTGCCAGGTACACTGCTTGGGGGTGGGAATACAGCAGAGAATAACAGCTACAAAAATGTTCCTGCTCTTAGGGAGTTTACGTTCCAGTGAGGGGAGACAGACAGTAATCAAATACGTGTAGCCATCAGGTGGTAGATAATAGGAAGAGAAAAGAAATAAAGCAAGGAGATGTATGATACAGATGTGCTTGAAAAGAATTAGATGAGGAGGAGATTCACCTATCAACCAGTGCTAGGTCCGGATCAGAAGAGGGAGTGAACCACCCCCAACACACCTGCAGGTGAAGGTATCAGGCAAGATGGAGTTTGTGTCCCGGTTCGGCCATTTTAACTCAATTTCTGGTGTTAAGAGTCTCTTAACTCTCCGAGCCTCCATGTACAGTGCTCTAAAGGGGGACCAGTAATACCTTCTTTGCTGGGCTACAGAGAGGATTAGTGATAATATATGTAACGCCTTTGGCATAGAGCCTGGCGCATAATTGTGCCTCTCCATTAGATGAGGTATGATTAATTCTGCCAAAGGCAATTTTAAGGGAATGGGAAGGGAGGTAGCAGAAAGTGGAGTGCTGGAGGGGGTCGGGGGTCGAACAGGGGGCATTCCCCCATCCTCTCCCATTCCAGCAGTCTGGGACGGGGCCCTGGGCAGATTAGAATTTGGGGGACAGCCTGAGCGTGGGTATGGAGGTGTGGGAGAGACCAGTCTGGATTGGCAGGGAGGAAAGGGCACAACCAAGGCTGGTAGGACCATGGCCAGGGGGCTTGTGTCTCCCTTTGCCTTGTCTACCAGGCTGTCCCCAGGCCCAGTCCTGCCCAAGACCCATCATCTCCCCACAGTGAGGGGGCAGAACTCAGGCACCTTGATGCTCAGGTCCAGCGCTGTGAGGACATCCTGCAGCAGCTTCAGGCTGTGTTGCCCCAGATGGACATGGAAGGAGAGCGCAACATCTGGATCGTGAAGCCGGGAGCCAAGTCCCGTGGCCGAGGTGGGTGTCGGCCCCTACAGCCTCCCTCCGCAACTGTTAATAGTGAATAGTGCATGCTCAACCGGAGCTGAACTGCCTGGGTTCGAATCTCAGCTCTGCGATTAATATGCTTTGTGACCTTGAGCAAGTTATATCGCATTTCTGAACCTCAATTTCCTCATCTATAAAAGATGATAATACTTCCTACAAGGAGAGGATTGCAAGAGGCAGTGTGTCTCAAGCTCAGCATGGTGCCAAGCATAGTGATCATCCCCTCGACATTGGCTGCGGTGGTGATGCCAGCTTCTCCTCTCCTGCTCTGAGAGTTGGGTTGATGTTTTAGGTAGGTCTGGTGATACTCATGTGCAGGTGCTTGTCATCTAAGGCTCTTCGACTTGACCAGTGCATCCTGTAAGATACAGCATAGTGGCTAAGAGTATGGATGCTGGGAGCCAGACTGCCTGGCTTCAAACCCAAGCTCTGCCTCCTGCTATTTGTAACGCCTTGGGCAGACTAATTAACCTCTGCTGCCTCATTTTCATCATTGGTAGAATGAAGTTAATAAATAAGTACCTAGAGGATTAGATAAATATGATATATGTAAAATACTTAGATCCTATGCTTTTACATAGTAACTGCTATATTAAGTGCTTTTATTTTTAGCTATTATTCTGGCTCCTCAGCCCAGTGTGAATGGAATCTGAACAGGAGAGCCAAGCAGGGGTGGTGTCTTAGCCCAGGCTTTAAAAACTGGTTAAGAACTTCTGAGATGTAGAAAACAGGCTTTTAAAGGCAGAGCCCTCCAAATACTGCCCTTGGATGAATTTGTTCGTGTCCAAATGAAGCTGTTACAACTCCAGACACTGTGGGATGCTCTTAATTGGGAATGTCACTTCAAAACTAATATTGTGGTCTTTCGTTTTCTACAATACCTTGAAAATAGTTTTGTTGGTTTTTTTCCAAGCATGAAAATATGTGTTTATTCTATTTTTTAAAAAAAGATTAGACAATACAGGAAAGTAGAAAGAAAAAAGCAAAAGCCACCCTTGATTTCACTTCGATAACTACTGTTAACCTTTCAGTGCGTTTCTTTCCAAACTTCCTTCTGTGCACTTGCGGAGAGAGAGATTTAGTTTAGTTTAGTTTAGTTTAGTTTAAACAAAAACATGGTATTTTATACTCTCCTTTTTTAGTATCCTTCAATATCAATTTGTACTACTTATTCATTCTTTACATATTTCTTTTTCCTTAACAATGGACCTTGGAGATCATCCTATTTCAGTACATTTAAATCTGCTTTTTTTCTCCTGTTTTTAGCTTATTTTTTAAAAGGTTTTTTTTATTGTATTTTTTCATTACCGTTTCTCTCCCTTACCCTGCCCCCCATCACCACCCTGCTGTCCATGTCCATGTGCTTTTAGCTTTATTGTTATGGACACTTTTAAAATACACAAACTAGCAAGAATAACACAATGAATCTCCATGTATCTAGCACCAAATTTAAAAACTTTCTCTCCTTTTTTAGAAAAACTTAATTGAAATGTATATATAATATACGCCATTGACAAGGGTGCACATTGTGAGTATACAAGTCAATGAATTGTCACAGTTGAGGAAACAGCACTCAGGTCATGAAATAAAACATTACCTGCGCCCTTGAAGGCCCCCACCCACACTTCCTTCTAGTCTGTACCTCCCCACAGTGGTGATCCTTATTATGATTTACAATACCATAGATTAGTGTTGCCTGTTTGTGAATTTTATATAAAAGTATATTATATTCTCTTACCTCATTTTCTTTTACAGTTGCATTGTCTAATCTTGTTTAGATGTACTGTCATGGACTCACCTAATCCTTTCTTTTTTAAAAAATTATTTTAGATAGGGGAAGGGAGGGAGAAGGAGAGGGCAAGAAACATCAATGTATCGTTGCCTCTTAGGTGCCCCCTGCTAGGGACCTGGCCTGCAACCCAGGCATGTGCCCTGACTGGGAATTGAACCGACAGCCCTTTGGTTTGCAGGCTGGCACTCAGTCCATTGAACCACACCAGCCAGAGCTCACCTAATCCATATCTGATGGGTATTTACATGGCTGCCAGTTTTTTCCCCCTATTTATTTGTTTATTGCTTGATTGCTATTATAAATAACACTATTAAACACTCTGTGCAGAGATCTATGGCCTTTCCATTTATTTCCTTAGGATAATTTCCTAGAAATGAAGTTGCTGGGTCAGTTAAAGGGCATGAACAGTCTCAGTCTTTTATACACCAGGCATCGTGTTTTTGGAAATCTTGGTGATCAGTTTGGCCATTTGAGAAAGGATCTAGCTTGGGAACCAGCCACAAATTATTCTGTGTGATTAACAAGCGATTAGGCTGTTTTAGGGCCAAACAATGAAGGAATAAGATTGATTTGTGAGTACATGTGTGATTTGCAATGCGATTCTGATATTTATCAGCATTAAAATGATATATGCCTTATAAGAATAGATACTTAATGTCACTAGTTATAAAAGAGATAAAATTATATAAGATACCATTTTCTGTCCAGGAAAATGGCAAAAATAAATAATCAGCAGTGTTGGGTGGGATGCAGGCAAACCCAATCTCATTCACTTTTGCTAGGAGTGCTGATTGGTATAACACCTTTGGCAATATAAAATGGAAAAATGCATATACCTTGGAGCCAAAAATTTACAGCTAGCCATATATTCTACAGGTGACTAATAATAATGGTATGAGTTAATATTTACTGAATGCTAACCGTGTGCAAAGCATACACTAAATCTTTAACATGTTTATATAGAATCCTATGAAACTGAGGCACATACAGACTCTCCTGCAACCTGGAAGGATCCCATACAACCTCAAAGCCACAGTTGGCTGCCTCTGGGGAAGGAGCCATATTCTTAATTATATGTCCTTTTGTATTGTCTACTTTTTGTTTCTCGTTTTATATTCTTTTAATTATATCAGAAAAACAAAGTCATATACGTACATGGTTTTTTAAAAAAGCCCAGTGCTGTTTGAATTTTTATTCGTGTACATATTTCTTCTCAATCAAATAAAACTGGTTAATTTTTTAAATACTTTTTAAAGGTTTTATTTATTTATTTTTAGAGAGAGGGGGAGGGAGAGAGGAAAGAGAGGGAGAGAAACAGCGATGTGTGACAGAAACATCAATCAGTTGCCTCTCGCACACCCCCAGCCGGGGTCCTGGCCCACAACCCAGGAGAGGGCCCTGCCCAGGAATCGAGCTGGCGACCTTTCGGTTTGCAGGCCTGCACTCAGTCCACTGAGCCACACCAGCCAGGGCAAAATCGGTTAACTTATAAAAATTTAAATCCTTAGCAGATTTTCAACTTTGCCAAAGGCAATGACGTTCTGATTGAGGCAGGCAGCTTTACCCACTTGACCGTATCATTTCTGTGGGGCTAAGAGCTTATGGTAAGCTGTCCATGGTCCTCCCCAGCTCTTCTGCTAGCCAGAGCCTGCCCTGGTCCTTGATTACTCCATTTCCCCCTTAGGCATCATGTGCATGGACCACCTGGAGGAGATGCTGAAACTGGTGGATGGCAACCCCATGATGATGAGGGATGGCAAGTGGGTGGTGCAGAAGTATATCGAGCGGCCCCTGCTCATCTTTGGCACCAAGTTTGACCTGAGACAGTGGTTCCTGGTGACCGACTGGAACCCACTTACTGTGTGGTTCTATCGTGACAGCTACATCCGCTTTTCCACACAGCCCTTCACCCTGAAGAACCTGGACAAGTGAGTCCACCACATACCTACCATGAGCTACCATTCTAGTTGGGGAGCTGGCAAAGAACGGGAAATTCCAGTGCACTGCTGGGCTCCTAACACAGACTCTGCAGGCAGGCAGGCAAGCCCTCCATCCCTCCCACCATCCTTCCACCCATCAGGTAACCACTGAGTGTGTACCCTCTGACATCCTCTGTTCTAGGCACTTGGGATATAGCAATAAACAAAACAAAAGCCCAGCTCTCACAAGTTTATAGTTTAGCAGGGAGAAAAAGACGAGCAATGAACATAATAAGTAAAATCATCTAATAGGCTAAAAGGTGATATTTAAAAAAAAAAAGTGGAGAGCAGGGTAAAGGGGGTTCAGGAGAAGTTCTAGAGGACAGAGACAAGTTGCATCATTAACTTGTGGGGTGAGAGACAGCCTTGTTGAGTTCTGGGCTCAAATTCTATCTCTGCAGCTTTCGAGCTGTGAGACTTTTGCAAATGAAAACATACTTAAGCTTCTGTTTCCACATCTGAAGAATGGAAGCAGTAATATGAAACACATACCTGTCAACTATTGAGTGCTTGGTATGTGACAGGTGCTACGCATATCATACATATTAGTCACTCATAAAAACACAGTGATGTGAGTATGGTACCCTCATTGTATAGATGTGAAAGGAGCATTCGGATTAAATGACTTGCCCAAGATCTCACAACTAGTCACTGGTGAAGATAGGACCTGGGTACATGCCTTAGTGACTATAGGGCCCATACTCTTACCCTATCTTCCTATCTTCAAGGCACTGGGAGGGTTAACTGCCACTAGACTCAAAGCACTCAATACTGTGTTCTCCACAGTTAGTGCCCTCTGAAGAGATCCTGAGAGATAAGACTGGTTCTGGCCCTAGAAGAATGTTATGGGCCCCAGGCTTTTGTCCTTGTCCTCCCCAGCAGGACCCCATCTCCAAGATGAGTGGTCCACAGGGGCTCAGGGCTGGGTCCAGGGTTTGCCTGCCCTCCTCAGGGTTGGGTGGGAGGGGCAAATGGGCCCAGACCTCAGCTTTCTGCTCTCTGCCCAGCTCAGTGCACTTGTGCAACAACTCCATCCAGAAGCACCTAGAGAATTCGTGCCATCGGCACCCGCTGCTGCCCTCAGACAACATGTGGTCAAGCCAGAAGTTCCAGGCTCACCTGCAGGACATGGGAGCCCCAAATGCTTGGTCCACTGTCATCGTGCCTGGTATGAAGGCTGCCGTGATCCATGCTTTGCAGACCTCCCAGGACACTGTGCAGTGTCGGAAGGCTAGCTTTGAGCTCTATGGTGCTGACTTTGTGTTTGGGGAAGACTTCCAGCCCTGGCTGATCGAGATCAATGCCAGCCCCACCATGGCACCCTCCACATCTGTCACCGCCCAGCTCTGTGCTGATGTGCAAGCTGACACCCTGCGTGTGGTCATTGACTGGCGGCTAGACCGAAACTGTGACACGGGAGCCTTTGAGCTCATCTATAAGCAGGTGAGGTGGCCAGGCCCTGGCAGGACCCCAGGGAGTCTTCCCCCCTTTCCAGGATGCCCATAGTGAAGCACAATCAGACAGACCCAGTTCAAGTCCTGGTCCTGCCACAGTGACTTAGTTACAGCTCTTTCCTTATCTGTAAAATGGAGATACCCCTACCATTTTTCTCATGTGGTTTGGGAGGATGAAATGAATTTGTGTGGGTAACATTTCTAGAGAGGCATATAGCATGGTATTCCTGAACCTCCCAGGGTTCAAATCTGCTCAGTAACTACAAGCTGTGTGACTTTGAACAACTTCCTAATCTCTAGGGGGAGGGAGGGGTCTCAGCTTCCTCATCTGTAAAACACAAATGAAAATAGTACCTACCTGATAAGGTTATGACAATTAAATAAGTTGAAAGCATGTTAGAACAGTGCCTGGCACATAATAAATGCTACAGAGGTTTTAGTTATTGTTGTTATTAACTAATAAGGTTGTTAGGTGTTTCATGATAAATGGCATCACTGTAAAGTGCATGGATATATAATGAGAGTCAGTTAGTGGAAGCTACTGTTGTTGTTCTTATAGACACTCCCACCCAAAAAGGAGAGGCTGGGTGGGAAATATAGAGGAATCATTTTTCCATAGAAATTCTGAAATCCAGCCTTAGCCTCTATTTCTAGTTTCGCTCTGAGGATCCACTGTTACTTCCTAGTTCTCCATGGCTCTTGCTTCCATCCATTGGGATCTCAGTTCAGCCCTGAATCATCCTTCCTCTTCCATGAACATTCTCAGCAGTTCTCAGTCTGTTACCTGCTCATAGAAACCTGGGGGTACAAAAGTCTCTTTCATTTTATATTGCATCTGCCCCATCTAGTCTAAGTTGATATTTTTAAAAGCCTTGTGTGTTTCTTAAAAATCAATTTTATAATGCAGTCTATTATACAAAAGCCATGTCCACAAATCTAAGAGCTTTTCTCTCTTCGGTGAGATTGTTGTAGCACAACAGCCCTCAAAATTATAAAAGCCCTGCTGTCAGCAGCCCTGTTGGCTAACTCAAAACACACCAGAGACTGAAACATGAGACCTACAGGTGTACCCGTGGGATGCTTAAAAGATTGGTAGCTACTTTAATGGGCCTATCAGGCATGACTTAGATCCCTCTGAAGTTTTGTTGTGGTTTTTAAAAACCAAAATGTAATTGATATAAAACATTATATTAATTTCAGGTTTACAATATAATGATTTGATATTTGTATATATTGTGAAATGATCACAATGATAAGCCTAGGTAACATACATCACTACATGTAGTTAACAAATTTTTTTTCTTGTGATGAGAGCTTTTAAGATCTATTGTCTTAGCAACTTTTAAATATACAATACAGTATTATTAACTATAGTCACCATGCTGTACATTACATCCCCCGGACTTATTTTATAATTGGAAGTTTAAACATTTTGACCACCTTCATATATTTCATCACCCCTCATCCTCCCATCTCTGGCAACCACTAATCTGTTCTCTGTATCTATGAGTTCAGTTGTTTAATTTGATTTTTTTTTAAGATTTCACATATAGGTGAGATCATATGGTATTTGTCTTTCTCTGACTTACTTTACTTAGTTTAATACCCTCAAGGTCCATTCATGCTGTCGCAAATGGCAAGGTTTCCTTCTTCTTGTGACTGAATAATATTCTATATTGTGTGTGTGTGTGTGTGTGTGTGTGTGTGTGTATTTATTATCCACATTTTCATTATCTGTTTATCTGTCATGGACACTAAGGTTGTTTCCATGTTTTGGTTTTGCAAATAATGCTGCTGTGAACATGAGGATGCATATATTTTTTCAGTTAGCATTTTGGCTTCCTTTGAATAAATACTCATAAAAATGAAGTTTACCTGATAATATAGTAGTTCTATTTTTAATTTTTTGAGGAACTTATATACTGATTTCCATAGTGACTGCACCAGTTTACATTCCCAAAGGGTTTCTTTTTCTCCACATCCTCACCAACACTTGTTATTTGTCTTTTTGAAAATAGTCAAAAAGACAGGTGTGAAGTGATATCTCATTGTGGTTTTAATTTGTATTTCTCTGATGGTTAGTGATGTTGAGCACCTTTTCATGTACCTGTTGGCTGTCTGTATGTCTTCTATGGAAAAATGTCTGTTTAGATCCTCTCCCCATTTCTTAATCATATTGTTTGTTTTTTGCTAATGAGTTGTATGAGTTCTTTATATTTGAATATTAACTTCTTACCACCAGATATATGATTTGCAAATATTCTCTCCCATTTGGTTGGCCTTTTCATGTGCTGTGCAGAAGCTTTTTAGTTTGGTATAGTCCCACTTGTTTATTTTTGCTTTTGTTTTCCTTTGCTTTTAGTGTCAAATACAAAAAAATCATTGCCAAGACCAATGTCAAGGAGCATAGTGCATGTTTTCTTCTAGGAATTTTATCTTCTATAAATTCTAGGCTTCAGGTCTCACGTTCAAGTCTTTAATCCATTTTGAGTTGATTTTTGTGTATGGTGTAAGCTAGGGGTCCAGTTTCATTCTTTTGTCTGTGGCTGTCCCATTTTCCCAAAACCATTTATTGAAAAGACTGTCCTTTTCCCGTTCTTGTACCTGCATATTCTTGTACCTCCTTTGTAATAAATTGTGTGGGGTTATTTCTGGGCTTTCCATCTGTTCCATTGATCTATGTCTATTTTTATGCCAAAAACATACTATTTTGATTACTATAACTTTGTAATATAGTTTGAAATCAGGAAGCATGATGCCTGCAGCTTTATTCTTCTTTCTCAAGATTACTGTGGCTAACTAGGTCTTTTGTGGTTCCATACAAATTGTAGGATTTTTTTTTCTTTCTGTGAAAAATGCCACTGGTATCTTGATGGATATCGCATTGGATCTGTAGATGGCTTTGGGTAGTATGGACACTTACATAATATTAATTATTCCAATCCATGAACAGAAAATATCTTTCCATTTGTTTGTCTCTTCAATTTCTGTCATGAGTTTTCAGTGTACAAGTCTTTCACCTTCTTGGTTAAAGTTATTCCTAGGTATTCTTTTTGATGTTCTTTAATTTCTTTTAATCTAGAACAGCCCCACTGCTTTTTTCCCAATAGTCTGGATCTTTTGAAGGGATCAGGCTGATTGTTTGTAGAACTGTCCCACATTTTGGACTTATCTGATTGTTTCCTTGGGGTGGTTTTGAACTATTCTTCTGTTATCTGAATGTCCTGTAAACTAGAAGGTAGGTGAAAAAGCTTGATGAGGTTCAGTTTAACATTTTTGGCAAAACGACTTGAGAGGTGATGCTGGGTACCTCCTTCAGTGTCACAAGGCACAACACTGTCAGGGCGTCTCAGGATTAGTCATGCTAAGTCTGACTGTGGAGTTAAGGTGGCAGCTACTAGATCTCTCCATTGTAAGCTGTATCCTCCCCTTTGCAATGATCAGTTACTTTGTAAGGTGATACTTTGGCCCTGTGCAAATGACACATTTTCCTGTCATCCTTTTCACCTACTTGCTTTGATATCCAGTTTTAATTCTTACTTTTTGTATCAGTTACAAAATGGTGTGTTTCTCATTCCCTTTCCTTCTACATTTAGAGATTCTTCTTTAAATAGATGAGTTTTCCTCATCAACTGGGCTTTCTGGGAGCTCTGATATCTGGATTTTTAACAAGCTCCAAATGACCCTGTTTAGATAGATTCTAATCAGGAACGTTTGATGACACAGAAAATACCTCAGACTAGCTCTGGATTAAAGTTCCTAGCAAGACACAGGGAGCTTTCCGGGAACCCAGCCGTAGGAAGTACAGCTTGGCTTTAGAGGAACTGAAATTCCACAGGAGCAATTTCTCTGCCTCCCTCTGCATATGCGCTACTTCACCCCCTGCACAGAATGCCTTCTTTAAAGCTCTCAGTTTCTGCTTCCACATAACTTGGGTTCATGTGAGACTCTAGGGAGGTTCTAATCCTCCTCTCTGTCTGGGTGTTATAACTCAGATTCTCTCTGTAGAGAATGCAGGGGCACTTGGGAAGCTTTCCATCAGCAGTGGCGTGTGTGATAGAGCCGCACACGTTCCAGCAAGGGACAAGGCAGCCTGGGAGGGCAGGGGGGTGGAGAGGTGCTAGTGAAGGCAGGGCTGAGATTCCCATAGTCCTTTGGGTACCTAATCCCAGGGCTCGGTGACTCTCTCTGGGAACTGATTCAGGTCTCCAGGGCCAGGCTTCTCAGAGGACAGAGGTGTAGGCTTCCTGTTTCTCAGCCCAGAGATGTCTCCATGCCCCAGAAACTAATTCCATGCATCTGTGCCCTGAGTCCTTCTGGGCCTAGGATCCTAGCAGCACTGTCTGAGCAAGCCTTGTCTCCTCTTCTTCCTCATAGCCTGCTGTGGCAGTGCCCCAGTACGTGGGTATCCAGCTTCTAGTAGAGGGCTCCACCATCATGAAGCCCTTGGCGATATGTCACCGGCGAACAGGGCTCCGCACAGCACTTCCTCACCTGCTGGTCCAGCGAGACTCTGGGGAAGGCAAGGGCTCGGGGACATTTACCCACATGTCAGCTCCTAGGAAATTTCCTGGGGCCAGGAGCCTGGGGCACACCGAGAAGCCAGACTTCACTGCCACCACATCGACTGCTGGAAAGGGGAAGAAAGGCAAGGCACAAAGTGCTACAGCCCTGGTCCACCCCGATACCCAGAAGTGGGAGCCACCCAGCACAAGGGTGGGCTGCCTTGTCACCAAGACCTTTATTAGGGAGGATAGGCAGTCCCACCCCTTGAACAGATTGCCACTGAGTCTGAAGAACCCCCAGGCTCTGGGTAAGACCATTGCACCCAAACAGCCCAGGATCCCAAGGCAATTTCTTCCTGCTCTCCAAGCTCCCCCTAACTACCTGAATTTTCCCACAACCCACAGTGCCACCAAAGAGCTACCTGTAGCAAGTAAAAGTCACCACTTACAAAGTATTTTTTAAAAAAAAGAGCCATCCTGCAAGGCAGTTATTTCTAAGATGTTAGGACTCAATCTAATGTAGAACTCTCCCCAGAGCCCAAGTTTTTCCTGCCAGTGTTCTGCCTTTGCCTCCCTGCAAAGTTGCCTTTGGAGGAAAGGAATATTTACACAGCACTTAACAGCTTACACTGTGTTGCTATATAACCAGCTCCTTTAGTCCTCACAGCCTAGCAAGTTAGGTGCTATTATCCCCATTTTCTAGCGAAGGCATCAGGAAGTTGCCCAAGGTTGCACATCTCAAAAAGAGGCAGAGATGGGATGCAGACCCAGGTCTGTTGGACTCCAAACCTGGTGCCCTACCCATGGCCTCTGGAGGAGGAATGGCGAGGGCTCCACCTGCCTTCACATGCCCCAGCCTTCATCTTCCCCCACCTCCAGCTGCACACACACCTTGAAGGGTAGCTGGTCAACCTTGGTCCCCCCACCCCCTCTCACCGGGCCTTCACAACACCTCTTGCTCCCACAGCCCCTTACCACTCCCCCAGCCTCCACACCAAGGCCAGGCTGCCTTCTCTCCACGTGCCCCGACCCCAGGGGCCGGTCCTCAGACTGCAGCACAGCAAGCTGGTGGGCTCTAAGGCCCTGCTGACCACAGGCAAGGCCTTGATGATTCTACCTACCGCCAAGGTTTTGATTACTCTCCCACCTAAACCCGAGCTCAAGCAGGCGCCCACCATCCTGAAACCAAGAAAGGTGGGCCTCAAACTGACTCGCACCCTGGAGAGCAATGATGAGTGCTGGGGTCAGGGCTGGAGGGCACAGGCAGAGGGCGGCTCCCAGGCTGGCTGGAGCCCCAAGGGGAGGGCTTGTTACCCTCGGAATTCCCTTCCTAGACAAATTCCTGACCATCTCTTCCCTCTTCCCCTCCGTTTACACCAAGGCCGTTGTTCCCAAGCGCCTTTGTGGTCCCCAATCTGGAGGTGCCTTGTGGCCTTTACCCATTGAAGTTGGAAATCTTCCTAGCACACATAGGAACATCAAGGCCAAAGGCGGGCTCAAGGCCAAACTGTGTGACAGACCCAAGGCTGAAGCATGCCTCCTGAAGACGCTGAGCCTTCCAGGACCCCTGCCCCTAATCAATGCACATCAGGGGGTCAGGGGAATCGGGGCTGTGAGGCTAGAGAAGCCCTTGCTTCAGGTCTCACTGCCCCCATCCCGGAAGCAGCACCGAATAAAAAGGAGCAAATAAAGTATTCTTGGCTTGGCTTCATTTCTATCAGAGGGTGAAAGTGTAGAGGGGGACTCTGTACTCCAAAACTAGAACAAGAGTTAGAGGCCGTCAGCAACTACTCCAGGAAGCAAGGCCCAGAATTCCCACACAGCGGCAGACATGGGACTTCCTGTTCAGGAACTCTCTCTGATCTTTAGGTAGGGGGATAAATCTTACTTTACAGAAGAGGAAACTGTCTGAATGAGGCAGCATGGCTTGCCCAAGATCATGGCGCAGTGGGCAGAAGTCTGGTACACACTGCCAGAGTGGCTGGCCACTAGGAGTCCCTAAAATCCTCAAGGCTGGAGGAGGAGCTGGGCTGACATCTACTGGACACAAGATTTATATGAGACACGGGGCGGGGGGGCAGGAGGGGGGAAAGGGGGGGAACCTTGCCTGAACCCCAGACCTCCTCCAGAGGGAGTGAGTCTGTCCCTTCCTCAGCAAGTGGCGAATGTTGCCTGAAAAGAAAATATCCAACAAACCATACCCATCTGAAAAGTTAGGTATTCCTTAGTTGTTATGGGTTGAATGGTACGCCCTTCCCCAAAGATATGTCTACCTAGAACCTGTTCATATGACCTTATTGGCAAAAGGGTCTTTGTAGGTGTACCAAACATCTTGTAAAAGTCGTGAGATGGGATCATCCTGGATTTTCAAGGTAGGCCCTAAATCCAATGATAAGTGTCCTTAGAAAAGAAGACACAAACACAAGGCCATGTGAGGATAGAGGCAGAAATTGGTGTGATGAAGACACAAGCCAAGGAATACTTGGAGCCACCAAAGGCTGAAAGAGGCCAGGAAGGATTCTCCCCGAGAGCCTTGAGAGAGCAAAGCCTTGTCAACACCCTGACACAGGCTCCTGACCTCCAGAACCGTGGGAGAATCAACTGTTGTTTTAAGTCACTTTGTGGTAACTTGCTATGGCAGCCCTAGGAAACTAATACACTAGGCAAATGAAGCCACATACACTCTGACCCAGAAATTCTTGCATAACAACCAGGGGATACTTATAAGCAGGTTCACAGCAGCGTTGCTGTTAACAGCCGTAGGACCTAACTGTCCAGTAATAGAATAGATCAACTGGTGTATTTAAGAATTGGAGTTCAAATTCTATGCCATACAAAACATGCATTTCTCAGTATGGAGTGAGAAGAAATCACAAAAGAATATATACAACGTGATTCCATTTACAGAAACTTGAGGAACAGGCAAAATGAAATAATATCATTTAAGGATACATACATATGTGGTCCAACTTCAAAAGACAAGGAAGAATTCTCCCATGAGGGCAGAGGTTCCACCCTAGACAGAACCTGTCTGGGGGCTTTTAAGAATGAAGCTAGAGGTCTCTACCCCAGACCAATCAGACCAGTATCTTTGGGGTGTATAATCATGGAGATTTTTTTAAGCTTCCCGAAGGGTGCTATCTAGGGGGTTTCTAATGCGGGTTAGGGTTGAGAACTGCTGTTCTACAGGGAAGATGTTTCTATTTCATGCCCTGAGTAATGGTTATTTGGGTGTTACCTCATTATCATTTAAATCACAGAGATGTTTTATGCACGCTGTATGTTTTAATAGTTTTCACAATTTTTTAAAGAAAAAAAAATCTCACATCTTCACTCACATGAGCTTCCCAAGTAGTCAAATTCATAGAGACAAAGGAGAACAGTGTTACTAGGGTCTGGAAGGGGGAATGGGGATTTAGTGTTTAATGGGGACAGAATTTCAGTTCTGGAAAATGAGGAGTTCTGGAGGCAGATGACGGTGACTGTGGCAAAACATTGTGAATGTGCTTCATGCTACTGAACTGTACACTTAACAATGGTTAATAGGGTAAACCTTGGTAGGTGTATTTTATCACAATGAAAAAATGTGACATTTCTTCCCAGCTAGAATTGGGACAGAAACAGTCCAATGAAAGGCCACACATTGATTTCAGCAGAAAGCATCGTCCATGATAAACATTTACTTTCCTAGCAAATCTTAAAAACCATACTGAGTTAGCTACATTTATTACCTCAAGTCCAGAGAGGTGAAGCTATTTGTCCAACACCACACAGCAAGTGGCCTAGCCAGTATTTGATCGTAGGTTAGTCCAACTACAGAGCCCAGGGTCTTAAACCACGACCTTACTGCATGTTGAGCACTGAACTCATTCTCCTCGGGGCTGCGGTCCTCCCACAATCAGCGCTCTGCAGCAGGAACAGCAGGAACAGGAGGACTATTGCTGGTGGAGCCCCAGGCACTGTAGAGTCCTCGAGAAATAAGGAGGCAAGGGTGCCAAAAGCTCTATGAGGCCGTCCCTGGGCCTGGTGCCTGGGAGCTGGAGACAACGTAGGTGGAGGTGCAAGGGCAGCTGGGCAGCTTGGGAAGGCGTCAGGCAGAGGCGTCTGAGGAGGGCTTCATCCAGGACCTGGGGTGGGAAAGGCATGTCAGCATTCAGCCAGGTCAGTTAAAACCAGCTCTAAGCAAAATGGGAGTGAGGTAAGTACTTCCTCCTTTCCTCCACGTCCATAGTTATTAATTTCCTTTTTACATATACACATGCACACTCAAAACACACTCAATATGGCAGACACTGACTAGGGGTTCACCAAATCAGTTTCTACCTTGCCATACAGCTAAACTATGTTTCCCAGCCCCTCCTGCAGTCTGGTTGAGGACATGCGATTGGGTTCTAGCCAACAGAATGGGAGTATACACATGTATGCCACTTCCAGACCTGGTCCACAAAAATCTCCCACATGAACCTGTACTATCCCCACTTATCTGCTGGCTAGACAGCAACAGCCTGGGTCCCCGAGTGACTGCTTGTAGCAAAGCCCACCTCTGTCCAACCCCCATTAATTGGACTTCAAATGGAGGAAAATCAATGTGTTAAGACTCTAGTACATTGGGGCTACTCTGTTAGAGCTGATAGTTACCCTTATACAGACAACCTCTTTTACCCCTTATACCAAAGAGACTCAAAGAACAGCTACTTTAGAAGGGCCTTTAGAAATCATCTAGTTCAACTCCCTTACTGACTAGAAGGGCAGAATGAGGTGCAAGAGAGGGGTGTCACTTGCTCAGGGCCATACATCAAGACAGGGTTACGGTTAGCCTTGGAAGCCAAGAGGACTGCCTCCCAGTACCAAGCTGCATAAGTAATGCCTGGAGATGCCGCCCACCCTCATCCCCTGGCCCACCCCCAGAAGGCAGAAGGCAGAAGGCAGAGGGCTTGGGTACCTGTCTTTGGGGTTTGGTGCTCTCAGCTGGCAGTAGGAAACGCTGGCCCAGGACAGTGCGCATGCGGGCAGAATGCCTGTGATCCCCAAGCACAGGGCAGAGCTGCAGTACCATGTGTACCTGTAGCTGACTGGGGAACACTGGCGGACGGGAGAGACAGGAGGCGGTGAGCAGCTGGTCTCCGTCCTGCCCAGAATTCTCCCTCCCCATTTCCTCTGGGCAAACGCCACCCCCCATTCTCAGATCAGGTGGTTTTAGAGAGGTCAGTGCTACTGCTCTGGCCTCCAGAGCAGGTCAAGATAGTCATAGCTGTCGATCTACCTGGCCTGTGGGATTCACTCATGAAGAGCGGCAACCCTGAATTTATTGTTGAAGCTACTGGAAATAAAGAATGCTCTTTCTTGCTGGGGTGCTCAACTGGTGGGGTGTAAGCCTAGAGCCACTGGAGGCCCTGGCTGTCTGCTTCACCAAGGGAGAGCCTGTGGGAAAAACAGGCCAACATGCAGGAGGAAAGGAAACATGGAGAAACAGCTTCCTGAGGACATCCCTGAGCCTCTAATCCAGCCAAATTATGTGAGCCAAGAAATTCTTTTTTTTGGCTTATACCAATTTGAACCGACTTTTGGGAAACTTACAACCAAAAGTACCTTGACAAGTACAGAAATGGGTGGGGTGGAGGGGGGGAACTATATGCTAGACATGGCATAAAATGTTCCACATATGTAAACTTATTTAACAGTCGTGACAACCCTGTAAGGGCGGTCCTACCATCATTTCGGAAAACCAAAGCTCAAAAAGAAACAACCTGCTTACCACCATAAATAGATTTAAATCCAGGAGCTGTACTCTGCTTCTTTGTCTAGTAACAATCTAAAAACCCTCTTGTTATAAACCATCTAGAAACACTGGGGAAATATAACAGTCATCCTTTTAAATGCACAGTGGGCATATAAGAAATAAGGTCCCCAAGACCAAAACACAGGACCAATCCAGGACATACAAGAGCCAACACTGCACCTATTCTAGGGGTGCTGCCAATCGTGATACCCAGGGGTATTGGGTTTAAGTAGCCACCCTAAGGGCCAGGGATGAGGCCTTGCTGCCCAAATGAAGCCCTAGAGGGGCTAAATCTTCAATGAAAGGATGGACCAGGAGAAAAAGCCAGCCACCAAAGGAGGCATAAAAGGAATGAACAAGTTTTGCCCTAAAAATTCACAGCAATGGGCCTATCTTACACAGCTTTGGGACTCTCATACTTCTTAAATAATATGTGAACTTCCAACTGAGACACTAATTATTTAGGGAGATCCTGAAGCAGTGAGAGCCCTAAAGCATTCTGCAGAAGCAAAGGTAGAACTTCTCCCAAAGGTTCCACCTCCAAATGAGGCAAAGGATTTCCACCGATAAAGGCTCAGCTGAACCTAAATTCACAATCCTGAATCACAGACCAGTACGGAAACAATCTACCAGGTGTTAAAGTCAGCAGGACACACAGTAGGATTAGACCCTCAAGAATTCAGACAATGGAATTATAGAAATACAATTGTTTTGAATTGTTAAAGACAAAAAAGAACAAATAGTGTGGGGGGGAAAACATGCCATATCTTTTTTTAAGGACATTTGTATTTGTAAAAGAACCAAATAGAATTTCTAGAAGTGAAAAATACAGTCAAGTCCTGGACAGGTAGCTCCGTTGGTTGGAGCATCATCCAGATGCACCAGGATTGCAGGTTCGATCCCAGGTCAGGGCACATACAAAAATCAACCAATGAATGCATAAATAAGTGGAAAAACAAATCGATGTTTCTCCCTCTCTCTCTAAAAATCAATTGAAGAATATATATAGCCCTGCCCTGACTGGTGTGGCTCAGTGGGTTGAGTGCTAGCCTGCTAACTGAAAGGTCGCAGGTTCGATTCCTGGTCAGGAGATATGACTGGGTTGCAGGCCAGATCCCCAGTTGGGGACGTGCAAGAGGCAACCACACATTGATGTTTCTCTCCCTCTCTTTCTCCTTCTCTTCCCCTCTCTCTAAAAAATAAATAAATAAATACATACATACACACTCGTTTTATCAAAGGGAAACTACAGAACACCAAAGACAAAGAGAAGACCCTGTGATCAACTTTTTCTCTAGGAGAAAAAGTAGACGAGCGACCAAGGAGTGACCATTAGACTGACAGTAGAAGCTCTGCCTCCTCCAGCTGGGCCCGGTCACATACACTCTGGGGGTCCATCAAATAAATGCTCCCCGGGCACTCCTGACACCACGACCTTCCTCTCACCTCCTCACCTCCCCAGCCAAATACAGTCCTGAAGTCTGGCTAGGGCTCTAGACCTACGTGTAACCCACCTGTTAGTGGTTGCAGCTGGACCAGGGCACAGCCAGAACCTGTGGCCACCACACGGAAGTGGCTTAGGGTCCTCTTGACACCTTCCAGGATGTCCTTTCGGGATGGAGATTTCACTGGAACTACCTGTGGTATCAGCCCCCAAGAATGAAGAAGCGTCACACACCTGGGAGCTATACCCAGACTCTCCTTGTTCCCAGTAGACTCAGGGCAGGCAGTATAAGCAGTGGTCACTTGCCTGTTTTAGGGGACAGGACAGCCAGCCAACCATACCCCAAGTCTATAGCCTTAACTGCTCTGTAAGGTAGTATGTCTAGAGACTCCCCTCTTATTCCCTCCAGATCCTGACTCACGAGACCAATGCCATCAGCGTGTTCCAGTTTTAGAGCTGCTTGGATCTTCCCCTCAGAAGTAGCTGGGATCCCATCAGTGACAGCCCTGAGAAAGAGGCAAGAGGAGGTCACACAGTGGCTTGCCAGGACCTCCCCACTGTCATGGGAACCTGCCGGCACCTCTCACCAGTAGGTGGCTGTAGGCCTCTGGGCTCTTCGTGAATGGGCAAAGAACTTCCGGAGGCGGCATGCTGTCTGAGGACAACTGGAGAGGAGTACAAGCCCAGAGGTCTCCCTGGAGGAAGAGAACAAATCACGAAAGTTAAAGTCTCTAGGGCTCATTCACAAAAAAGGGAGGAACAATGACCTGCTTAAGGCCAAAGAGTAACACCAGACTATAACCCACACCTCTTCTGAGAAACAAGGCTTTCTTGTGTTTGATAATAAGGATGTAGCTCCCGGTGCCTCTTGCTATGCCCTGGGCCCCAGACAGCTCAAAGTCACATATCAAAACAATTACCAATTGCTGAGTGTCTACCATGTGCCAGGCACTGTCCTAGGAATTTTATATATATTAGGTCTGAAAGAATTAAATTCCCCACAAACAAGCCCAGGAGTTTGTGAAATTGCAAAAATATTTCTTCTCAAATACCACCTCTAATTGATGGCAGTTAGAGGAAAGAATATCAGTGGTCAATTCCCAATGCCTGCCACGAGTATGGGCTTGGAAAAGTGACTGCATCCTGAGCACTGAATTATCAGCTCTATCTTATGATTAAGGAAAGTGAGGCTCCGTGAGGTTTTCTGCTTTGCTTAAGGTCACAGCTTGTGCACTAGGATTTGAACCCAGATCTGTCTGCTCCCTCCTGTACCTTGCATTCTACCTCTATGATCCCAAACCAGCCGGGGTAATGTCTCAGCTTATTTCCAAGCAACCTGTTCCGCAACCCTAGATGGGTGCCTGTCCTCCTACCTTCCTATCACCCTCACCACTTACTTCCCAGAGGCGTGGACAACTTGGAGCTCCTGCTCGCCAAGTCCCAGGGATTGGCTCAGCTCTGGCAGCACAGAGAACAATGTGAGCTCTCCTGGTTTTCCTGGGAAAAAAGAAAAATACAAGTTGCTCCCAGTGGCAACTTTATCCCACCATCCTTCTCTTCATTATTCCCTCCCTCAGAGATGTCAAACCCCCTTTTAGTGGATCTCTTTCTCCTGGCCATACCTGTCACTGGAAGACCCTGTGGCTTGTTCAGCGTCACTAGTGGTCCTGAAACATGCATGACAGGAACATCATTGACAACAAAAGTAGCAGTTAGTTTACAAAGCACTTTCTCAATTCATGTTATCATGTGGCCCCACTACAACTCTCAGACAGGAGTTATCAACCACACCCTAAACTGAACTTCCTGTCCCTCACATATACTAAGCTTGCTGCTGCCTCAGGGCCTTTGCATTTACTGTTTCCTCTGTCCCAGATTTTCACATATCTGTCTCCTTCGCATCATCTTGGCTAAAATGTCACCACCAGAGAGACCTAATTCTGCAACCTAATGCCTGTCCTTGTTCCACAGTTCTCCACTGTCACGACAGTTTTATTCATAGCACTGATCACTAGCAAGTTCCTTGTTCATTTATTTTGGATTTAATCCATTTATCCCACTAAAATGTTGGGTCCCTGAGAGCAGGAACAATATTTGTCTTGCATAGCTGTGCCTAATACAGTGCGTGGAACATACCTATGCTCAATAAGTATTTGAGAAAATTATTAAATCGTTGAATGAAGACTGATGGTCAAATTGTTATTTTCCTAATGCCACATAGCAAGCTGATTACAGAGCCTCGATCTGATTCGAAAGCCTGTGTTTTGTCCATAAGCAATTATAACAATTCCCATTCTGAAGTGCCTACTGTGTTCAAGACCCTCTAGTTCTTCACACCCTCCCACCCCACATCCAACCCCCATAATGCTGAGACTTGGGTGATATTATGTGGCGCTTCCCTGCTCATATGTCTGATAGGAGGCAGACCGGGATTTGACCCCAAAGGCTTTAGTAGGGAGCCCAGTCAGTCCCCCAGAAGGCTCAGAGCAGCAGGCTGCCATCCCGGGTCTCCGTGCAGTTGTCCCTCTAACCCTCACCTTTCTGGTCCACCACGGATGCCCTCAACACATCAACCAGCTCCTCCCGACTGAGGTTCTCTGGCTGCAGCAGCCCTGGGAAGGGCTGGTTTTCCAGGGACCTCGACCGTTTGCTGAAGCCTCGAGGATGTAGCTGATGCCTGGAAAGGTGGGGTAAGCAACAGGGTAATCATTCCTTTCCCATGGTGCTGCCCATTCTTATCTCCACACACTTCTTCCTAAACCCTAACAATGCCTCAGAATGCCTGGCCTGAGCTCTCTGAAAATTCAGGTCCGACTGGCGGCGTTTTACACAGGAGAGGACTGAGGCTCAGCGAGGACTGGAGAATACTGTGCCATCACACCGCGGAACCGGCATTAGCACCCACATCTCCTTAATTTCAGATCCCGCACACAACATTTCCCCAGCCCCACCATCCCTCCCACACGAAGTTGGGGGCGAGTGCAATCACCAGGCCTCGGCGCCAAAGCCTGCGACCTTGAGAGCTGCGCGAACCCCCTGCGCCCGCCACCAGCCACCCGAGACGTGGCCCAAAACACTGTAGCCACCCATCTCCTGCGCGAGGCCAGTACGCATGTGTTCAGAGGGCAGCCCCACCCCCGCCTCTCCAAAAGCAGGCTGATTGGTCATATTGACTGTCAATCGGAATAGCAAGAAGGTGATGCTTTAGAGCCTTTGGAAGGCGGAACTTGGCCTTAGTCCTGGAAGGAAGTGAATAGATTCACGGCTGTGCTTTTAGAGAACCTGAGACACAGACGGAGGAGGGATTTCGCAGGGTCAGAGAAGCTGTATCAGGGCGCGGATGATAACTCATCAGAGTTGTAGTGGGGCTGCACGATAACATGAATTAGCAAAGTGCTCTTTGTAAACTGTAACTGCTGCCTTTGTTGTCAATTAGAATTAGATTTCTATACAAAACCTGGACGGCAGCTTAAGGTTTTCAGATTACCATTCCAATTCTTGGGAGCCTTCAGACTTCAAAAAGCCACTGTTGTGCACAATATCCTAAGGCAATTTGGCGGGGAAAAATCCAAACCAGTAAACCTGCTTGGAAGAACAGCCTGGTGCATAATCCAAAAGCAGAAAAAGGCCAGAGGCAGAAAGAGATTCTTTGAAGCATTATTTATCAAAACAAAAACAAAACAAACCTCAAAACTGGAAACAAATTGTCCTGTGATTAGCTCTATAGGGGCAATGACTCTAATATATCACTCGTTCAACATATTTTGAATGCTAACTGTATTCCAGGCAGGCCCTGGTTTCTGTAAGCTGGGAAACACAGATCAGCAAGACCCAGGCACTGCCCACAAGACTTTCAATCAGGTGAACGCAGTTCAGATCACAGCATCACACACGCCTTGTTAACCCTGTGCAGATTGTAAGAGAGAGAAGAGTGAGGAGACAGGTGAAGTCTGAACAGGTGTTCAAGCATGGGTTGTAATTGACAGGCTGTGAAGAACTTATACAAATTCACCAGGAGGCAGAGGGAGGGAACAACAGGAGAAATGCATTAGGTGTGTGTGTAGGGTGGGGGGGAGCGGGGTGGTGCTGGTGCTGGTGCTGGTGCTGGGTGGAGGGAGAACAAAATGGATTTTATCCTATAATTACAACTATGGAAAAGTTAGATGCAACCTGTGCCTTGCTTTATTTATTTACTAAGAACACCATAACTTAATCCATTGTTTGAATTAGCAAAAGACTTCAAATTAACCTAAATCCATCAACAGAGGGATGGCTAAGCCAATTGTAGCACACCCATACCCTGCAGCCATTAAGGAAGGTATAGGTCAATATGTGCTGATATTAATCAATCTCCAGAAAATATGAAGTAAAAAAAAGAAAAGTGAAGGGCAGTGTGATTTGAATACACATATACAGTATATATACAGTCATGTGCTGCATGACATTTCGGTCAGTTACAGACTACATGTGATGGTGGTCTTATAAGACTAATGGAGATGAAAAATTCTTACTGCCTAGTGATATTGTAGCTATCATAATGTCATAGCACAAGGTATTATGTGTTTTTGGTGATGCTGGTATAAACAAATCTAATGCACTGCCAGTTGTATAAAAGTATAGCACAGACAATTATGTACAGTGTGTAATACTTGAAAATGGTAATAAGAACTATGAGACTGGTTTATGTATTCACAATACTATACTTTTTATCATTACTTTTGAGTGTACTCTTTCTGCTTATTAAAAAAAAAAAAGTTTGGCGTTGGCTGGTGTGGTTCAATGGATTGAATGCCAGCCTTTGAACCAAAAGGTCACCAGTTTGATTTCCAGTCAGGGCACATGTCTGGGTTGCGGACCAGGTCCCTCGTTGGGGGCATGAGGGAGGCAACTGATTGATGTTTCTGTCACACATCAATGTTTCTCTTCCTCTCTTTCTCCTTCCCTTCCCCTCTCTCTAAAAATAAAGAAAATCTAAGGAAAAAAATAAAAAATTATCTTTAAAAAGTTTGCTATAACAGTATGCCATGTTATAGCAGCAACCCCATACATCCTGTGCTTACTGTATCTCTTAATTGTATCATTTTTTCTTGTGCTTGATTTAATCTTATGTTGTTTTGTACAGTAACATGTTATACAGGCTTGGAGCCTAAGAGCAATAGGCTATACCATGCATCCTAGGTGTGTTGTAGACTATACCATCTAGGTTTGTGTAACTATATGACTATATATGTTGTGAAATTCATGTATATTTATTAGATTTATATACTCCTGCATTTTTTAAAGGACACACAAAAAATGAGGTGGTAGTTGCTTCTGGAGAAGGAATCAGAGGTGAGAAGAGGAATAAATATTTTTTCCCTTTGGAAGTTTTTTAAAGTTTCTTAACTCATTGATACATTGCTTCTACACACACACACACCCCTAGTTTAAAAATCTAAGGTATAAAAGACTATAAGATTCATACAATTGTTTAAATAATAAAACATTTAAAAAATAAAAATCGGTAGAACTAAATTTTATTAAAAGACTGTGTGGTTCTATGTACATGATATTTGAGAATAGGCAAACTGTGTTGGCAGAAAACCAAGTGGATGCCAGAGGCTTGGGGTGGGTGGCGGGATGGGGGTTGACTGAAAGGGGCAGCTTTTTGGCGCGCTGCAAATGGTGGTCACATACTGTGTAGATTTGCCCAAATTTCACTGAACTTTATATACATCTTAAAAGGGTGAATTTTATTGTATATAAGTTATACCTCAAGAAGCTGTATTTCTAATTCAAAGATTTAAATAATCAATTCTTAAATTGGTGTGGGCAAATAGACAGTACTGACAAGAACTTTGGCAAGAATGCAAGGGGCTTTATCTTGTTTTACGCTTGGACATTAGTGTGCTTTGTCAAAAGGCCCCACGGTATTTTAGAATCTTTCTTCTGAAGGTCTCTTGTACATTTATAAGTGTTACAGTAGAATGAGCATCCAGAGGGGAAATAAAGGCAGGGCCCTCACCTTTGCAATCTAACGAAGAACTTAATACAGGAGGCTAAAAGCAAAGGCTCACCCGTTGACCCAGCAGTCCTGAGCCTGGCCCAATAAGGCTGCCAGCCATTCAGAGTAACATAAGCAAAACTATGATAGTGCAGGGAGAAGCCCTTAAAAGTCTGTGTGTATCATCTCCACTAGCTGGGAAATGGAAAATCTTAAGACTGTGTATTCATCCCAAGGCCTGGAAGGGAGAAGGGACTACCATGCCCAAAGGGGGAAAAAAACCCCTAAAACTTCTTTGGTTAACTGCCTGTCTCCCATCATGTATGCAAAATGAACAAATAGAGTCTGGAGCAAGATAAGGATTCCAGCTAATGGACCTTCACACATACCTACGTTCAGGTAGTTACGTCTCCCCAAAGGAAGCTGGCACCACATTTACCTGTCACTTCCTTGCCCCGACCCCACCAACTCTAGAACGTCTCAGGACAAAGGACTCGCCCTCTTGGCGCTCTTGGTTCTTTTTGCTACACTGGGGGCCCCTGGCCAGCCAGCCTCTGGCCACCCTGTTTTTGCCACCCCTGCTCTAGCCACACTTGCTTTCCCTTTCCCATTAGAACCTAGCGCTCCTGAGCTTCACTTGCATGCTAGTAGGCTTGCTGATTTGTAAGTCTTTACTGCATCAGTGAGAAGAACCGAGTTTCTGGGAGCTTCTCCCATACCAAAAGCACCAGCTTGAGCAAGATGGAAAGACTAAGGCAGAGTAGCTGGGACCAGGCCTGCCTTAACTGCAGCAGACCTCTTCTTCACTCCTGTGCTTGGCTCCAGGAGGGGCCATTCCTCTTCTTGGACTAACTGCTGGCCCCATTGAGGTTTGAACTCCCACACTCTGGAATTTTCCCTGAACATGCCCCAGCCTCATCAAAGCCTACCCTCTCCTGTTCACTGCCCACTGCCAGTGCCACTCCATTAATCTCCAAGCTCCTTGAAGAAAAGGAAGAATCTATTTTCCTGGGCTGGGATGGCTCAGTGCCAAGAGTCAGTCACGCAAGACTCACTCGAGAAACTCTAAACTCAGGTGGAGGGAGAGTGGGGACAAATTCCAAGCATCTGCCACCCCCCAGCCCAACTCAGGGTATGACTAATTTTATAGGAGGAGTAAGTAGGCTATAGCCTCAGCAAAGGGTGACCAGAACCAGCTTCTATGCTGACATAAACACTGTGCCTCCATGTGAGAAGACCCATCCCATGGAGCCAGGATGGCATTGAGCCCAGCCTCCAGCCATAACTGCAAGAGCAGGAAAGCCCAGAGCAGAAAATGTTCTGCTACCTCTGGCAGCTCCTCCCATACATGGCTGCAGGGTATGTATGGGTCAGCTGCCAGCATTAACTCTCCAACTCTATCTTTGGTAACCCAGGCCTTTGTCTTTGTTCTTTTTTTTTTTTTTAAGATTTTATTTATTTACTTTTAGAGAGAGGGTAAGGGAGGAAGAGAGAGGAGGGAAACATTGGCGTGCCAGAGAAAATTTGATAGTTGCCTCTAGGACATCCGCAACCAGGAACCCAGCCTGCAACCCAGGCATGTGCTCTGACTGGGAATCAAACCAGTAACCTTTCTGTTTTGGTATGACGCCCATCCCACTGAGCCACACCAGTCAGGGCTGTCTTTGTTCTTAATAAGTCCAAACAGACTTTAAGTAAGGGTCAGAAACGACACATTTTTTAATCTGAGAGATACAGACTAAAGCATGATCAACTGCAAACCTAGCCTTTCTTGCTTGTTTTGTTTGCGATGTTCTATATGAAAAATCCCAGCTCACGGTGATGAGAAATTAATATTCTTTGTGGCTACTTAACAGCTCATTTTGAAATGTTGAAGCTCACAGTTCTGAACTGTCTGGCAAGTTAGGGAAGGCATTGATGGAGAGCTGTGTTACCACTTGGTTACTGCTTTATCACCTAAACACTTAAAAGGTTGTAATGAAGTGCAACAATGAGAAGTTAGAAAGTGCCTGAATCTCACCCTGCCAATAAAGCCCTTCTGATAGGCAAAGTTATTTTAGTAAATTGTTATTTAGTATATGGTTTATATGGTTTGCTCAAGTTTCTGGTTAAGCAGACATTAGTTCCAGAATCAACTGCAATTTTTTTTTTTTTTTTTTTTTTTTGGCAGAAAAAGTGCTATTTCCTGTAACTCCACATTTTGGAGAATGACTTGACAATTGATTCTTCTTTTCCCTTAGACTTTTTCAACTTTCCAGATAGAAACCCACCCTCATCGCCAAAGAACACAGGCAAAGATGTATCAGCGTAAATCATTTCTTGTGAACTCTCTCATATCATACACTAGTGGGCCTGACAATTCACTCAGTAGTATTAGGGATGGTGGCCAGGAGGCAGGGAGTGTGATGAAAGTACAGCACGTGAAGGCAGGTAGCTGAGGGGCAGACTTCCTGCCTAGCCTGTTGGTGACCAGTCTTGGTCAGCTAAGCTACCTTGCGTAGGAAGGAACTGGGCCAGGCCAAAACCCCTCAGTTCTCCTTTGGCCAGCCCACCCCCGGTTTCCAGCCTTTCCCCCTGCTTCCACATTCATAGTCCTGTGGGGATGAGGGAGATGTAGGGAGGTAAGAAGCTCTCTAACTGCCAGGCTTGTGGGTGCTACCAGCTGAGCATGGGGTCTCTAGTCCAGTCCTTGGCAGGAGAAGGCCTCCAAAGACGTGGGCTTTCACTGCAGCATCTTCAGACAGGTTGAGATGAGGGATGGGGTCTTGCTCTTGGGAGGCTGCTCTCCCTCTGTGGCATCCAGAAGCTGCTGCATGTAACAGGAGGTGCCGAGCAGCACGTGGCCCGTGGCCTGCATGCTGAGGAGGGCCCACCGAAGAGTTTCCCTGGGTGAAATGAGAAGGCAGTAGAGTCAAAACACAAAGAAAGCCCCTGCCTGCATCTCCTAAATGCTCCTTCCCCACAAGTCATGTGCAAACAGAAACAGATGCTGCCTTCCCCCAGCAGATGGGAAAGGGTCTACAGGTATTACCATTAACTGTACCTTAAGTGAGATGTCCAAAATTTGAGCTCATTTAACAAGGCCTTTTATTTTTGTAATACTACTTGACCCACCATATTGATCTACATAACATGAAAATTCTAACTCTGCCCTTCACAATATCTGTTCTAGACTCTGAGGCTTTTCCAAGTCAGTTGTAGTCAAGCTAATTTTCAGAGTGCTGGACATGAAGACACCATTTCGATCCCATGCAGGGTTAGGAGGTTGAAATGACATAAACCACTTAACATGGGGCCTCATGTGTAGAAGAGTAAGGGCGTTGTGGGGTCAGGAGTAGCTGTTTGAATGCTTGACCACTTTAACCAAGCTCTTAGGCAAATCTGTTTAAAAGAGACAGGTGAGAGTCACTAGCATGTCAGTCCTAGAGGTTATCAGGGAGAGGAAAACAAAAGGAAAATAAATACTCCCTGGATGATATTAAAACTTATCTTCTATTAACCTTCATTCAATAAATGATGGTTGAGGTAGAGGGGGGCAGAAAGACAATTAGAACCATAAACAACAACACATAAAAATACTTTAAAAATATAAAGGTTGTATCAGAGATGTACACCCATTTCTTAAAGTACAGAACTGAGGCTTAAAACCAGTTGTCCAGCCATAAATAGGAATCAAATTCTTATACATGTTACAATGTGGATGAGACTTGAAACCATTATGCTAAGTAAAATAAGCCAGACACAAAGAGACGAGTCTTGTATGATTCCACTTGTATGAGAGCCATAAAATAGGCAAATTAAATAGAGATAGAATGTAGAACAGAGGTTACCAGGGGCTAAGGGCGAGGGGAGTAGGGGGTTAATGTTTAATGGGTACAGAGTTTCAGTTTGGGATGATGAAAATGTTCTGGAAATGGATAGCAGTGATGATTATACAACACTGTGAGTGCCACTGAATTGTACACCAGAAAGTAGTTAAAATGGTCAATTTTATGTGATGTGTATTCTAGCATAATTAAAAAACCAACAGCTAGCCAACAGCACCATGTCACTACACTGACTGCAGTTTGCAATTGTTTTTTTGATACCAAAAAGTCTCCTGAGTTTAGGACTGAGACTCTTATTTCCCTTAAAGGGACTAAAACTTCTTTCTCTGGACTGAAATCCACAAACTACTGACAGCAAGCCCAGAACAAGAGAGGGCATGATGTGGTGTAGGTGGAACAGGGGACTTCTAGTCATAGAAACAGGCTCAAGTCTGCCACTGAGTTTTTTGTCATCTCTGGCAAGCAGAACCACGCAGTGTCAGGTCCCTCATCTGCAGATTGGGTGTGCAGAGACTAAAGTCAGAACGCCCAGAAGGTCTGATATATGCCACCTACATATGTTTTGGCAGAATTCTGGAGACCCTGAGCAGGACTTCTTAGAAGCTCCCTGAGAGAAAGGGTCATATGGATCTTCAGTCATTCTACAATTATTTGAATTACTGCTATCTGCTAGCATTCATCAAGGTACTGGAAGCAACACAAATTCTTGCCTTCATGGAGCTTGTCCTGACATCTTGTTCTTTAGCTTACAGAACAGGGCCAAGAACACAGTGGGTACTCACTACAGACTAAGTTAAGCAACTGGAGAAGAGCGGAATCTGTCAGAAGAGACAGGCAAGAGGTCATACTCTGTTCCTCCTTAGCTCTGTGGCTTTGGATTCATTGGATGGCCTCTGCCTCAGTGGCCACATCCTTCTAACGGGGTAGCAATGCTGCAGAGTACCACTGCAGCAGCTGCATTGGCAGAACACTACCGTAACATTCCTCATCTTATGATTTTTTTTTTTAGATTTTAAAAAAAATTATTTTTAGAGAGAGGGGGTGGGAGGGAGAAAGAGAGGGAGAGAAACATATGATGTGCAAGAGATACAAAGGCCTGTTGCCTCTCGCATATCCCCAGTTGGGGACCTGGCCCACAACCCAGGCATGTGCCCTGACTGGGGACTGAACCAGTGATGTTTAGGTTCACAGGTTAGCACTCATTCTACTCAGCCACACCAGCCAGGGCCTTCCTCTTATGATTTAATGTATCCTCATGTTTCCTCTGATATTTGATTAGGACTTCTGAAAGTAAAGTAAAAAGTTTTCAAAAGGTCATTAGATAACACAAATGGCTATTGTCTGACCATAGACATGCAAATTAATTCTGTCCTATGGGGAGACAATTATTTCACCCCTCCCGCCCCCATGGAAAATTCCAATTTTGTACCTATAAATTAATTTCAGCTTTATTGATGGACCTTGTATATAGGTGGGGTTCTGAATTCTCCTTTGAACTGATTATAACTTCTTGCTGATTCTCTCATTAATTAATGAGTTAAATAAAACCTTTTTGAAAAAACTTTTTTAATTTTTTTTTTTAAGAGAGAAGAATGGAAGGAAAGGGAGGGGAGAGAGAGAGAGAGAGAGAGAGAAAGAGAGAGAGGGAGAGATTGATTTGTTTTTCTATGTTGCTATGCATTCATGGGTTGTTTCTTGTATGTGCCCTGATGGGGGATTGAACTCACAACCTTGGCGTGTCAGGATGACACTCTAATCAACTAAGCTACCTAGTCAGGGCCTCAATAAAATCTGTGACACGTGTTCATTTTTAACAGTTGATTAGAAGACTATTTAGGAAAACCTACTATTTTAAGTGGAAAAAAATTAGAAAAACTACCTGCAGGAGTATGTGTACCCCTTTGGCATACACTAGTGAAAGCTAAAGCACTAGTTAAGCCATAAGTTCTGAACAAATGCTAACTGTCTTGCTTTGTCAGCATCAATACCAGTCCCAGGCCCTAAAAGGCTAAGGTCCATGTGAGCAGATAGGGGTTCTTCCAGTGCCGCATACCCACCCTGCCCCCAGTTCACCCCAATTCACTCACTTCATCATGCGCTTGGCTCCATAGCAGTTCAGATTGTAGGAAAGGGAGTATGTGCCATAGAGAGTTGCCTTTACATTCAGGCAGCCAAAGAGGTCCTGTGGGTTCATCTTGTACAGGTCAAAAGTTACACGGGCCACATCGATCTTCTTGGCAGGCTTACAGGAGGGGGAGAGTTGGTACCTAGTGCCCTGTATCAAGACAAGTATGTGGTTGGAACCTCTCAAGGACTTCGTCCAGACTCCCAAAGCTCTCCCTCCACGGGTGGCACCTCACCTGCTCTGATGGGGGCTGCCATTTCTGCCCCTTCTGGAGGACCATGAACACTGTGTCATCTGCCAGGGTCTGGAAGTACTCTTCTGTCTCTACTGCTGTGCCATCTTCCTCCAGGACCAGGAACAAGGGCTTGTCCTCCAGCATCAGGATGTCCCGGGCCTGGGGAAAAAAGTTAGTGATGCTTCTGCCATCCCCATGTAGCTACAGAGCTGGTTGGTGCACAGGACAATGCTCCAACCAACTAAGCCACATGGCCAGGGTTAGTTATATCACATTGTTAATTGATTCACCTATTTTTTAAAAACTTTATATTTACTTATAGAGAGAGAGGAAGGGAGGGAGAAAGGGTGGAACAGAAACATCAATGTGTAAGAGATACATCAATTGGTTGCCTCTTGCATGCCCTAGGCCACAACCCAGGCATGTGCCCTGACTGGGAAACAAACCAGTGACCTTTTGGTCAACAGGCTGGCACTCAGTCCACTAAGCCACACCAGCAAAGCCTGATTCATCAATTGATGGACCTTTGGTTTCCATTTTTTGAGTATCACAAATAATGCTATTATGAACATTCATGTACAAGTTCTTGAGTGAACATATGTTTCTTATTTTCCTGGGTATGTGCCTAGTAGTGACATTGCTGAGTCGTAAGTAACCCCATTTTTAACTTTTTAAAGCACTACCAAACTGTTTTCAAAAGCAGCGGCATTATTTTATATTCCCACCACAAACGTATGAGGATTCCAATTTCTCCACAATCTCATCAACATTTGTTATTGTCTGTCTTTTTTATTTTGGCTGGTATGAAGTGATTTTGATTTGCATTTCCTTAATGACAAAGATGAGGAATATATTTTCATGTGTTGTTAGCCACTTGTATAGCTTCTTTACAGAAATGTCTACTCAAAACCTTGCACATTTTTAATTAGGGTGTCTTTTTATTGTTGAGTTATAAGAGTTCTTTATATAGTCTTGATATTAGACCCTTATGAGATATGCAATTTGCAAATATTTTCTCCCATTCTTTTCCCTTGATTGTTTGTGCTTTGGTGCCATATCTAAGAAACCAAGATCATGAATGCTTATATCTATATTTTCTTCTAAGGGTTTTATAGTTTTAGCTCTTCATTTAGCTCTTTCATCTATTTTGACTTAATTTTGTACATATGTGAGAGAGGGATCCAACTTTATTCTTTTACATGTGCCTATCCCATTGTCCCACCACTATTTGTTGAAAAGAGTATTTTTTCTCCATTTAATAGTCTTGGCATCCTGTCAAAAATCAACTTACCAAATATACATGGGTTTATTTCTGGACTTTCAATTCTATTCCATTGATTTGTATGTCTTATGGACTGAATTGTATAGTCCCAAAATTTATATTCTGAAGACATAAGTACTAGTGCCAAATGGGATTGTATTTGTAAGTAGAATTTTTAAAGAGGTAATTTAGACTTCTGGCCAAGATGGAGGCATAAGAAGATATCCTTCACTTCCTTGCACAACCAGAAGAAGGACAAAACCAATTTAAAAACAAAAAACAACCAGAACTGCCAGAAATTAGTACTGTATGGAATCCAAAAATGAAGGAGTTAAAGAAGAAATATTCATCCAGACTGCGCCACAAAGCACTGGTTGCCCCACCCTGGCGAATACCTACGGCTCTGCCCCTTACAACACAACAGGTGCACCGAAACAAAGAAATATGGCCCAAATGAAAGAAGACTTCAAAGCTCCTGAAAAAGAATTAAGCAACGAGGAGATAGCCAACCTATCAGATATTCATTGTATAATATTCATTTTAATATTCATTTTGTAAGACTTATACCTCTTATTAAACTTATTCTTAAATATTTTATTCTCATTGATACTATTAGAAATTGAATTGTTTTCTTAATTTCATTTTCATATTGTTTATTTCCAGTATGGAGTTACAATTGATTTTTTAAAATTATATTTTATTGATTATGCTATTACAATTGTCCCATTTTTTTCTCCCCTTTATTCCCCTCCACCCTGCACCAGCTAAGCCACATGGCCAGGGTTAGTTATATCACATTGTTAATTGATTCACCTATTTTTTAAAAATTTTATATTTACTTATAGAGAGAGAGGAAGGGAGGGAGAAAGGGTGGGACACCCTCCCCCAAGCATTTCTCCCACCCCCTTAGTTCATGTCCATGGGTCATACATACAAGTTCTTTGGCTTCTCCATATCCTTTATTATTCTTAATCTCCCCCTGCCTATTTTGTACCGGCTATTTATGCTTCTTATTCCCTGTACCTTTCCTCCCGTTCTTCCCCCTGCCCTCTGATCTCCATTTCTACTATTCTGTTCCTATTCTAGTTGTTTGTTCAGTTTTTATTTTATTTTACTTCATTTTATTTACTTTAGGTTCAGTTGTTGATAACTGTGAGTTTCTTGTCATTTTACTATTTGTAGTTTTTCATCTTCTTTTTCTTTGATAAGTCCCTTTAACATTTCCTATAATAAAGGCTTGGTGATGATGAACTCTTATAATTTGACCTAATCTGGGAAGCACTTTATCTGCTCTTTCATTCTAAATGATAGCTTTGCTGGATAGAGTAATCTTGGATGTAGGTCCTTGTCTTCCATGACTTTGAATACATCTCTCCCTTCTTGCCTGTAAGGTTTCTTTGGAGAAATCAGCTGACAGTCTGATAAGAACTCCTTTGTAGGTAACTCTCTGCTTTTCTCTTGCTGCTTTTAAGATTCTCTCCTTACCTTTAATCTTGGGTAATGTAATTATGATGTGCCTTGGTGTGTGCTTCCTTTGGTCCAACTTCCTTGGGACTCTGAGCTTCCTAGATCTCCTGGAAGTCTATTTCCTTGGCCAGATTGGGGAAATTCTCCTTCATTATTTTTTCAAATAAGTTTTCAATTTCTTGCTCTTCCTCTTCTTCTGGTACCCCTATGATTTGGATGTTGGAGCTTTTAAAGTTGTCCTGAGGTTCCTAAGCCTCTCTCTCTCTCTCTTTTTTTAAATTCTTGCTTCTTCATTCGGTTCTGGTTGAATGTTTATTTCTTCCTCATGCTCCCAATCATTGATTTGCGGCCTGGTTTCCTTCCCTTTACTATTGTTTCCCTGTATATTTTTCTTTATTTCACTTTGCATAGCCTTCACTTTTTCCTCCATTTTGCGACCATACTCAGCCAATTCAGTGAGCATCCAGATTACCAGTGTTTTGAATTGTGCTCATTGCTTAGTTCTATTTTTGGAGCTTTGATCTGTTCTTTCATTTGGCCCATATTTCTTGGTCTCAGTACACCTGTTATGTTGGGAGGGGCAGAGCCTTAGGTATTCCCAGGAGGTGTCGGGGGACCACCCCAGCCTCAGGTTGCTTGTGACACTGTGTGTGGGGGAGGGGTCCGAGAGGGGACAATGCTGCTTGCTCGGTCCTCAGCCGGCTTTCAGTCACTTCCCCCGCCACCCACAAGCAAATAGGGCCCTTCCGTTGCTGATTCCTGGGTGGGTGGGTTTGTGTACGTTCTAGGACCCTGTGGGTCTCTCCAAAGGAGTCTCCTGTGAAGGCGGGAGTTTGTCCCGCTGCTGCAACCCCCACAGGTTTTTACCTCCAGAGGTTTTGAGGCTTTCTATTCCTGCACTGGAACCCTGGATTGCATGGTCTGTCTCACTCCCCAGCTGTTCCTCCTGGTTTATCCACATGCAAATGTGGGACCACCCGATCCAGTCTGCCAGCCGCTGCCTTGCCACGTGTCCTCTCTGCCCCTGCTGCCTGTCTCTGTTCCTCCTACCAGTCTGGATGAATCTTTCTCCTTTAGCTTCTTGGTTGTTGGACTTCCATACAGTTCGATTTTCTGTCAGTTCTGGTTATTTTTTTGTTTTTAAATTTGTTGTTGTCCTTCTTTTGGTTATTCGAGTAGGCAAAGTGTATCTACCTATGCTTCCATCTTGGCTGAAAGTCTACAATTGATTTTTATATATTGATCTCATATCTTACAACGTTGTTGAACTCATTTATTCGCTCTAATTTTGTATGAGTGTTTGTGTGTGTGTGTGTGTGTGTGTGTGTGTGTGTGTATTCCTTAGGATTTCCAATAACAAGATCATGTCATCTGCAAATAGAGGTAGTTTCACTTCTTGTTTTCCCATTAGGGTACCTTTTATCCCATAATCTTGTCAAATTACCCTGGCTAGAACCTCCAGTACAATGTTGAATAGAAGTGGCAAGAGCAGACATCCTTATCTTATTCTTATTCTTAGGGGGAAAGCTTTCAGAGTTCTACCATTAAGTATAATGTTAGCTGTTGCCCTGGCTGGTGTGCCTCAGGGCACTGAGCCCTGGCTTGTGAACCAAAGGGTCGCTCGTTCGATTCCCAGTCAGGGCACATGTCTGGGTTGTGGGCCAGATCCCCAGTAGGGGATGCGTGAGGCAACCACACATTGATGTTTCTCTCCCTCTCTCTGTTTCCCTCTGTCGAAAAATAAATAAATAAATAAATATTTAAAAATATAGAATGTTAGCTGTCAATTTTTTATAGATGTTCTTTATCACACACATGTAATTTAAAATTTTCTAATAGTCACATTAAAATAAAAACAGGTGAAATTACTTATAATATATTTAATCCAATCTAAAATATATGTATATAATTGAGATAAAATTTATAAGATTTTATATTTTTAAGTCTTCAAAATCTTATATATACTTTATGCTTAAGCACATCCCAATTTCAACTAGATAAATTTCAAGAGTTCAGTAACCATATGTAACTAGGAGCTACTGCATTGGAGAATGCAACTGTAAACAGACCAAGGTTTGAATTTTAGCCTCCCTACTTCATTGTTCTGAACTTAATCAAGTCATGTCATTTCACTAAACTAGTTTCTTCATCCAAAAATTTGAGGCAAGTACAGTGTTAGAACCCTCATAATGATTAAATGTAAAAGTGTATGAGATGATAGTTTGGGTTCCCAGTGAATAAACTTGGCCTCTGCCCCTAGAAAATGGGAATAATTGTAACTATCTCAAGGTTATGATTATAAGAAATGCTATATATGAGTCATATGGCAGGATACATAATCCATAATGTGCAGTTACTAAATTTTATACCATACTAATTAAAATGGAAAAAGACCTATGACATGTCATAGGATAAAAAGTCAGGCTCCATACTGTATAACCCAATTTTTAAGTAAGTTATATGTAAGGATAGACAATTTAGAACGTTCATGGTCATACCATTAGCTATCTTGGAATAGTAGAATTCCCACCTTACTTTTCTTACTTGGATTCACTAGAGAACATATTTTTCTGCTTACAATCTTTTAAAGACCTGGGATCAACAAAACACCAATAGCATTGAACACACTTAGCTCCCACATCTTGGTTTCTGAATACCATTTTTCGTTAAAATGAAGCAAATCTTCTTAGAAAAAATGGTGAACTCAAGGGCTAGGGCAGCAATGATGAGCCTATAATACCCTGTTGTGCCAGAAAGAAAGCACAACACAGAAATAAGGCTGAAGGGAGTCCCACTGGCCAAGACTGGGACAATCTGAGCATCAATAAAAATAATTGTCAGCATCCTTAGATCTCATTTAAATGGGGATTCTTGAGTCCTTTTTGATATAAGTAAATGAATAAATTGAAATTTAGATGCAGAATGAGATTTTACTTAGTGCAAAATACCTCCCTAGAAAATAGTTAACACAAAGAGAAAAATAATAATTTTACATAGAGAAGCCTGACTATACCTTTTTATTCAAATCTTCCAAGTTAAACAGTAATGTGACAAATCACAATTGTATGCAATTAGACAATTCTACACTAAAGGAGAATAAACAAAACGACTGTAATCTTCAAAACAGTCATGGCCAGGAAAGTCAATGAAATTGAAGAACTGTTCCAGATTGAAGGAGACTAGAGATGTACAATTTAATAGAACACTTGATCCTGACCTGGGTCCTTTTGTGACAAAGCATATTATTGGGACAATTGAAATACTTGAATGGAGTTTCAAGATCAAATTGTAGTAGTCATGTAATATTGTATTTTCCCTGATTTTGATGGTTGTGGTTATATAGAAGAATATCCTTGTTTGGAGAAAACACACATTGAAGAGTCCAAGAACGATAGGCATCAGGTTGGCAACTTACTCTCAAATGATACAGAAAGTCTTGTATCGTTCTTGCAACATCGCTTGTTTGAGATTGTTTAAAAAAAAAAACAATTTTAAGAACATCCTCCAATAGCATACAGTTTTTTAACATGAAACGCAACTGTTCTCTGCCATAGCCAATAAGGGACTTCATAACCTGGTCTCTGCCAACCATATCTCCTTACCCTTTCTCCTCTCACTTTCTCTGCTCTTTTCTTTCTGTTGCTAAATTTGGAAAGGTAGTCTCGATAAACAGATGTCCTCCCTGCTCTGTTGGTAAGATCACTTCTAACCTGTGGTCCATCTTAGAAAGCTGAAGCCTCACTGCCGTTCCTCCCTGCATCCTCTGGAGTTAGAGCTCTTACTAGGAATTGCCAAACTCAGTGGCTATAAGAATCTACTGAAGAATCTGCTAAAAATGACAATCCCTGAGCCTCACTCATGACCGAATCAGTTTCAGGCAAATAAGTGTGGGAAGCCATGTGTTAACAAGGCCATTTTAATGCATAAGGTGTTCCCCCAACCAGAGACTCAAGTGTGAAAGATCACTTTTGATTCAAGGCACAAAAAATGTAGTCAGGCACAAAAATTGTAGTCTGGCACAACCAGAAGCCTCAAAAGAGAAGAGAAATTGGCTTCCAGGAAGAATGGGCCTAATTCAGAGAAATGGGGGAGGAGAACCTAGAATAGAGGGTTAGGTCAGGTAAGATTTCTATATGCTAAGCAGTCTAGTAATTGGAAGCCTAATTCAAACATTTCATCTATGTCAGGACCTGGACTTCCAGATGAGCAGGGTCCCACCTCCTGGTGCTGATAAACTAGTGGGGCAGTGAAACACATGATGTCTATGGAGGCAGAACAGATGATGCTGTAGGCCAGGCAGTGGGAGAAGGTACTCCAACCAAGTGGAGAGGGAGCCTGAAAATAGGGAAGGGTATCACTACCTTCCACAAGAGTTGTATATCCTGGTTTCCTCCTCTGGAAGCTTTCCTTGTTAATAGTTTGAAGAAAGTCTTCCACAGTCACTAAAAAGCCTTATATGATAAGTCAATACAGGAGACAGTCTGCGGAGAACTGCCCTGGCTAAACTAAAGGGAGGAGATGGGGAAGGGAATGTCCAAAATCTTGCCCATTTCCCCAAATTTCAGGCACTTCTACAGTTTAAGAACGATTGAAAAAAGCAACCTAAGGATCCTTCCAAAGAGAAAATATGCTCTGGGCCATGGCTAGGTAGCTCAGTTGGTTAGAGCATCATCCCCGTACACCAAGGTTGCGGGCTCAATCCCGAGTCAGGGCACATACAAGAATCAACCAATGAATACAAAAATAAGTGGAACAACAAATTGGTGCTTCTCTTTCTCTCCCTTACCGCTTCCTCTCTCTCTCAAATCAATCAACAAAAAAGAAAGAAAATATGCTCTGAAAATACCACTGATTTTCAGTGGTACAGGGAGGCAACATACTGTTTTTCCCCTATCAACAGACAATATCACTAATCAATTGAAAAGCACTCTAGGCAGGCGCTAACAACCCATTTGAGCTGGCATTAGAACAGAAATCTTTTCCCCATGTAAGCCATGAACTCCATGCTTGCTGAACTCCCAGCTCATGACCTGGAGGACAGAGGCAGCTTGCAGGGCCAACTCAGAGCCAAGGTCTCCGTGGTTCGGCTGTGCAGAGGTCAGACCCACCCCTCACCTTGTGGAGGAGGTCCTCCAGACTGTGCGCCATGATGCCCTTCCGCACGCTCCGGTCCTTGGTGCTCACTCTGCAGGGCCGGGCTCTGAGGGGCTTCTGGCTGGGCAATGGCAGCAGCTGCTGGGTCACTGCTGAGGTGCTCATTGGCACAAACCTGGGGGTGGTTTTGGACATCAGAATAAGCTGTCTGCTGCTTCCCAGCTCTCACCCCATCCCACAGCAGGGCAGCTCACTTCCTAATCCCTCTAGGCTGAGCTTACTATATTCCTCCTCCCCTATCACTTACCACGCTTGCTGTAGATAGTCCTACTCAAAAGTCAGCTACATCAGTGCACCTCAGATTTTAATGGGCTATAAGTCCTTGGGGGATCTTGGTGAAACACAGATTCTGATTCAGTAGGTCTGGGTGGAAGTTGAGATTGTGTATGTCTAATAAGTTCCCATGTGATACTGACTCTGCCTGTTCTCAGGCCATGAGGAGGCACAAGGTTGATAGAAGACCCACCCCTCATTCCCCCAATTCCACTTTCCTCTCTAGACCTCATTATTCTCACCTGCAGAGTGAGATGAAGTGGAGAAGCTGACATCAGTGTAAGGTGTTTTTAAACTCTGACATACATGATGTAGAACCAAAGGAATGGAGGGAATCTGGGTTTTGGAGTCAGGCAGGCCAGAGGGTGAATCCTGGCTCCACCATCCTATCCATGTGCTAGGTGATTGAGAGCATCCACTCTGTGCTTCAGTTTCCTCATCTATTAATTTGGTATAATAATCCTTATCTCCCAAAGAGAGCTTTAAATGAGAACAAGAGCAAAAGCACCAAGCACAGAGTGGTGGTGGTTGGGGGCTGTGTACCAGGGTTAACTCAGCCTGAGGGCTTACTGGAAGGACAAAAATCTTGGGTTCACTCCAGGCCTCCTGAATCAGAATCTGCATTTTATCAAGATGCCCAAGTGAATTATGTGACACTGAAATGTGCGAAGCTGTGCCTTACAGCTCACAAGTAGCTCCCCTTCCCTTCCACCGTTGGTTCTCCTCACCTGCACAGGGACTTGGGGTGGAGAAGGCTGAGGGACTTCATGGCATATTCCATCCTTCTCACCTGGACTCTGTTGGACCTGGGGAAAAATCAGAAACAACTCTTTGTGGTGGGCTGGGGGCTTTCCTCTCCTCTCTCTCATCATTTGACTCAATACAACCCCACTCCCATCCAGCAAGCCTCCACTCCGTCTCCCCTCTCAACTCACAGACACCTTCCCCAGCCCTTCTCCTGTTCTACACTGTGCACACCAACTGTGACCACGCTGGAGACCCCCTCAGTGTCCAGGCTCAGCCCCACTCAGCAGCCGCTCCACCCTCCTCAATACCACTCACTCCATGTTTCTCCGACTCTGGCTCTGATCACACTGATCCTAAGTCAGGGCTAAAGAGGTCCAGCCTGATTAGTTCCTTTCTGGGGGCAGAGTCCACTTTATGTTGGCAGGACGTGAGTCACACCACCTCACACTGCTGGGGACTGTTCCCGCACCTCTGATCCAGAGACCTCACAGGTCAGGCCCTCCCAGGCCAGGCAGCCCAGCCTAAGCTTGCTCCCTCCGATGGATCCTCGAGCGAGCTTAACCCTCCTGAGGCTTCCCACTGACTAAAGGGACTTACTGCGATGAAGAAGATCTTCTATATCTAGTCTCTCTATTTCTGGAGCTACTAGCCCTAGGTGGCGATTGAGCACTTGAAATGTTGCTAGTACACCTAAGGAGCTAGATTTTTAATTTTATTTAACACTAATTAATTTAAATTTAAATAGCCACTGTGTCTTATGGCTCTGGCAACCATACTGGGCAACACAGCTCTAGCTGACAGCCTTGGGCTCACCTGCCACCACTTTATTTCCTAAACCTCTACGGTCCAGTTCTTGCATGCTCCAAGTCTTTGCACAGGCAGTTCACTCCACCTGCAATGCCTTCCTTCCATTTGGCCCAAGGCCAAATGTTTGTAGCTTTGAAACCCCAGTTGCATTGTTTCCTACTCCTTAGAAGGGACTTCTTACATGACTCACAGAATTTCCCCTTCATTCTGCCTTTCCTACTTCCTAGCCAAGTGTTTGTTTCTGCCTTTGCCCCCAGCGCCTATGTTGCCTGGCCCTGAGGTGTTCTCTGTAATCCTAGGCTCCAGCACAGAAAGGGCTGGGCGCAGACCAATGGCCTCAAGCAGTGGTCACGGAAGAAAAGCCTCCTCCCCACCCAGGTAAATTCACTCTTCCTTCCAACAATGTGGGGAAGGGACCTCCTCAGGCCTACCTAGCCTGCGAAAGCCCTCTCCCCCACTTTGCACTACTCAAGTCTGCTTGTTTTGGCCCCACCTCTCACTCCTACTCCTTATCCATAGCAAAACTCTGCCAAACCCTACCTCACCTGCTCTCCAAGAGCCAAAAAAACAAAACACCCCAAAACAAAAAACTCCTTACCTCCCCCTCACAGTCTCCTAACCTCTTTACAATACTTCCCTGCTCAGCACCTCCCGCCCTCCGTTTTATTTCCAGCTCGGGAAGCCCCTCCCCTGGCCTTCAGTGCCAGCTGGGGAAAAGAGCAAGGGGAGTGAGTGCACAGCTCTCCCCCTTGGGATTTCAGGCCAGCCTAACTGCCAGAAAAGGCCTGAAAGGCGGGGAGGCGGCATGTTACGACAGCTCTGGGACAGAGCCTGTCCCAGGGCGAGGTATCAGGCACAGAGGGCACAGAAAACAGGCCCTTGTGGGTTGTGGCTCCAGCTCCACCCATGGTAGCTGCTGAGTGTAGACAAGTTGCCTTATGCTCATGATCTCCAGTTTCTCTCCCTGTACAAAAGGGAATAATGATTCCTGTATCAAAGGATTAAGGTGGATTGAGGTGAGGATTCATGATAATAAAAGTAAAGGGCTTTGCAACAAAGACACTTAATAGATAGAAGAGAATATTGGTATTATTAATAATATAATTATTTAATAATAGCAGAGGCTAATACTAGTTGAAATGTGTAGTGGTTCAGAGGGTAAGATCTATGACCCAGCAATTATACTCCTAGATATATTGAAAGATAGATAGATAAATAGATTATCTACTCCTAGATATGCGTATATAATCTCCAAGAGACATAAAAATGTTTGTCTATACAAAACTTATACGTGAGTGTTTATTAGCATTATTAATAATAGCCAAAATTTAGAAACAACCCAAATATTCATCAGTTGATGAATGGATAAAAAATGTGGTATATCCATAAGTAGAAAATTATTCATCAATAAAAAGGATAGGTGCTATTACATGAATGAACTTTGAAAACATATGTAAAGTGAAAGAAGCCAGTCACAAAGATCACATATATGTTTTTATGATTTCATTTATATGAAATGTCCAGAATAGGCAAAACTATAAAGGCAGAAAATGTATTAGTGGTTGCTTAGAGCTGGGGCTGGGGAATGGGAGGGGAATGGGAAGTGACTGTTAATAGGTACAGAGTTTCTTTCAGAGGAGACAAAAATGTTCTAATCTGTTAAATTTAATCACAATTTATTTTGGCAATGATTGCACAGCCCTGTGAATATACTAAAACCCATTAAATTTTATACTTGAGTGGGAGAATTGCATGGTATGTGAATTATATCTCAATAATGCAGTTTTTTAAAAGGCTTATTTATTTATTTTTAGAGAGAGGGGAAGGGAGGGAGAAACAGAGGGAGAGAAACATCGATGTGAGAGAGGAACATCTCTTATGCATCCTGGCCAGGAACTGAACCTGCAACCCAGGTATATGCTCTGACCAGGAGTTGAATTGGCAATCTTTTGCTTTGTGGATGATGCCCAACCAACTGAGCCACACTGGTCAAGTAAATAACACAGGTTTGTTTCTTTGTTTTTTTTTAAAAACTAGTCCAATTTTAGTGCAGGATTTTTCATACCAGTGAGTGCATCAGAATCACCTGGAGGGTTTGCTAAAATTCAGGCTGCTGGGCTCCACCCCCGAGCTTCTGGCTCAGTATGTCTGGGGTGGAGCCTAAGAAAATGTACTAACAAATTCCTAGGTGATGCTGAAGCCGTGGCTACTTAGGTACAATATTTTGAAAATCAGCAGTCCAGGACTAGCTGTGTGACATAATTCCTCTAAACTTCAGCTGGAAATGACAAATGGGGATTAAAAGTAATTCCTACCCTATTGGGTTGTCATGAAGATTAAATGAGATAATTGTGAAGTGTACTTGCTGTAGAGCTTAGTACATTCATCAGGCTCAATTAATAGCTACTATAATTATAATTTTTCATCACCATTATTATTTAGATCTAAATCCTTCTCTGGAGGAGCTCCCAAGCTACCATCATTCACATGTGCCAGCGTTCCCAGGGGCTGAGAATATACCAGGAAACAAAGCCGCCTTGTCCTATACTTCAAGGAGCTGACATCACTGGAGGAGGGGGGAACTCTGACCATGAACAAATATGCAAATGAACAAAATAATTCAGATAACGATGCACTGAGAAGAAAATAAAACAAGGTGATATGATAGCAAATGGCTGGAGAGCTAGATTGGCCTTGGATTTAAGAAGGTCAGAGGGGAGGTAAGCTTTCAGCTAAATCCTGACTGGTGAGAAGCCAGTCTTTTGAAGCTTTGGAGTGACTTAGTCCACTTGGGCTGCTATAAAATACCATGGATTAATGGTTTATAAAAAACAGAAATTTATTTCTCATAATTCTGGAGCCTGGCAAATCCTAGATGAAGGTACAGGTAGATTTAGGGTCTGGTGAGAATTGGCTTCCTAGTTCACAGGCAGCTCTCCTCTCCGTGTCCTCCTATGGGGAGGGGCAAGGGAGTCTGTTTTGTAAGGATACTAATCCCACCTCCCGAAAACCCCACCTCCAAACTCCATCACATTGGGTATTGGGTTTCAACATAAGCATGGGGAGAGTTGGGGAGGAAAGACACAAACATTGAGTCTATTGCATCCTGCCTGAGTCGGGAAGTCAGTCTTTAATAGTCCGTGGGAGGAACATCCGCCCCTCTCCCTGTTCCAGGTCAAGGAAACATCAATGCATAGGATTTAAGAAGGGAATGAGTAGGGTGTGGAGACAGGAATACAAACCACTAAACTTTAAAGCAGACCAAGAACCAGAAAGTCTAAACAAATACTTCAGGGAGGAAGCTGAGGAAAAGAGTTGTGGCCCCTCCTTTGGACATTCACACCTGAAACATTTATTGAATGTTCCACATGTGTTCAGTGTCTCATGATAGGCCAATGGATGACTCAGAAGCAGTCTGGCCCTGACGAACACCCAGTGCATCATGGACTTTGTACACAATAAAGACAATAATAACCACAAGCTCAAGAAAATATCTGCCAGAGGGGTGGGGGTGGGTGATGGGGGGTAGAGGTAGAGGGAAGAAATGGGAGATTGGTTCCATGAGCCAGAAAATTCTTCACAATGCTTAGAAGAAGATGGTTTGACTCCATTGGAATTTATTTATTCAACAGCATTTCTTGAGCTTTTACGTTGTGCCACGCATAGTGGGCTCCTGGGGACACAGATATTGGACACAACCCTCTCATTGAAAAGATCACATTCTAATGGGTGAGCCAGATGTCTGAGCATGGTTCTCAAACTCTGAAGAGAGTAAAATCATTTGAGACACCTTGGAGTTGAGAAGGTATAGCTATGACTTAAAATCAAGAAGCCAAAAAAAATTATACATGCAATTGTATTAAAAAATATCCTGAATATTAAATTTGTAATACTATGAGTAAAGTCAAAGACATAAAATAAACAAAACTTATGGCCAAGATGGAGGCATAGGTAGATACACTTTGCCTCCTTAAACAACCAAAAGAAGGACAACAAATTTAAAAACAAAAATAACCAGACTGCCAGAAAAATCAAACTGTATGGAAGTCCAACAACCAAGAGGCTAAAGGAGAAACATTCATCCAGACTAGTAGGAGGAACAGAGACAGGCAGCAGGGGCAGAGAGGCAAGGCAGCGGCTGGCGGACTGAATCAGGTGGTCCCACATTTGCATGTGGATAAACCAGGAGGAACAGCTGGGGAGTGAGACAGACCGTGCAATCCAGGGTTCCAGTGCAGGAATAGAAAGCCTCAAAACCTCTGGAGGTAAAAACCTGTGGGGGTTGCAGCAGCGGGACAAACTCCCGCCTTCACAGGAGACTCCTTTGGAGAGACCCACAGGGTCCTAGAACGTACACAAACCCACCCACCCAGGAATCAGCAACGGAAGGGCCCTATTTGCTTGTGGGTGGCGGGGGAAGTGACTGAAAGCCGGCTGAGGACCGAGCAAGCAGCATTGTCCCCTCTCGGACCCCTCCCCCACACACAGTGTCACAAGGCAGCAACCTGAGGCTGGGGTGGTCCCCCGACACCTCCAGGGAATACCTAAGGCTCTGCCCCTCCCAACATAACAGGTGTACTGAGACCAAGAAATATGGGCCAAATGAAAGAACAGATCAAAGCTCCAAAAATAGAACTAAGCAATGAGCACAATTCAAAACACTGGTAATCTGGATGCTCACTGAATTGGCTGAGTATGGTCGCAAAATGGAGGAAAAAGTGAAGGCTATGCAAAGTGAAATAAAGAAAAATATACAGGGAAACAATAGTAAAGGAAAGGAGACCAGGCCGCAAATCAATGATTGGGAGCAAAAAGAAGAAATAAACATTCAAGCAGAAAAGAATAAAGATACAAGACTTTATCAAAAAAATGAGAGGTTTAGGACCTATATCCAAGATTACTCTATCCAGCAAAGCTATCATTTAGAATGGAAGGGCAGATAAACTGCTTCCCAGATAAGGTCAAATTAGAAGAGTACATCATCACCAAGCCTTTATTATAGCAAATGTAGTAAAACTACTGACGCTGGTTCCCCACACCATGAGATCAAGAAATCATCTCCACATTTGAAAGAAATACGGGGAGTGCTCATGGGGGCAGTGGCTCAGCAAGCAAATCAGGTTTACAGGAGTCATAGGGAGGGTGGGCCAGGCTGGTCTCACCCCCTTCCCCACTTATCACTGACTTACCAGCCCACCTGACCTCATGGGTAAGCATTCAGCAACTACCCAATGTGTGCCACACTACTACACTCTTGCCTTCTTTCATCCATGATGTGTGAAGGGGCCCTTTAAATAAATGAACAAGTGTCCTAAGCAATCACCCAAAGATTGCCCTTCCTGTCCTCAAATCCTGTGACTGGAATCACTTGATAACACTGTGATATATTTTCAATGAGGTGCCTTTCTTAACTGACCAAATGCTGCATTACTTGGCCTCTAAATCACTCAAGTGTGTAAGTTTGTAAAAAAAATAAAATAAAATAAAAACAAACATTTCACCTAAAATGTCACATTGTGTACTTGAGTGTGATATTGTTATGATACAGAATTACATGCTTATGATTTTGTAATAAAAGATTTTGTAATAAGCAAGGGGCATCATTTGTGCCAGATCTTGTATTTACTTTTTATTGGGTTAAAATGTCCTGAACAAAATTAACTATTTTAGGTGCACAGCTAAGCAACATTAAGTACTTTCACATTATTGTGCAACCATCACCACATTCATCTCCTGAATTTTTCATCTTCCTTTTCATTTCTGCACGTATTAAACAGCTCCTTGTTCCCTCCTCCCCCAGTCCCTGGCAACCACCCTTCAACTTCCTTCCTCTACTTAATTAATTGTTTCAAGGCCTTAGCATATTTGAAAAATATGCCAGGCAGAATGCAAGGAGATGGCAAGGCAGGCATGGGGGAGCTGCGAAGATAATTTCCTGCGCACTGAAGAGGCGGCCTGAGCGGGGCGGGGCGGGAAGACGGGGTGGGCGGGAAGACGGGGTGGGCGGGAAGAGAGTGACCATAGAGTCGGTCCTCCTGAGACAGAGGGACCGGAAGTTGGCTTCATAGAACTGTGCGCCTGCTGGGGTTCCGGAACTGAGACGGCGCGAACAGATCCTGCAGGCTGCAGAGGGTTGGCGTGAGGGGCTCCGGGGTTTTGGGCGGGGCTGATGGCGTCTCGGGCAGGCCCGCGAGCTGCCGGAACCGACGGCAGTGACTTCCAGCACCGGGAGCGTGTCGCCAAGCATTACCTGATGAGGTATGAAGTGAGGCGAGGAGCTCTGAGGCTCCCCCGGTAGGGCCTGGGAAGTGACACCCCCCCGACATCAGGCTCTTACTCCCTAGCCAGTCCCCGCTCACCTGCCAAGTCCCCTCCTCCCGGGTCGGTCCCCAGTTCTGGAAAGCCCAGCCGCTCCCGTAGGTTCATCCCTTGATCCGCCCTGTGCCTTGAAGGGGTGTGGACTCGCCTGGGCTCCAGTTACGGTGATGCTGGGCCCGCTGTGTAACTTCGGAAACCTAATTTCTAATGGACCCTCAGTTTCTTCACCTGCAAAAGGAAACAAGTAATCGATCTTTTAGGGCTGGGTGAAATGGTGAGCTAGTAATTCGTAAAAGGACATAGCATAAGATCTAGCTCAAAACACGAGTCTGCACAATACATGGTAGCAGCTATATTTGGGGCCCTTCTGGGGAATGGACCGTAAAGACCAGCCTTTCCCTGCCTAAAATGAATTTTATAAACACCCCCACGTAAGAGGTATTTCTTCATTACCCCTTCAAAAAACATTTACCGAGCTTCTACTTGGCATGCATCTTGAGCTAGGCACTGAGGATATAATAGAAAAAGCAGACCTGGTTTTTGTATGCATATTGCACCTTAAATTAAAAAGCTTGTTAACAAAACAAAAAGAAAACCTTGTCCCTGTCTTCATGCATCTTAAAGTCTAGAGATGACTGACTGTTCCACCTTTTCTCACTTTCTGTAATGAATATTTTTAAAATAAAAAAATTTAAAAATTTATTTTCTTAAATCCATTTAACTCTCTCAGAATGCTTTTTTTTGCATCTTTCTCTCCAGAGTTTTCAAGAATGACAAACTCTTTGGACCCTCAATTCATTTTTATCCTTATGACCCCTGCCTAAGGACACCTTACAATCCAAGCAAATATTTTCTTGCTTGCCCAGAGCAGAAACTGGCCTCCAGTATGTGAAGAGGATACATTTATGACCTGAGAGAGTTAGAAGAGTAAGGAATAATGTACTTCCTTTAGATGAAACAGTCTACTCTAGCTGGAGAAGTATGAGCAACCAGAGCTAGTTTTCTCACTGCCTATACCTCCTTCATCTAAGCTATACTCGTAGGGTGTGAAGTCATTTTTCTGAACACGGCTCAGAGTTACTCTTCTGCCTTTAAACTGACTCTTCATAGTCATTGCAACTTCATATCCTGCTACTCCCCTCCTCTCTACAATGTATTCCTGCCATATGCAACCACTGGCTTTCCTGGAATACAAATGCCCATGTCTTTTTGCCTGCATGCAATTACCTCTGTTTGGAATTCCCATCTCCATTCACCCCAGAGAGCGCAGCTCAACTATCACCCTCCTCTAAATAGCCTTCTTAGATGCCCCATCCCAAGCAGAATTGATTACTGCTTCCTGTGATCCCATGTATCTTGCAACATATATTTACTAGAGCTCTTGCAGTTCATTTTCTGTTTCTTCTTCCTCTGTTCCTTGTGGCAAGTGTCTAGGCAGGATCTGTATTTTACTGACATTTGTATCCCATTGTCCAGTATACTTGTCTGGCATATAGTTGGTCAGAAAATGTTGAATGAAAGGTACTTCTCCCTCTGCTCTGCCCCACAGTGTGACTCTCAAGTATGAAATCAAGAAGCTGATCTACGTGCATCTGGTCATATGGCTGTTGCTGGTTGCCAAGATGAGTGTGGGACACCTGAGGCTCTTGTCGCATGATCAGGTGGCCATGCCCTATCAGTGGGAGTACCCATATTTGCTGAGCATTGTGCCCTCTCTCCTGGGCCTTCTCTCCTTCCCCCGCAACAACATTAGCTACCTGGTGCTCTCCATGATCAGCATGGGGCTCTTTTCCATCGCGCCGCTCATTTATGGCAGCATGGAGATGTTCCCTGCTGCACAGCAGCTCTATCGCTATGGGAAGGCCTACCGCTTCCTCTTTGGTTTTTCTGCTGTGTCCGTCATGTACCTGGTGTTGGTGCTGGCAGTTCAAGTGCATGCCTGGCAGTTGTACTACAGCAAGAAGCTCCTAGACTCTTGGTTTACCAGCACACAGGAGAAGAAGCGTAAATGAAGCCTGCCTGGTGGACTGATCTCTGGGGTGAAGCCTAGCCCTCCCATTGAGAGGGTAAAGGAGCTGTTCTAAAATCTTTGGTGTAATTTTAACAGCTGTGATGTTGACAACTAGTGCAAATTAAGCCCAAGTTTGGGAAAGCTGCTACTATTGTCATCAGCCGAGTTCGCAAAACTATATTTAACTTATTCCTGGTTGGCTGGAACTGAGTGAAGAACAGCTGTAAATCACACTTCAGTTAGTTTAAGTTGAAGCCTTTCAGGATTTTTCTTTTAAGACTGAGTATCGTCCTCGCCTCTTAGTCATTCTCTCCATTTCCATCCATTACCTCTTAACCTCCGAGACTGAAGGAGATGGAGAATAAACCAAATTCTTCAATCTATGGGTTGTTGGGCAAGAAACATTTAGGAGGCTGCTTTCCCTGCAGGTTGTCTCTATTGTGAATCATTTTAATTAAAAAGACCATCAATAAAGTTATAACTGCCCTGTCCACCCTGTGCTTTGTGTTTGTGATTTAACAGTGTGATGGTTCATTGCCTGAATGCCCTCCTACACTAGGAGATAGATGGAAGCTCCCTATGAAACCTGCAGTGGCCATAGAGAAGTGCACAGGGTGTAAGAACTTATGTCATAGTTGCCACCCTGTAGCTGGTAGACAGGAACTATCATGGGCCTATAATCTCTTCACCTATAGAATGGTCCATTCTCATTTATCCAGTTTGGGTAATGGAGTCTTCTTTTGGTCATATATTCATGTTTATCATTCAGTACTAACAGAGTGTCAGTTATTTGTTTGATACAGTAGTTGGCCTCATCTGGGGGATATTTTCTAAGATCCCCAGTGGATGCCTGAAGCCGCAGATAGTGCCAAACTTTATGCTATGGTTCTTTTTCCCCATACATACATACCTATTATAAAGTTTAATTTATAAATTAGACACAATAAGATATTAACAACAATAATAGAATAATTATAAATACACTGTAATAAAAATTATGTGAATGTGACCTGTCAGTGTGAGATTTCATCCCACAATTCAATGTTATGCAATTTAAACTTTTATTTACTTCTGGAATTTCCCATTTAGTATTTTGGACTCTGGTTGACTGTAGGTAAATAAAACCACACTACTGTATTATATTATGGTATCCAAAAGAATTTTAAAGTACCCCTGCACACATGGAATGTGCAACCTAGGTGAAACATGATACAAATGTGAAACAACTAATGAACACTATTTAGTGGTATGAAGCGGGTAAGTTAAAAATAGAAGTGAGCCCTGGCTGGGTAACTCAGTTGGTTAGAGTTGTCCCCATAAGTAGAGGTTGTGGGTTTGATCCCTGGTCAGGGCACATAAAAGAAGCAACCAATGAATGCTTCAGTAATAAGTGAAACAACAAATCAATGTTCCTTGATTGAAAAAATAGAAAAATATCTGTGAACTAAAGGCCCTTTCACACTTAATAATGACACAAGGTAAGTACTGCTCAAAAGATGTGTGTCCCTTTGCTCTTAACCACTTGTTTGTCTGTGGATGGATTATGCTCGATCTCTCACTGCAGATCTCTGCCCCCTCTAGAGTTAAGTCTTTTTTTTTTGTTCTACAAACAGGTATGTACTCAATCACTATTAGGTTACTAGCAGTACTTTTGTAACTGCAAAAATCTCTTCCTCTAAATGTCCTGATTATCCTATCAAACGTAACTCTGCCTTCTACATCATACTCATTCCTCTTCCTGCATCCCCATGTACAAGTAAGTGTATCAGCAGCACAGCTCTGGATCATCAATAAGTGTCCACTATGTGCCATTATTTTTTGAACAATCAAAATTCCTTAATCTCTTCCAGAGATTTCCAAAGTGTGGTCTCCATGCAGCAGTTCCTGCATTATCTACCAATACTCACCACACACTATCTTAGCAGACCCTCTTAAGACTTCCCATGTTGGTTTCATGTATTCCCAGTTTTTTTGCTTAAAAATTTCCCTTTTCTACTTTATTACCCTTCTGGAGCCTTCCGTTTCCTTCAGTTCAAGGAGTCAATTCTTTGAATTCACATGGCGTTTTTATGTACGTCTTCTTGAGAGAATTATTAGTTTACATGTGTTTTACTCACCCATTGGTCAGTACCTAGCAGCGTGCACTTTGAACTTATTGAATGAAGTAAATTGTCCTACTGTAGACTTAAGTCTGAATGTATTTCACAGAGGAAAGAACTAGACCAGCGATTTTAACCAACATGCCACAAGAACTTTTTAAACATGCAATACCTGACTAGTTAGGGGCACTCAACTCTCTTCCCTTAGATTATCAAATTAAAAAAAAAACAACCAGCCAACACAACAATAGCCATCTGCATAAATATATAGGTCATATAATAGAGTTGCATCTTATTGATTACATCATATAATAAGGTTACATGTGATTGGTTAATTCTTGGCACCAGAAATCACATAAAGGTATAGGCACCTGATCTTTTTAAAGTCACTTCAGAGCACAAAAGGTAGGTAATTGCTAATTAATATTGTTTTGTAACTCAACCAAAGTTATGCCTTTTTCTTTTTTGTCAGATTAGCAAAAACCACATGTTTTTGGTGTGTCACAGAATTTTAGTAATTAGTTTATGTGTGCCATGAGATGAAAAAGGTTGAAAATCGCTGAACTAGACTAAAGCAGGGGTAGAATTTGAAGAGCAGAGATGAACAGATAGAAATTTGTGGCTAAGGGGGTTATGTGCACCAGTTCCAGATTGCTAATTTTCAAACTGAGATGCAAATAATACTAGTTTTTTAAAAAGTAAAAATTCCTTTGGTTATTAGAATGGCACTTTGTGATTTTGGAGTGCTTTCGAAGACCCATGATGAAAATTACTGTCAATGCCAAAAAGAGAGGCACCATTTTGTTTCTTTTAGTTTCCTGCTTATTAGGTTGTGGGATTCTGCTTTTCTGGGCTTTTCCAATATTGTAGCAATATTTCCTCAGCATTGTTGTGTTTCCTGAAGCATACAGTGGGAAGAGCTCTGCGTTTAGATCAGGAGACTGGGATTAAAGTACCAATGCACCCACTACTAATCACAGGGCTAGATTAACCCTGCCTATTTCACAGGATTGTTTTGAAGATCAAATAAAGTAGTATGAACATGCCTTGTGAAATACACAACACCATATAAATGCGAGGGAGGGTTATTTTTCCTTGGTATTTACAAAACTAGAGAGTAGGCATTGGAGCTGTCACCAGGCGGGGACTGGGCCTTGGGCAGGTCTGCCTCAGGCTGGCCTGTAGTGTGTGGGCGCTTTGTGGGGGAAAGATTTCACGAGTCAGGGTGATTTTGAGGAAACATTTATTAAAGCTGGGGACAGCGAAATGAAGGACTTAGGGTGGAAGAAGCAAGAGGAGAGAGCCTAGGTGGTCCTCTGCTTTGGCTCCCTAGAAATGTTATAGGAAAGAAGTGAGCCAAGGTGGGGCTGTTGTTAGCTCACTGGGAAGTGAAGGTCACAGTGACAGAAGTGAGCTAAGGTGAGGCTTATTTAGCTGACTGGAACATCGCAGAGAAGGAGAGCCTTGGAGACAGCTTCAGAGGGTAAGCCTGAGATGAGCTGCTGATGCCTGCTGTTCCCCTGGTTGCAAGTCTTGTGGTGACCCTCAGAGTTTGGGAGAAAGAAAGTAAAAAGTTGATGTCTGAGAACAGGCTTGCATGAAAGAGCCTGCCCTGGTAGCCTTTGTCTTGAGGGCTTTTATCTCCTGGGCAAGAATTTTAGGGGAAGTTTTCAGTAGAATATTCATCAGCTTTCCAGGTGCATTTTTAATATGCTGATGTATCAAAATGAGTATATAGGAGAGTTTGGTATTATTCTCTGCTAAGTTTTACTGCTTTACTTTTATCTTCGGTCTGTCTGGCTCTAAAACAGTTTTTGTTATTTGGTCCCCTGACTTCATCCATTCTAGAGTTTGGCTGGCACAAATGGTATTAATTGGGTTTCTGTCCTCTCTCTCTCTCTGACCAGGGTGATTTAAACGATTTATTCTCTGGTCAGGTTGGAGAGGTGTAAACCATTTGTTCTCAAGTGTCCTTGGTTAGGGAGGATAATGTCTTGTGATTCACTAGTTGGCTATTGATTGGTCAAATTATTTCGCCTTGTTTAATTATCTTGTCTCAGTTTTCCCATTCCATTTACCCAGGAATTTTCCTAGCTTCTTACGACCCTGCCTCAGAGAGACTCTTAGAAATCATCTAGCCTGTGAGAAAGGCAGTGTGGTACAGTGAAACGAACAGTTTCTGATATTAGACTGACTTAGGTTGGAATTCTAGCCAGACATTTTACTACCTTTTGCCTTAAGCAAGAATACTTGAGCCTCTTTTTATGATCTGACACATGGGGATCATACCTCCCAGGGTTGTTGTGAGGATTAAATAAAATTATGTATGTAAACAGTTACATAGTAGATGCTTCATAAATAATACAATTCCTCTTTTGATGAGCAATATTTGCCTTCCCTTCCCAGATTGGGAGTTCCTACCTCTTCTCTTAGGCGTAATTTCTTGCCTCAGAATTCTGGAGGTTGATTCCTTCTGGAAGAGCAGAAGTGAGGAAGGGATGATTGTCCACTCTTGGTGTACATTGGCCTAATGGATTGGATCTTCCTGCCCAGGGTGACCTAAGAGTAAGCATAGTTGCCCCAATAGACTGTAGGTTTGGCCATTACAGGAAGAGCCTGGAGATGCTACTGCATGGTCTGACTAGAGTCCATGCATGTGTAAAGTGCTGTCAAAAAAAAATGGCTGCTCAGGGTCCCCACAGTGTACTCTGTACCTGAGCATGCACAGGAGCCTGCCGTGACCTCCTGAGCCCCTCGCTTGGGCCCCAAGTAAAAGTTACTAGAATAAAAAGTCTAAGTCAGCTCTAACCATAGGTGAAACAGGCCTCGGCCAGCTCTGTCAGGAAAGGGCCTCTGCGCTTTAGGCCTGCTACATGCCTCTGTTGCCTTTACTCCAGTCGGCCTCCTCCTGTTCAAGCCACAGAGTTACTCCTTCCTTGTTGCCACTTGCTAAACAATCCCTACTCTCCTAGAAATCTGAACATTGATAATAAACTATCATGAAGACCTACTTCCCTTTGTTCTATCCACCTATTTTCAGTTTCTTCCTGAATAACTCAATTATTGTTATGTTAACTCAATTACATCACACTGTTAACTCAATTACATCACACTGCTAAGTCTAATACTTCTTGTGGATTACAGGGCCCAGAAACCCTCTGACATCCCACACCTCTCCCCAAGCAGAGTGTTTTGGCAGAGAGAGCCTGAAAGACATGGTGGTGAGTCCCAGCTCTTCATTTTAGTGTGTGGATAAGTTACTTAATCTTCTTAGTATTTTGTAGTCTGTAAAATGGTTTAATAATACTGACGTCAAGGGTAGCAGTATTAATAAAATAAGATAATGTGCGCGAAGCACATGGCCCAGAGACTGATAATAGGAGTTCAGCAAATGTTGATCTGATCTCCTCCCCTTTGCCAAGGTGTGCTGGGATTTGCCTGCCATGTGCTTGTTACCTTAAATCCTTTTTAAACTAGGCTCCACAATAAATAAGTAAACCAGCTAGACTGAATAAAAGGCAGCCCTCCTTTTCTCTCCTCTTTCTCTCCTCCTTTCTCATCTTTATTCTTTTTCCTTTCTATGTGTTCCTTTTCTTCCCTTTCTATATTTTCTCTTGTTTGTGTGTGTATGTGCATGTGTCTCCATTTAGTCTCTGTTTCTACTACCATATCTTAGCCAGGATCAGGGATCAATTAATCAAATATTTTTACTATGAGAGTCATATCAGAAGATATAAGGGGTCAAGAAAAGAGAAGTATTCAAGAATAGAACCAAGTTTCTCAATTCATGCCCCCAGCATTGAAAAATGGTCTGCCCTGGCCAGGTAGCTCAGTTGCTTAGAATGTTATCCCAATGCACCAAGTTTGCAGGCTTGATCCCTGGTCAGGGCACATACAAGAAGCAACCAATGAATACATAAATAAGTGAAACAACAAATTGATTTCTCCCCCCCCCCCCCACTGTTCCCACCTCTCTTTAAAATCAATAAATTTTAAAAAATTAAAAAATGCATGATCTATGTAGATCTAAACCACTTCAGGTTAGGTAACAATTTAGGGGGAAGACTCTCTAACCCAATCCTTCATATGGCCGACCACTCTCTTTTCCCTTCACATCTTACTGATGTGTTTGCAGTGATGCGCTCCAAGGCCAAAAGACAGAACTGTGTCAGGAAGAACCTTTGGGGTTCCCAGGAACAGAGGGAGATGAGGCAGTGGGAGGAGAGACAGTAAGAGAATTGAACGGTGAGAGGCTGGCAGAAATGGAGCTCCCTAAGCTAGAGAGCTTGCCTTTGATCAAATGACATTCCTTTCTGCTCAATGTCTTTATGAAATGAAAACAATAATTCCCTCCTGTTTTAGAATGTAGTTAGGAGGCTTAAATATGAAAATGCTTTGTGAAATGTGAAACAGATAAACTGCTATCAGAAATTACATTTATTCAATTACAGAGCAGCTGTGTTATAACATCTGCCCCTAGGCATTGGAGAAGCACAAAGAACAAGAAAGGGTCTTATCTTCTAAGGAACTCAAAAGCTAGAGGGTATTTTTAGGATAATGGATAGGATGGGATCTTCAGACAGTGGGCCTGAAGACTTAGAAACTAGAATTGGCCAAAAGAATGCTATGGTCAGTCTACTAAAATGTGCAGAGCAACAGTAACAATTTCATGATGCCTTAACCCAGTAGGTGTGCCTCAAACTTTCTTTCCACTGTGTGTGTCACCAAGGTGAGGGCTGAAGCAGCTCAAATGCTCCATGAGCAGGAGGAAGCTGTGGGATGATGGGGAGGGTCCCAACAAAGACTGGAGCCTTGTCAGCATCATCAGAAACCACAGGAAACCAGGTCAGTGTGTGGGGCCCACTCCCTTAGCTCCAGAGCTCTGCTTTGAGCTCTGTGGCTTCCTGAGCAGGCTGTGCTGATTAGTGGATCCTTGATGCCGGAGGCCCCTTTGGCATGGAGCCCTTTGTCCAGGAAAGCTGGAACTAGCCAGCGGGAAGAGAAAGCTGAGCTGTAGTCCTGAGAGTCAGCCAGGTGGGGAACCAGCATGACTATGGGGCCACGTGAGGCTTACGTGCATCCTATAGTGTTTTCTTGTTGTTCTGCCCAACTCCAAATGGTCTGTCAGTCACCTCTGTCTCTGGCATCCAATGCAGAGTAGTGCTTAATAGCTCTGTTAATTCTCTAAGTGAGGGGATGAAGCATGTGTCCAGAGGAGATCCAAGTCCAAGGGTCAGTTAAGAGCCCGGCGGATCTAGATAGTGCAGGAGTAGGAGGGGTTAAGAAATGGGTGCAACCGACCATTTCCCTAATGCTGTGGGGGCCTCTTTCCTGCTCTCTCTCTGCCGGAGCAGGAGCCCCTTGCCCCCAGTTGGGGACAGTAGGGTTGGGGGGGGGGGGGCGCGGCAAGCATTCCTCACTCTCTGTGCTTGGAGGAGAAGGAATGTGGCCTGGCCTGCTCGTTAGGATCAAGGAGGAGCTTTGGGGCTGGGCGGGGCAGGGGCAGGCTGAGGCGAGGGCTCTTGCTGGCATTGTGCTCCCTGCTGCTGTACTACAAAGTCCTGCCACCCACCTTCCAGGACATGCAGCCATGTTCTGGGCATCCTGACCCAACGGAATCCCATGGGGCACCCCAGACTGGCAGCCCTGCTCCTGTCTCTCCACCTGCTGTTCGCCGGCCTCTCTGCCTCTGCTGGGATTGGCTGCCCCTGCCTGCCCCACTGGAACACTCGCTGTCTGCTGGCCTCCCACATGGTAAGGTGCTGTTGCCAGGTGGGGGCATCTGCCTGGCACAGGCTGGCAAAGCTCCCTACTCTCCTGTCTGCCCTTTCCTACCTCCCCAAGTCCCTGTGTTCTGGTGGCAGCTTTCGTATGTCCTCTACACAGTCTCGAAGGGCTAGCCAAGGTCCTGGTGGGCTGAGAGCCTAGGCAGGGTACAGCTGGGAGGAAAAGAGCCCCAGCGGGTAGGCTGATTGTTTCTGGGCCTCAGAATTAGGCGATTTAAGGCAAAGACCCAGGAAGAGTGCTACTTATGGGAATCCCTACTAATTATGCTTCTCTCCTTTCCCCGTCCCCGCCCCTCCTTCCCCACTGGGTTGTGTGCCTTCAGGATGACAGTTTCACTGGTAAGTCTCATTTCCTGCCTTGTTCCTCTTCCCCACATCCCTTTCGTTCCAGATCCCTAGTGAGCCTTCCATTCTAATTTTTTGGTTCCCAGCCTAGGAATTAGCATAGTACCAAAGACAAAACACAGGGTTCAGAATCAGGACAAGCCTGGATTTGCATTACCATTCTGCCACACGCTCCGCATGTAGCTGCAGGCAGTGCATTTACCTCCTCTGACCCTCAGTTTCTGAGGGGACTATCAGCACAGTAGAAATAATTGTATGATAAAAACTGTTGCCCCTGAGCTGTGGGGAGAGCTAAATGAGAGACATATGTAAATCTCCAGGCAACCCCCCTACCCCCTGCCCTTAAGTGTCAGTAATATAATGACCTTCAGCCCTGGCCAGTATGGCTCAGTTGGTCGGAGCATTGTCCCCATAAACTGAAAGGTCATGGGTTTGAGTCCCAATTGGGACACCTGTCTGGGTCAAGGGTTTGGTCCCCAGTCGGGGAGCATGCGAGAGGCAACTGATCAATGTTTCTTTCTCATATTGATCTTTCTCTCTCTTTCCCTCCCTTCCCCTCTCTCTAAAATTAATAAGCATTTTCTTTAGTAAGGATAAAAAAATTAAATAAAATGACTTTCATGTTTTTCTACACATTATCTTACTTGATCTTGACAACAGTCCCACTTTATAAATGATAAAGCTGAGACTTAGAGGGGTTTATAACTTGCCCAAGGTCACACAGCCAGGATATAAGTGGCAGAGCTCAGCCTCAAGCCCATCTTGTCTGAGGCAGGAGCGACCTCCTTGGACCCTACCACTTCATTTTTTTTCATTGTTTGCAGAAAGATCTGCCCATATTCCTTGTCATACCCAGTTGGCCGCCCCCATCTCCCCAAAGCCTTGGGGTGCTTGGCTCTGGAACTGCCCCTGCTGTTTGTGTCTACACCTGGCGTCAACTCCTTCAGGTATGAGAAATAGCCCTTGGACCATTCTAAGTGGGGATGTGACTTAGGGGAATTAGAAGGTAGGGTGGGAGGCAAGAGACTCAGGCAAGAGGGGCTTATACTAGAACAAACGTTTGTCCTGTTTTCAACCTCATCAAAGACTTAGGCCATCCTAGATAACACAGCATGACTGATATTAGTGAATTCATTTGTGTCATTTGTGAAGATGTTTCTCCTTTCAGCTGGTAGCAATTGTTGGAATTAAAATCTTTAGTTCTATATATTTACTGTTATTACCTTCTATTTGTAAAGCAAGAGCATTCTTATTCAACTCTGTATTTTTATTTCCTAGCTCAGTGCCTGATACATACTAAATGTCCATATGCTGCTTAAGAATTGGCAGTTTGTAATTTTTCACTGTTACAAATAATGCTACAATGAACATCTTTAAGATGTTCTCTACTTTTTTTCTACTTAAGAAATTAATCCTTGCCCTGGCTGGTGTGGCTCGGTGGGTTGAGTGCCGGCCTGCGAACCAAAGGGTCACTGGTTTGGTTCCCGGTCAGGGCACATGCCTGGGTTGCAGGCTGGATCCCCAGTGGGGGGCATGCTAGAGGCAACCACACATTGATGTTTCTTTCCCTCTCTTTCTCCCTCCCTTCCCCTCTCACTAAAAATAAATAAATAAAATATTTTAAAAAGAAGTTAATTCTTTTTTGATTGTATCATAACTTTCAGAACCAAAGAGGCTTGATATCACTGCTCTCCTTGATCTAAAATGACTTACTATCCAACTTCGGGCCATCATCTTCAAGTAGGGGAGGGGCAACGAAGGGCTGGATATTGAATGTGTTCTTTCCTGTGCAGGCCTTCGGTGGGGCTGGTTCCACCGCCTGGCGCAGAAATACAAAAAGTCTTCCAGGTTCCAGTTCTGTAGGAGACACAAGATAGCAGCATTTGCTCAGGTACTCCCCCTGCCAGTTCCAGCCCTGCCTTTGCCCCACAACCCTTTCCTTTCTCCAGCCATGTGAGAAATGGAAAGTGTGGAGGTAAAGTAGACTATTCTTCCATTACACAGTTAAGGAAACTGAGGCCTAAATGTTGAGCAACTTGCCTATGGTCATCAGATTCTAGAGGGAGAAACAGCAACCAGAGATCCTGATTCCTGGTTTCAGGGTCAACCTTGCTCTCTGCCTACAGAGGAAGCGGCTAAGTTGCTGTTGCCTGTCTAAGATGGGCCATCGTATCTCTGTCACCTCCCAAGACATCTCCCACAAGAGGCTGCGCTTCAAAAGGACCCGATCTTCAGATCCAGAGGCAGTGGAAGTTCTCCTGAGACAGGATGCACGAAGACATAAAGGTAGACGTGGGTGTGACTAGAGATGGCACAGTCACTTAGGTGTGCCTTTGATAAGGCCAAGAGACAAGGCCACCAAATCCCCTTTCTCCCCAGGGCCTGAATTCTACTTTGACTTGCTGCCAGAGGCACGGGCTATTCGAGTGAGCATTCCCCCAGGCCCTGAGGTCAACGTGCGTCTTTGTCACCAGTGGGCATTAGAGTGTGAAGAGCTGAGCAGTCCCTTTGATGCCCAGGTATGGAGTGCCATTTCCCTGTGAAAAGCCAGGTCACACAGAGCTAGAACAAAAACGGCCTGTCCATTGTACAGACAGAGAGACTGAGGCCCAGGGAGGGATGAGAATTCTCCAACACCCACAAGTCCGAAGTGCCTAGCGCTGAGACTTCTTTGGACTAGGCAGAAAACACAGGGGGCCTCGTCATCTGGGAGGAGAGAGAAGGAAAGTGCATGCAGAGACCTGAAGCACCCGTGAGTAGCTAGCAGAGAAATAAATATAGTATTTATCCCCAATGAGAGGAGACTTAGTGAGATGCAGGCTACATTAAGAAACATTTTCAGTTCCTTCAGGAAGTTGTTCTCCCTGAGAAAATAACAAAGTGGTCACGTCTGTTCTGGTGCCCTTCCATTTCCCTCTCTTTGTTGCCTTTTTCAGAGAATGAGATGTCCCCCATTCTCCCATCCCAGCTCCCGACACCCCACCTCAAACTCCAGTTGTCACCAAAGCCTTTGTGTATAGTTGGTATGATTTGCAGGGACTGATACTGCACCCCTGAGGCCCTTAGCCCTCTCTTTTTATAAAATGGTGATGGCACCTCCCATGAGCACTGTGATGCTAGCATTTAATTGAGTTACTGCCTTAGTACCTACCACCCTACCTGGCATACAGTGGCATTCATTAAATGTATATTCCTTTCCCTGTCTCCTCTGTCCTCCAACTTCAAATACAAGGTGGTGCAAAAAAAGTAGGTTTACTGTTCTGAGTACATGGAACACAAAGTTTATTCTTGTATTATTATTTATTAAGTATTGTAGTATTTTTCATATGAACAACTGTAAACCTTCTTTTGCCCCACCTTGTATTGAGACACCTAGAGAAAAAGTTCAGAGTACAGAGCAGAGACCCCTTGAGAGGAAATTTTTCAATGAAAGAACTGAGTTTTGTACAAGAAGAAAAATAAGGTGTTGGCCAAGTTCCCAGCTTCCTCCTGGCCTCGCCCATGGTGCCCATGGTCTTTCTCAGGCATCTCTTCTCTCCCTTTACTGCCTCGTCAACAGAAAACCGTGTCTTGGGGCCACACTGTCGACCTGCCTTATGAATTCCTTCAGCCTTGTCTGTGCATAGAGGTAAGTAGAGGAAGAGGTGTGGGTTGTCCATGGCCCCAGTCCAAGCACCCAAATTGTGCAGTTGGTCAAACATATCTCCAGGAAATTAGGTTTCAAAAGGACTGGGTGTTTATGAGGTGCTTGGGAAGACAGTACCAGCTTGGCTGCCCTGCACTGGATCAGAGATGGAAGTGTCCTGCTGAACATGAGACACTTGGGGGTGAATCCAATCTCAGCTCCCAAACCCAGCTTTCCTTGGTCCAGGCCTGTCCTCGGCCTACAGAGATGGAATAGTCAGCTGCGTTCACTGTGTGGTCTGATTAGTCTCAGTGCGGGCACGGGGCCATTGCAAGGTTCCATATGGCCCCCAAAGTCTTGTCCCCTCTAGCCCTTCATGGTAGCCCTCCTCTCCATTATTCTGAAGTGCCTAACAGTAAGACTTCTCTGAATTAGACAGAAAGCACAGGGGGCCTTGTCACCCAGGAGGAAACTAAAGGGAGGGCAGGCAGAGACATGGAGACTGAGCATCTGCCAGGGTGGACAACCAGTGGGCATTTGGGGAGGGGCCCACATGGGGCACTAGGCACCTTGGGAACCACTGAGAGCGGAGGTGTGAACTGAGATGTGGACCTTACCACCTGCCTCTTTCCAGGGCTAGGTTCTCCTCTCCAGGGACAAGAGGACTCAGGCCCTCATTAACCGATCTCACTCCCACGCTCTGGAGTTCCTCCTGCAGCATCAAGCATCACTCACCCTTGCCTACACCCTGCGCTGCTCGCCCTCCTCCATGCCCTGCCTGCTCAGGCAGCTTGCGCTAGGGCAAGGTCAAGCCAGAAGGAGTTTCAGATCTGAGTGACATAGGAAAAGCCCTTCCTCTGACCTTTCCTGCTTGCTCCCCTGTCTCCCCAGGCATCCTACCTCCAAGAGGACACCGTGAGGCGCAGAAAATGTCCCTTTCAGACCTGGCCTGAAGCCTGTGAGTGCTGCTTATATGCATTTTTGTGCACACACAGCCTGCCTCTGTCTCTCTTCCATACACATACACACACCTGCACACACTTCACACCTGTGTTGAAGGAAGCTCCTCGAAGGCATGGAGGCATTTTTGCTGGAGTCAGTAGGAAGAAAGTGTTACCATGTCTACCAATCAGCCTGCTAATACATCAAAGTGTTGAACATTGTATTAGGCACCGGGGAAGATTTAGAAATATGAGACACAGGAGGGAGTATCCAGAAGAGCTGGGCTCGCTCACATCCCAGCTCTGCCACTTATTCTTCTCTGAGCCTCAGTTTCCTCATCTGTAAAATAATGATACTTGCCTTGCCTTACTTTCCAACTGTTTATGAGGCTTGACTTCAATATGATATGTGAAAAATTTGGTGACATCTAAAGTGCTGTCCAGACGTTGTTGTCCCGATACATGAAAAATGAATGGCACAAAGCATCCTACTGTCCAGGGCAGGGTTGCATATAAGGACTAGCCTGTGGGACATGAACTTAGGAAAGGGAGACTCCAATGAAGGCTGTCATCAGCAAGATAAGGTCTCTTAGAGGAGGTGACACCTGAGCTGCGCTCAGAAAATGAGCAGGATTTAGAAAGGAAGGCATTCCTGGAGCTGAGAGGAACCTTAGCAAAGATATAAAGATTCTGAGTTTGGGGAGCAGCAAAAAGCTAGCCAGAATGGAGGTGCAGGAAGTAGAAGAGACACATAAATAGAACAGGTAATAAAGGGGGGCTAGAAAAGGCGTGCTTATTTGGGAGGTTCCTAGACAGACCAGGAACTGTGCTGGGCACCTTCACACACATCGTCTCCTGAGGCCCTGGGGATGGGGGTGGCAAAATGAGGCCAAAGCAGGGCTCAGGCCTCCCCAGATCCCACTCTCTGCCTCTGCTGCCTGCCCAGATGGCTCAGACTTTTGGAAGTCCGTGAAATTTACCGACTACAGCCAGCACAGTCAGATGGTCATGGCCCCGACACTCCACTGCCCGCTGAAGCTGGAGGCCTCCCTCTGCCAGAGGCAGAGCTGGCACGCCCTCTGCGAAGACCTCCCCAATGCCACAGCTCGCGAGTCAGAAGGGGTGAGACAGGCCTCTGCAGGGCCGGGGTGGTCAGGGCTGGGGTCCAGGGCCCAGGGCCCCGCTCCCTGACTCACGCCCTTCTCCCACCGCAGAGGTATGTTTTGGAGAACGTGGACTTGCACCCCCAGCTCTGCTTCAAGGTACAAGCGTGGATGAGAGGGGGTGGGGGTGGGTATGGATGATGCCTGGTGCTTGCTGACCTGCCATTCTTCGATTTCTCAGTTCTTTTTTGGAAACAGCAGCCACGTTGAATGTCCCCGCCAGACTGGTGAGCCTATAAGTGACCCTGGCTGGGAACCCCTCCTAATATTTCACCCGCACCCAACCGTGACCAAGCTAAATTCTAGCTCTGTCCTGACTTCTCCGTCAACTGCAGCCCAGCTCCTGCCACCTGTAAGCAGGGTCTCTCACATGACACCCTTTTCCCCACTCCCCGGCAGCCCCATCCTGGAATGTGAGCATGGACACCCAGGCTCAGCAGCTGATCCTTCACTTCTCCACAAGGATGCATGCCACTTTCAGTGCTGCCTGGAGCCACCCGGACTTGGGACAGGACAGCCTGGTGCCCCCTGTATACAGCATCAGCCAGGTATGCTCTAGCCAGGCCTTGGCCCCCACTAGGTCTCATTGCTCAGAGCACATCAGATGGAAGAAAGCAAATTCCTGGATTACATCGTCTGGTTATTTATTTACTTGATCAGACTTTGTTCAACTGGTTTGTCTGCCAGTCAGTGGGGTCTTCCATGGGGCGGTTTCTAATTCTTTCAGTTTCTGAACTTACAGGGATAAACAGAGGCAAAAGACCTGCCCTCTCACATCCAGCTGCTCTCTGGCCCACTCAAACTGTTGCTACATTTTATGCTGATGTTATTTTGAATTCAGGTCTCCTCTACCACCATGCTCCCACCTGCCTCCACCAGGCACCTGGCAGAAGTTCTCTGACTATCCTGGGAGACAGAGCCCCTGGAAGCTGAAGTGCTCTTTGCAGAAGCTTGTAAACTACTGACAGATTTAACTCTGTTATGTGAACTAAGAATAATTTGACGAGTAGACTTTCTTCTGTGTGTCTGGTATAAAAACCACAATCAAATATAATCCATAATCAAAACCATAGCCCCAAGCTGATTAAGCATGAGTAGCTTGTCCCAGTTCTTTCTTAAATATTCTCTTGCAGCTTGCTTATTCATTTTGTATTCTCTGAAGGCTCCCAAGCAGATAGGTGGTGGGAAATGCTCAATATTTAAGACCAAGCCATGCTTAAGATTTAAGACAAAGCCATGTGGGAAAACCTAACATTGAGAGCTAAATCCATGGACTCATTTGTTGCTGTGAGCTGGGAGAAGACCACCTTCATTGAGTTCAGCCATGATTTGAGAGCCTCTGCTTCAGCGCTTTCTCACGGATGACTGCACAGTGGGATTGGGGACAGGACAGGGTAGGAGGTAGGGGGTGGAGGGTGTTCCCAAAGGATGGAGATTCTGTTCAGCATCCTACCCAGCACCCAGAACATGGGGCAGAGCCATATCCTGCCTGTAGACAGACAGTAATCAATTCTGTCCAATTCAGCATGCGTTCACTGAATGCCTGCTCTGTGCCTACTCTGCCTTAGGCCCTGGGAGATACAAGAAAAGTATATAACAGAGTCTCTGCACCTAGGAGTCCACAGTGTAATAATAGCTACTAAATGAATGCACAGTGCACTGTGTATTATAAGAAGTGTTCATAAGTATATTTTCATGTGATGATCAATAATCCAGTAAACCAAGAATTACTACCCTTCACAGAAAAATGAAGAAACTGAGGCTCAGGGATCAAGGTACCAAAGGTCACACAGCTAGGAACCACAAAGGCAATAGTTAAGCCTGATTTTATTAGCTGTGGTCTCCTGACTCCACAACTTAAATTCTATCCAATGGATAAGGTACCCCTTCAGGTATGTGGAACAGGAGGAGGGCATTGTATTGTTAACCTTCCTGTTTTGTGAGCTGATGGAAGACAGAGACAACATGTGCGCCTGCTTTCTTTCCTCAGGGTTTGGCACGGAGTCAGCACCCAGAGTATGTCTGTTGACAAGTACCTGATTGTCTGATTAATATGTCTGTGCAGCAGTTCTGATCTGGGACTGATCAGTGGGATCTTAGGAATGAAACCAGGGAAGGCTTCTTGTCAGGGGTGGCATTTGGCCTTAAGCCTGGGGAGTGTTTGGGTTGGGGGATGTGGGAGGTAGAAAGGAAGAAGAGCATGGACGAAGGCTCAGAGGCTGAACAGAGCCAGATTTGCTTCCACGTGCACAGTCATTCTGTTCTTTATTCCAACAGACTCAGGGCTCAAGCCCGGTGACACTAGACCTCATCATTCCCTTCCTGAGGCCAGGGGACTGTATCCTGGTAAGAAATCCTACCCTCCCTCTACACACACTCCCCTAGCATCTGCTCCACAAGTGGCACATAGGGAAAATCCAGTCTTCAAAAATGTTCAGTTTGGACAGCATTGTGTTTGAAAGTGGAATTTGTCACTCCCAGTTAAATATTGGGGGATGTCATATTTTAAAAAGCTGATTTTCGGCTTCTCTTAAAAAATCAGAAAACCTGGTGCTCTGTGTCCACATTCAAGCCTGGTGACAACAGGCTGGAGCTCAGTCAGTGGTGCCTGTACTTCAGCCAGGGCCTGTGCCCTCCAGCTTCTCACAGACACCCTGGCCAACTTGGAGTTTACTCTCTGAGTTTGCCACTCTTGACCTCTCCTGTGTGGGATGAATTCCCTCTCCAGGGGGCCTCCCCTTCATCGTCCCCATGCCTCATTTAACTTTCCCTGGGGGAGGCACTGTACCCCTGGCTCACGGGATGGTGGGATTCTGTGCCCTCAGGTGTGGAGGTCAGATGTCCAGTTTGCCTGGAAGCACCTTTTGTGTCCCAATGGTGAGTTCTTTGAAGGGGAGGATTGAGAGGGAGGTTGGGCACTGAGGAGTCCATCTTGGCCTCAGTTTGCTTGCCTCAGCCCCTCATAGACACCTGGGACTATTGATCCTGGCACTGCTGGCCCTCACCACCCTTTTGGGAGTTGTTCTGGTCCTCACCCTCCGGCGCCCATTACCAGGTAAGTTCACTTCGGGGTAATTTGGGGATTTAGACCCGCCCAGCTCCTAGGCTAGCTGCCCCTATCCATCCTCTGCAAGGCTTCCTTCCCCAAGAGCCGTCTACCTGCCACTATACCCAGCTCTCACTACCCAAGGCAGTGTGCCTCAGGCACCCTAGTGGGAAGGAATAGTTTAGGCAGGGCAAAGATCCCTCTGTGCAGGTGGTTCAGTGTACGAAGTCTCTGGGCAAGAGGTAAGTGGAACGGAAATCCAGCCTGCGCTGCACCTGCCAAACCTGGTGCCCTGGCCCTCACCCCTTCCAGGGTGCCTTTATTGAAATAGCCCCAAAGCACTCTATAGATAAGAGCTGCCTTGGATACCCACCCCCAGAGCAGATAAGGAACTGGGGCGGGTGGGTGGGGGTGGGGAGATTCTATGGTGTAGCCATGAGGCTGAGGAAGATAGAGCTGGGGTGTCCCTTAACCCTCAACCCGTTCATCCGTTGCTCCCACCCTAGACCCCGGCGAAGCGCAACCGGTGCTGCTTCTGCATGCAGCGGACTCAGAGGCGCAGCGGCGCTTAGTGGGAGCGCTTGCTGAACTGCTGCGGGCCACGTTGGGCGGCGGGCGCGATGTGATCGTGGACCTGTGGGAGGGGGCGCGCAGGGCGCGCGTGGGCCCGCTGCCATGGCTGTGGGCTGCGCAGGCGCAGGTGACGCGGGAGCGGGGCACGGTGCTGCTGCTGTGGAGCAGCGCAGGTTCGAGCGCCGCCTGCGGCCCGGACTCCCGCACCGCGCCCCTGTGCACCCTGCTCCGTGCCGGCCCGCGCCCGCTTCTGCTACTGGCTTACTTCAGTAGCCTCTGCACCAAAGGCGACATTCCCCCACCACTGCGCGCCCTGCCGCGCTACCGCCTGCTGCGTGACCTGCCTCGCCTGCTGAGGGCGCTGGGAGCCGCTGGGCCTTCCACCCAAGCCATCGGCTGGGGCCGCCTGGGTGCTCGGCAGTGCCTGCGGAGTCGCCTGGAACTGTGTCGCCGGCTGGAACGCGAGGCAGCCAAACTTTCCCACCAAGGCTGAGCAGAGCTCCCGGCAATCCAGATGTCTTGGTCACAGGAGTAGGGGTGCTGGCTGACATCCCAGAAGGAGGCTTCTACCCTGGAATTCTCAGGGAGCCTCCTGAGGACTGCTGCCCTAAAGCCTTATTCCCTGCCTTCCATCCCAGGAACAGAGCGCCCATCTCACTCCGAGCCTTTGTGCAGGAGCGTCAGGCATTCTCCTGATGCTGCCATCTCTCAGAACCCCCAGGGAGAGAGTCGTTCTTTACTTAGGGCTCCTCTGACTCCAGTCCTGATGGGGAGGGAGATTTTCCCACTTCTTTCTCCAAAACCGGAGAGAGCAAGTTATACACATGCTCCTGTGCAGGCTAGGGAGATTTGGGCGGGGGTAGGGGAGGCAGAAGATTTGGCAATTCTGAATGTGGTTGGCTCCATGGAAGTGGGATAAAAACCCCCGGGGGTCAGAGATCCTTCTTTCTCAGACACAGGCCTAGCCCAGATGAGGAGGGAGGGAGGACTGGACCCAGGGAAAGAGACTTTGGCCCTGGGTGGCCAGGGCAAAGGTGGGACAGTGGACACCAAGATGAATAAAGGCAAACATGATGGAAAAACTAAGAAACATGTGCTTCTCTCGTGCGCCCAGGATGCTCAGTTGGGGCAAGGGTCAACACAGCACTGCCTGGGGGTTGTTATTGATCAGTGTATGGCCCGAATCCTCCATGTCCACACCCGTACCCCGACCCATCACACCGCGCCCCTGGGAAGGCAAAGAAGGACTTGGAAATCTTGATCCTCACTGTGACTCTTTCATGAGAAGAGAGGAAAAAACCAGTTCAGAAAAGTGGTACGTGTCCATCAGCACACAGCCAGCCCATAGCAAAAGCACAAATGGGACTCCTGTCTGCCTGGCTCTGGATCCTGGGTTGCTTCCCCCACCCCTACCATAGGCCAGGAAGTGGTGAAAAGCCCACTTTCTTGTCCCTGCCATTAGAACTCCTGACCCACAAAGGGTCACTGAAGCCCAGGGAGTCTGTGTGAAGGGACCCTGGGTGCCCAGTAAGCGAGGATCCAATGAACACCAAGATCTCAGAGTCATGTGGGAAGCAAAAATGCCCCAGGATTGCTCAAGCTCTGGGGTGCACTCACAGCCCTCCCTCCTCCTTAGGGACTCCCAGGGTGAGTAAGGGCTTACTTAACCAAGAGGCCAGTCTGCTACCGCCCACCTCCAGGGTCCCTCCCAGCCAGGGGAGGAGGAGGGGGAGGAGGAAAAGAGGGAGGTGAGGCTGCTGGCTCCCAGTCCCGGTGTTGGTGGGAGGGGCAGGGTGGGGCGGGAACAGCCAGTTGCCTGCCAGGAGTCAAAAACGAAAGCATTTCGGCTGGGAGTGAGACTGGAGTCAGGACTCCCAGGAGAGGGAGTGTGCCAGCTCGCCAGCTCTGGGACACTGGAGGCTGGGGGGAGATTCTGGCCGCTCCTGTCCAAGTGCTCTGGCCTGAGCGGGAGCAGAGGTGAGGTGTCTGCCCCCCCCTTGGGGGGGCAAGACAGAGCCTGAGGCCTGGGTGCCACCTGGCACCTGGAAGATGCCTGTGCCCTGGTTCCTGCTGTCCTTGGCACTGGGCCCAAGCCCCGTGGTCCTCTCTCTGGAGAGGCTCATGGGGCCTCAAGACTCTGCTCGCTGCTCTCCGGTGAGTCTGGGACTCCGGGAAGGTTGGGGAAGGCTCAGGGTTCAGTCTGAGGCCCATCAGGATACTAGCCTGGCTCCTGTCACCGCCACCACCACCAGAACTGCCCTGGCTGGTCTGTCTGGTACTGATGGGGTAAGAGGCGAATGGAGAGGGGGCAAGAGCTGGGTCTCTCTTCTTCTGGAAGGGGCTTGGAATAGGGGGCCCCAGAAAGAGGTAGGCGGGGGTCTCGAGCAGGGAAAGATGGTTAGATGTCGGACCATAAACTCTGACTCTCCTTTGTATCATTCTCAGGGCCTCTCCTGCCACCTCTGGGGTGAGTAGTCTACTTTTAGAGAGAAAAGAACTTCCTAGGTTGGTGGAAGGGAGAGGAGCTGTCCCAGTCCCAAGCCCTCATGGCCCACCTTCAGCCCTGGATGATCCCGAGCTCCTTGGCCCTCTGAGGGTATGAGGTACAACCAAACACTGGGTTCAGAACAACTTTAGCTCCCACCCTGCCCTTCACTCACAGATGGTGACATGCTCTGCCTGCCTGGGAGCATAGTGTCTGCCTCGGGACCTGTGCTGGTGCCCACTCGCCTACAGACAGAGCTGGTGCTGAGGTGCCATCAGGAAACGGACTGTGACCTCTGTGTTCGTGTGACCGTCCACTTGGCTGTGCATGGTGAGCACGTCATCCATGAGCACATGTGAATGTATCTGGTATGAGCTTGAGGATCAGGCAGCCTGCCAGACAGCACTGGACATCCTCCTGGAGGACCGTCTCCTGGAGGGCACTGGCCAAAGGACCCCCAGGCCAGTCTGCTCTCCCCATCTGGTCCCCAGGCCCCATGCCTGGCCCCTGCTTCCCTGCATGAACTTTCTGGAAGGAAACCAAACCCAAAGCCAGCCCAGAGCAGGAGCCCACTACCCTGACATGGGCCTTGTTCTCGGGTCCTTCCAGGGCAGCGGGAAGAACCTGAAGATGAGGAACAGTTTGGAAGAGCAGCTGATCCAGAGCTCGAGGAGGCTAAGAATGGTAAGGAGAGCCCTGCCGGCCCAACTGCCCTTTGCCATGGCCTTGCCTCTGGCCCCTGGGCCTGACCGACCTCCTACCCTGTTGCTCGCAGGCTCTCTCCAGGCCCAAGTCGTGCTGTCCTTCCAGGCCTACCCTACTGCTCGCTGTGTCCTGCTGGAGGTGCAAGTGCCCGCTGCCCTCGTGCAGCCCGGTCAGTCCGTGGTATGCGACATAATAATAGTAATAATAACCGCCTTCTGAATATGAAATCTATAAAGCGCTTCCACGTGCATTATCTCTTTAAGACATGACTCTGGTCAGGGCTGTGCCCTTTATGCTCCAGTTTCCCTGTCTGTAAGGTAGGGATAAGAATAGTCCCATTTCACATGGATGTTGTGAGAATTAAATGAGGTGACAATGCCAGATGGAGAAAGTGTGAGTGGGAGAGGGAGAGTCTGTGGGCTGGATCCACTCCTCTGGCCTTCCTGGCTTCCCGTATCTGCTCCACGTACAACCCGTGGTGCAGGGAGCTGGGGCTGTCCCTGGAGGTGTCTGTCCACTTGGGCAAGTCACTCAAACCCTTTGACTTCCCCCCCTACCCCCAGCCTATATCCTCTGACCCGGAAAGTTGCTGAGTGGTAGAACATCTGCTGGCCCACCTCACAGCAATTGTGAGGGCCCCTGAGGCACTGGGTGTGAGATCCGCTTCTGCGGGGAGGGGTGTCTGATCACCTCAGCTTTGTTTGATCCAGAGCAGCTGGGGTTGGTGCAGGGATTCAAGTAGCCAGCGCCCTTATCCCTGCCCTGCTGATAGCCATATTGAGGGGGCGTGCTTTAGAGTTGGGACCCCTTGAAGGAAACTTCAGTGGCAGAATTGCAGGCCACACAGTATGAATATAATCCTTGGTTGGGGAAAGGGGGAAGGGGTGGTCCATGCAGAGGAGCCCACTACGCTCGGAAAGGATTCTGAGCCCTCTACCACAAGCCTTCTGCCGCCCATCTCCTCACAGGGCTCTGTAGTATTTGACTGCTTTGAGGCTGCTCTAGGGGCCGAGGTGCGAATCTGGTCCTACACTCAGCCTAGGTACCAGAAGGAACTCAATTTCACACAACAGCTGCCTGGTAAGTGGCTCCAGAGCCTCTCAGGGGCCCCAAGTCATTGCTCGCCTAGTCTCCCTCCTCTTTGGCCACTCCCCTTCTGCTTTCACTCCCTTCCTAGTCCTATCCTCTCTCAGGCAGCTCCCATCCTCCCCACAGTCAGTTCCTCCTGCCTCTTCTTCCCAAGTGACATGGCTCTCCCACCCCGGGGAAGGGGCTTCGACACTAGGTAGATGTGGGCAGTAATCAGGAGACAGGGAGCCCTTCCCAGAGCTCCCCATGGGTTGGGCTGTCCCCCCTTCTTTCCTTGGTCCCCAGTCCCACCGGAGGCTTTTCTGTGATCTCTCCCCAGATTGCAGAGGGCTCGAAGTCCGGAACAGCATCCAGAGCTGCTGGGGTAGGGGCTGGGGCCAGTGGGTCTGGGAGGAGGGAGGATCAGGGTCTGGAGTGTGAGAAACCCTTGCAGTTGGCTTCAGGCCCGGGCTGCCACATCCCAGAAACTTGCAGAGCTCATTCATGCTTTCGTTCATTCCTTCATTTGTTACACATGAACTGTAATAGCTCCTACTTTGTGCCAGGCACTGGGAACATAAAGGTGGATCTCTCACTCCCTGTAACAAATATTTATTAATACCAGGAACATCTAGAGGCCCAAAGCGCTGTCAAGCACTCTCCCCCATATATCAAATAAAAATAATACTAAACCATAAAATAAGGGCTAGGAAAGTTAAGGTTCTGATTTTTTTCAATGCACTATTTAGATTTTTTGTTTTGTATTTTCTTTTTCATTGTAGTATAATATACATATGGAAAAGTGTGTAAAGTGCTCTAATTTTAATGTCTAGTTCCATTCATTTTCTAATATGTATATACTTGCATAACTACCACCTGGACCAAAACATACACACTGTGTTTTTTTTTAACTCAAATTATTTCAACTTCATTTTCTTTTTGGTTCCTTTCATCTCAAGCTTGACCTGCCTGTTCATAGTAATCCCCTAAAGACTATTCAAGCCCCGAGCTTTGATGATACAGATACACGTTGTGCATTTCAAGTCATCATTCATTCAGTTGATTCACTTATTGAGCAGATAGTTACTGAGTAATTACTCTGCCCAAGGCATAGCACTAGGCACTAGACATAAATCAACTAATAAAACTATCAAAAATCCCTGGCCTCACCGTGCTGATACTCTAACTGGGAGTCAGAGTCAAGGTGAGGGAAAGGGAGGACACAATTAACACAGGGAGATGTGAAATAGGCAATAGCTAGAGGTTCAGAAGAAAGTGCAGGAAGGGGGGTTAGGGAAGTTGGGAGGTGCAGCTGTCAGGGACGCCTCACTCCAGAGGGCTCCATGCAGAGGAAACAGTGAGCGTGAAGGGCCTGAGGCAAGAGTATGTCTGGTGTGTTTCAGTATTAGGAAGGACGCAGGTGTATCTGCAGCAGATTAATTAGCGCTAGGAGATGAGTTTAGAGTGGTCATAGCATCCAGATTGGATAGGGTCTTGCAAGCCTTTGTGAGGACTATGTCTTATCCCCTGGGAGTAATTTGGGCAGGGTGGCATCAGAGGGTTCAGAGCACAGGAGAATGATTTATTTTACAGTGGTTGCAGGATTCTTCTGGCTGCAGAGAGAGAAGCAAAAAGAGGGTGGTCTCAAGACCACATACTGGGGCCTCCTTGAGCTTGGTCCCCGGCTGCTGGGACAAAGCCTGGTCTGAGATGGGAACACTGGCTCCATCCTCAAGGAGCCTCCCAGTCTGAAGAGTTTGAAGGGAATTCAAAAGGGAAAGGGTCAGTCAATGGGTATGGCCCAGGCTTGGGTGTGTAGAAGAGGTGAAGGAAATCTCTCTTTGGCTCCCCCACAGCCCTGCCCTGGCTCAACGTGTCTGCAGACGGTGAGGATGTGCACCTGGTGCTGGATGTCTCTGAGGAACAGCACTTTGGCCTCTCCCTGTACTGGAACCAGACCCAGAGCCCTACAAAACCATGGTGGCACAAAAACTTGGTGAGACCTCTGCCTCCCAGGCCAATTCTCACTCTAGGCTAATGCCCATGCTAAGGATGCAAGGGGACCCTTAAAGAGGACACAGTGACCCACACCCAAAGCAAGGAATGTTGGTGGGGGAACTGCTGAAAGCCTGGTTTCCTTAACTTTGGCCTCCAGCCTTCCCCTCTTCATTATCGTCTCGTACTTCCCCCGCTTTTGCTTCTCCCACAGACCGGGCCGCAGACCATTACCTTGAACCACACAGACCTGGTTCCCTGTCTCTGCATTCAGGTAGGAGCAGAGCCTAGCTGGATGCCAGGGGAGTTGGTGAGGGGGTAGCTCTGTCTTTGACTCACTATTCTCCACCCTCCTCTTTGAGGTCAAAACTATGGCTCCCTAGGGTGACTGGCCTTCCCTTGACCTTTGGCTGTCTTATGCCTTGTGCTTGTTACATGCTCCAAATGCTCTGATCCTCCATCCACAGGACTCCCACTTACGCTCCATTCAGATGTCACCTCCTTCTTGAAGCCTTCCTCTACTCTTCCAATTCCCCCTTTGTGTTCCCCTGGAGTGGAGAGCATGTGCTATGAATGCAGACTGGTTTGAGTCCTGACTCTTGTCATTTGTTAGCTGTGTCACCTTGGGCAAGTCATTTCACCTGTCTGGCCTGTTTCCTATCTGTGAAATGGGAAGAATAGCAGTACCAGCTTTATAGAGCTACTATATATAAGGAAGTGTGCCACATCCAGGCTTATGTACGCTGGCTCTTCCTTCTCCCTACGATTGCACATTTAATTGGTCCTCAGGTCCTATCTATTTGACCTCTGTCCCTTATTGCCTTTCCCTCTCCTCAGCCCAGTTTGGGCTTCTATCACCTAGACTGTTTCAATAATTTCCCATCCCACCTCCTTTCCCAGAACTTCCCTAACATTCTAGGCCCCATGTTTTGACCCCCGACTGAACCCTTGCCACTGTCTTTCCCATGATTCCCCTTGATGGGAATTTTGTTCCTTACAGGTGGAGCTATTCATCAAGATACATCCACCTCTGTGCTTTTGCTCAGTTGGTTCCCACTACCTGAAATGACCTCACTTCTTTTCCATACAACCAAATCCTTCCAGCTCACATGTTACCTCTTTCCAAAAGTTTCCCCCAGTCTCCTGGCCTCTTCTTTCTACACATGTCCTTATACTTCTGTCTTTCCTTGTGCATTTATCATTTCCTTTTTCATTTGGACATCTGTCTCATTTCTTCTTGGATGCAACAGATGCTCAATAAATGAGTGATCAATTTTTTAATTTATATATGTTTTATCCTTACTGCAATGGTGAATTTGTCATTTCCTTGAAGTCAAGGAAATAATAGCTAATTCAAGTTTATTAACTCCCCCAGAGCCTTGCACAATGCCTGATTCATAATAAGTGTTCTTAATTAAAGGTTTGCTGAGTAAATTTATATAGTATTATCTCTAGCGCTTAGCACAGGACTAAGCACACAATGGTGCATTTTAAAAGTCTATTGAAAGAATTAATGAATGTGTCTTTACACCTACAACAGTGAGTGCCTGAGATATAGTAGGTTCTCACAAAGTGATTGTGGCTTTAATTATTGAATGTCCCTAGTGCCTACCAGAGTGCTAAGACACATGTTTATTAAATGAAGATGTTTCCAGATGTTGATGTAGGGTTTCCTGGAAGAATAAATGTGGGCATCTCTAAGGCCTTGCAAAGGGTAAAGGAGCAGGCGCTGTCTGTGAAATATTGGCCAAATGAATATGTCCCCAGTGCCTAGCAGAGGGCCTGGCATGTGCTCCTGGAAGGTTGGTTGGGGTGACCTAGCCAGTGGAGCCCTGTTTCCTTTGCAGGTATGGCCTCTGGAGCCCGACTCCGTTCGAACGAGCATCTGCCCATTTGGGAACGGTGAGAGGACCCGCAGCACCCGGCCAGGGCGGGAGCTGTGCGCGCTGACAAGTGCGGGGGCGCGCAGTGACCATGCCCTCTCGCTGCAGATCCCCGCGCACACCGCAACCTCTGGCGTGCTGTCCGGCTGCAGCTGCTACCCCCTCGGGGCTGGCGGCTGGATGCACCATGCTCGCTGCCCGCTGAGGCCACACTCTGCTGGCAGGTACCAGGCTGGGGCCCCTGCCAGCCGCTGGTCCCACCGCTGCCCCGAGAAAATGTCACTGTGAACGTAAGCGAAGCAGCAGGGTAGGAGGAGGAAGGTAAGCCCAGGAGGCTGTATTTCGTGACTTCACCCATTCCCCTCTTACCACAGAAGGCCCTTGAGTTCCCGCTGCTGAAAGGCCACCCCAACCTCTGTGTCCAGGTAAGAGAGGGGAGCCACAGCACTGTGTTGGGGCAGGACCGACCCTCCCCGGACCCCGTGCGGACCCCCAGACAAGGCACTGTCTTCTGGACTTACTTTATCCTTGGATCTCTGAAGCAAAGTGGTTATAGGCTTCCTTTTTAGGAGTTCCATTATTTACCTTAGCAGTGCCAGGGACCCTGAGCCAGTCACTTCACCTCTCCGAAGGTCAGTGTCATCTGTTCAATGGGGATGATAATTGTGACTGCTTTATAGAATGGTATGAAGATTACATAAGAGAAACACTTCAATTTAGGGTCTGGCACAGTCTAAATGTTCAACAATTGTTGGCTGCTTTTATTATTGCTATCATTATCCTATTTCCGTGCCTATATAATGGGTTGCTCTATAACTTCACAGGATGATTATAAACATACTCACTCAAGATTTGTTGAATATCGCCCTGGCTGGTGTGGCTCAGGGGATTGATTGCCAGCCTGTGAACTGAAAGGTCACTGGTTTGATTCTCAGTCAGGGCACATGCCTGGGTTGTGGGCCAGGTCGCCAGTTGGGAGGGCGTGAGAGGCAACAGATCGATATTTCTCTTGCACATCCATGTTTCTCTCCCTCTCTTTCTCCCTCCCTTCCCTTCTCGCTAAAAATAAATAAATAAAACCTAAGAAATAAAAAGAAAAGTTTTGTTGAATGTCTACTATATGCCAAGCACTGTTTTAGGCACTTGGAATAGATGTCCATGAATAAAACCAATAAATATTTCCATTCTTAGAGTGTTTATGTTCTAATGGAGAAATGTAGATAATAGATATAATAAGTAAATTATTATAGTAAGTCAAAATTGTATATAAATACTATGGAGAATGGGGGAAGGATAAGGGAGGATTGAGGTTGCAATTTCAAGTGGGGTGGTCAGGTAAAGGTCTCTTTGAGAAAGCAGCTAGAGAGAAATGTATAAAGCGTCTTGTCAGACACAAAGAGAGCTAACTTAGGGTCATAAGTCCTGTCAGCATAGATGACCTCACAAAGCTGAGGCTGAGAAAGAGGGAGCGACACCCAGTCACCCAGACTGGAGCCCAGATCTTCCTAAGGTTGGGTCCAGAATGCTGACCCCCACGACCCAACAGGCCTCCCCTTGCCTATTCCTTCTCTTCTTGGGTCTTTCTGGCCTTGGCTCTTGCTTTTCTTTGTGCCCCTAACCCTGGCCCCTTCCAAGCAGGTGAGCAGCTGGGAGAAGCTGCAGCTGCAAGAGTGCTTGTGGTCTGGTGAGTGGGGCTTGTCCAAGGCTGGGACAGGGCAGTTGCAATAGTAGTAAACCCTGGATGTGCCAGCTCCTGGGGGTGAAGGCCAGGCATGGGGAGGCACATGGCAGCCCCCAGCAATGTTGGGTCTTAGAGTGGACTCATCCCTTTCAGACTCCCTGGGGCCCCTCAAGGATGATATGCTGCTGGTGGAGACACGAGGCCCCCAGGACAATAGATCACTCTGTGCCTTGGAACCCAGTGGCTGCACCCCACTACTCAGCAAGGCCTCCACGGTGAGGGTTGATGGGCCCTCCTCCATATACCTCTCCAGCTCCATCTCAGACCTGACCTCAAATTTTCCCTCTATTCAGTTTTTCCCTCCCCTATGCCAGGCTCTGTGCTGGTCTGAGAACATGGGAGTGATTCAGACCTGAGCCCTGTTCTCAGTGGCCTCTCAGAAATCTTCCAGCCCTCGCACCCTCCTTCCCCGCATTCTGCCCAGCTGCAGCCTGGTGGCCTCCTAAATGTGGTGCCCCTAGGTGACAGTCCCCTACCCCTTGGCTTGGCAGAGGGCAGCTCGCCTTGGAGAGCAGTTACTAGAAGACCTGCAATCAGGCCAGTGTCTGCAGGTGAGTAGGTGGCAGGAGAACCCTGCCCCAATGCCCAAGAGCAACAGGCCCAACACTCTACCTTTGGCCTCTTACACTTCTGTGCCTCGCAGAGGGCACCAGGGAGACTCTCACTGTTCCTAGGCAGAGGCCTCCTCACTGTCCTTCTAGCACCCACCCACCATCTATTTTTGCTCTTTTTGTGTCTAGTCCTGGGGAAGCTAAGAGTTGAAGAAGAATAGTTCCTGTCCCCAAGTTGCTCACTGCTGGCTAAAAACCTGTAAAAAGATAACATTCACATGTGCTAAGTGCTAGTTTCCCAGGAGAACTTCAAGGAAGGGTCTCTTCATGTGGGCCAGATCTGGCATGGAGGATGGCACAGTCCAGGCAGTAGGCATAGCATAAGCAAAGGCAGAGCAGCTTGCAGGAACTTGCCGTGTGTGGGGGAATATATACATAATTGAGGCTGGGAATTTGGAGACCAGGCTGGCTAGAACTTGGTGAGTGCTGAACAATAAGCTGAGAGCTCTGCACTTGGTTTTGTTTGTGTCTTACAGCTATGGGATGATGACCTGGGAGCACTATGGGCCTGCCCCATGGACAAGTGTGAGTATTATAGGAACTGCCCTTCCTCTTCATAGCTCTCAAGGAGCTGGAATCTTGACAGGTACCATTCTTGGGGGCAGCACACACAATGGCCTTGTCTTCCCCTGGCTCAGATAAATCAGAGGGTCATTCCTTCATTCATTCAGAAATTAGAATGAGAGCTTCCAGGGAATCCCAGCATCACCAAGACACAATCCCTTCCTCTGCCCCAGCCATAGAAGGCTAGAAAGACATTAGCCCCAAATCACTTACATTTGGTAAGTGTGAGGTATTGAAGCACTTTCTATAAAGTAAAACTGTCAAAAGTCATGAATGCATATAACAGGGACCTGACTTCAGTGGGGCGAGGAGGTTAGTGGAAATGTTCAAGGTGAACTCTGCAGACTGATTGAGGTGAAGGAGATAGAGATCCATTTTTTGTGAAGAATGTGGAGTGGTCTTTTGAGGAACTCCAAGGTGGTCAATGTGGCTGGCATGTCTTGGGAGGCAGGCCCCTGTCATGAGATACAAGGGTCATGTAGGACCTTGAGAGCCAATGTAGGGAATTTGGAATTTAACTTAAAGAGTAGCAGGAGCTTCCCAAAAGACTCCATAATCAGGGTTGTATTTTTTAAGAAGATCCCTGGGGCTGCCATGTGGTGAGTGAATTGGAAACAAAAAAGAGGTCAGGGATATCAGAAGGCTGTTGCAGTTATTCAAGAGAGTGAAGTCAAGGACCTGGACACTCTAGGCAAAATAATATTGCTGACATTTGAGAACTTATGGCATGGCACTCTAAGTGCTTTAAGTGTATTAACATATGTAGTCCTCAAAACAGATCTATCAGTAGGTACTATTGTTATCCCAATTTTATTTTATTTTTTAAAATTATTTATTTATTTTTAGAGAGGGTAAGGGAGGGAGAAAGTGAGGAGGGAATCATCGATGTGAGAAACACATGGATGGGTCGCCTCTGTACTGTGCCCCATTGAACTGGGACCTTTCACTTTACCGGACGATGCCCAGGCAACTGAACCATACTAGTCAGGGCTGCTATCCCAATTTTACAGAGGTGAAAAACTGAGGCAGAAAATGAAGTCACTTATCCAAGGTCACCCGAGTATATGGATCTATTGATATGTTCATATGACATATACTGGCTCTAATACTATATAGACTTTGGGCAAGTCACTACATTTCTCTAACCTTCAGTTTTTCCCCTTCCTAAAGTGGAGTAAAAGTATACGGTCTCTAACTAGCCCATCTCCTCCCCTGGGTCTACCAGATATCCACCAGCGCTGGGCCCTGGTGTGGCTGGCCTGCCTACTTTCTGCTGCTGTGCTTTTCCTTCTCTTCCTTCTCAAAAAGGACCATGTGAAACGTGAGTCATTTCCGGCTCCCCAATCCCCAGGGGCAGGACTAGAGCGGGGCTGGGAGTTCACGGAGAGGAGGCAGTGGCTCAGCTCACTCTCTGCCTCCACCCCTCTCCCCTGACAGAGTGGCTGAGGCTCTTGAAGGAGGATGTCCGCTTGGGGGGTGAGTGCGAGCAAGCGCTGGGCGGGGGGCCGCCCCCAGAGGGCCGGGCCTCGGGCCATCTAACGTCTCCCTTCCCCCTCTGTTCTTTTTGACAGCCGCCGCCAGGGGCCGCGCGGCTCTGCTCCTCTACTCCGCCGAAGACGCGGCCTTCGAGCGCCTCGTGGGCGCCCTGGCGTCGGCGCTCTGCCAGCTGCCGCTGCGCGTGATCGTAGACCTGTGGAGTCGTCGTGAACTGAGCGCGCAAGGGCCCTTGGCCTGGTTCCATGCGCAGCGGCTCCAGACCCTTCAGGAGGGTGGCATGGTGGTCTTGCTTTTCTCTCCCGGGGCCGTGGCGCTGTGTCGCGAGTGGCTGCAGGATGGGGCGTCAACGCCTGAGGTGCACGGCCCACATGACGCCTTCGCCGCCTCGCTCAGCTGCGTGCTGCCGGACTTCTTGCAGGGCCGGGCACCTGGCCGCTACATCGGGGCCTACTTCGACAGTCTGCTCCACCCAGATGCCGTGCCAGCCCTGTTCCGCGCAGTGCCAGTCCTTGCCCTACCCTCCCAGCTGCCTGACTTCCTGCGGGCACTGCAGGGGCCCGGAGCCCCCCGTCATAGGGGGCTCGCAGACAGGGTGGAGCAAGTGTCCCGGGCCCTTCAGCCCGCCCTGAACAGCTGCCTCCGGCCCCCGGGGACCCAAGAGACAGGACGCGAGATGGGACCTGTGGCAGGGGACGGGACTTGAATAAAGGCAGATGCTATTTTTCCATCCACATCTCTCCAATGTGTCTCTCTGAGCGATCGGCTAACCTAGCAGGCGCCAGTCCTCGTCGGCCCTTTAACAACCAGACAGGTGCAACCCGGCGCCACCTCTGGTTGGCTGACGCGGGGTGACGCAATTGCACATGGCTCGCCATCACTGGCTGCGGCGTGGGCTCCGCCCTCCGGACTGCGGGGCTGGCAGAGGTTGCACGTCTTACGCAGGCGGCGGCGGAGGTGGCGCTGAGGACACTGAGCCATCTGCGCCCGCGGGCTGGGTGGGTCGTCTCTTTCTCTCCTGCAATTTACTGGGATATGGATCCTTCCTCGCCGGCTTGTGGGCTGTGCCTTGGCTACCCGTGGGCCCTGAACCTCATCCCCTCTCTTTAGATCCGAATCTGGGCTGCTCGGCGTAAAATCGTTCATCCGCTAATTCTCCCCAGTACTTGGAATCTGATCCATCCTCCCTAATCCCATTGGTCCTCCCCCTAATAACCCATATTCAGACCCTAAAACAATGGGCTGACTCCTGCCTCCTTGCCAAGGGTCCAGGATACCTCCCCAACAATAACAAAGATACTCTCACACATTTCCCCACTATAACCCCTCTCCTGGGCGTACCCCAGTCCAGTCTCCATTTCTTCTTATAACAAATCTGGGATCCCAGATCGGTGGCACCTCAGAACGAACCCTTTTCTTTCTCATCTGGCTTCTCCAGCGAATCCTACCCATGCCCTCCATCTATAGGTCCCCAGCCTGGGAGAAGATGGCCCTGCGACCCCGGAGGGGCCTGGTCCCAGCTCTGCTCTGGGGCCTGAGCCTCTTCTTCAGCCTCCCAGGTCCAGTTTGTCTCCAGCCCTCTCCTGCTCCCCAGTCTTCGCCCCCAGCTGAGCCCCATCCATGCCATACATGCCGGGGACTGGTCGACAGCTTCAACAAGGTGGGTGTACCAGCAGCCTGATTGGTGGGACAGCCGGCTACTATAGCGAGTGATTGAGAATGGGGAGATCTGGGATGAAAGTCTGTATGTTTACTTAATAATTGTGTGGTCTTGGCCTGGTTGCCTCTCTATGCCTGTTTGCTGGTCAGTGAGATGCTGAAGTGCTAGAATGTGCCAGGCACTGTACTTCTGTACTTAGGTATTACTAATTTTCTCCATTTCCAGGGCTTGGAGAGGACCATCCGGGACAACTTTGGAGGTGGAAATACTGCCTGGGAGGAAGAGAAATTGTCCAAATACAAAGACAGGTAAGGGGCTAGAAGGATGGGTTTGTATAGCTCACCTCCCAGCCTCTGCTCTACTGGTCGGGGTCTAGCGCCTCTTAGGGAGTGCTTACTCATTCAACAAATACCACTGAATATCTATAGCACAGATAAATAAGGCAAGCAAAATCTCATCCTCAAGTAGCTTATATTTTTGTAGAGGAGATACATAGTGAGTAATGAAATAAATAATGTCGTTAGGGTGGACTACAGAATGGTGGGAGGCATCGTGTTCAAGGTGTGACATTTAAACAGAGAACTGAAGGGAAGAAGCAAGCTATGTAATGATCGGGAAGAGGTGTGGACAGAGAGACTGAGCTTGGTATATTTGAGAAGTGACTGGAATGGAGTGATAGAAGATGAAAGCAGAGGCCCAGGCCTTGAAGGCTACACAGAAAGGAGTTTGGATTTCATTCTGAGTATAGAAGGAAGCTATTGGTAGGTTTTGAGCAGAGAAGTGATGTGCTCTTATTTATACCTTTTAAAGATTACTCACATGGCAGTGTAACAAGCAAACTATTAGAGGGCCAGGATGGAGGAAGCAGAAAGACCAGCTGCGAGGCTATGCATAGTCTATGCAAGAAGGTAGCGGGAACTAGTGTGCTATCTAGTGGTGAACCAGGTGAGAAGAGGTCAAATTCTGGGTATATTTTGCAGTTAGACTGATAGGACCTGATGATGGATTTGTTATGCGGTGTGAGAGAAATAAAAATAAAAGATACCTACTAGGTTTTGGGCCTGAGCAACTGGGTGAATTGTGGGGCTGTTTTCTGAGATGGGAAAAGCTGAAGGAGAAAGTTTTGAGGTGGGGTGGAATTGGGTGTTCTCTTTGAACATGTTGGGCTGAGATGTCCATTAAACAGCCAAGTTGAGTTAGATTTAGATTAAGATGAGATAGTATCGAGAGGAAAGGTCTGAGCCCTAGGCCATCTAGATTTTCAAAGTCAAATTAAGGAGAAGGAGTCGTCAAAAACTTTTTTTGGGAGTTAGACGTGGTTGTCAGTTTTGACCCTTGGGAAGTCCTCTTATCCTCTCCAAGCTTCAGTTTCTCATCTGTAAAATGGGGATATTAATACCCACTTTGCCTATTTCATAGGTCTGTGGTTAAAAATTAAACTGTTTGGTTTTGTTATGTAACATTGATCATTTTCCTCTCCCTCAGCAGGCCTGTTTCTTTATTTGGGAATGAGGGGATTGGCCAGGATAACCAGGATAACTTTCAGCTTTGTAATGGCTCCTGGTTTTCTTTCTTTCATTTTAAAAATCACCTCCTCCTATATGCCAGGCACTGTTTCAGACTCTTTAAATATATAACATAATACATTGTGTGTGTGTGTATATATATAGATATATATATATCTATATATATCAATGTTTTTGTTGAGGTAGGATACATGACACATAAAATTTACCATTAAAGACATTTTTTTAAAAAGATTTTATTCATTTTTAGTGAGAGGGGAAGGGAGGGAGAAAGAGAGGGAGAGAAACATTGATCAATTGCCTCTCGCATGCTCCTAACTAGGGACCTAGCCTGCAACCCAGGCAGGTGCCCTGGTCGGAAATTGAACCTGTGATCTTTTGATATGCAGGTCAGCGTTCAACCCACTGAGCCACACCAGCCAAGGATAGAGACATTTTGTACACTCACAGTGTTGTGCAAGAATTACCACTAGTTCCAGAACATTTTCATCATCCCAAAAAGAAACTCCATATTCATTAAGCTGTCATTCCTCCTTCTCCCCTCCCCTCTGCCCCCGACAATTACTAATTTGCTTCCAGTCTCTGTGGATTTGCTAATTCTATTGGAATCCTACACTAATGTGGCCTTTTATATCTGGCTTCTTTCATTTAACATAATGTTTTCAAAGTTCGTCCATATTGTAGCATATATCAGTACTTCATTCCTTTTTAAGGCTTAATAATATTCTGTTGTATGGATATACCACATTTTGTGTATCCATTCATCATTTGATGGACATTTGTGTTGTCTCTACCTTTTGACTATTGTGAATAGTAATACTATGAACATTTGTGTATCAGTTTTTGTTTGAACACATGTTTTCCATTCTTTTGTGTGTAAACTCAGGAGTGCAATTACTGAGTTATATGGTGATTTCATGTGTAACTTATTGAGGAACTACCAAACTGTTCTCCACAGTGTCTGCACCATTTTTCGTTCGCACCTGTAATACAGGATTCCAGTTTTTCTGCATCCTCACTAACACTTGCTATATGATATGTCTTTAATTATATCTACCCAGCAAGGATATATACTCCATTGTGCAGATTCAGGAACTGAAGTCTTGTACAACAAACTTGTAGAGGAGGTATTTGTCCCTTTTTACAAATGAGAAAACATTTTACAAATGAGGTTCAAGAGAGGTTGACTTGCCCAAGGTCACACAACTAGATTTGAATTCAGGTATGTCTGACTCTCAAAACCAGTATCCCTTCCATTATGCCCTAAGGCCTTTTCCTTTGACACTGTCATGGTATAAGGAGTCGGGGGAGAGGAGACCTTAGGAGGGTGGTGGGTGTAGTGGAACATGTTCCCAGCCCTCCACCTCTGTCTGGCCAGTGAGACCCGCCTGGTGGAGGTGCTTGAGAACGTGTGCAGCAAGTCAGACTTTGAGTGCCACCGCCTGCTGGAGCTGAGTGAGGAGCTGGTGGAGAGCTGGTGGTTTCACAAGTGAGTGCTGTGGGGGCTTTCCCAGGGCGGGGGCTACAGGCAGGGCCTCGTGGTGAAGCAGGGAGTCGCATGCTAAGAGCGGTGTCTCGTTTTGGCTCTTTCTTCCAAACCCAGATCTGCTAAGGACTTGCTGAGGGACCCAAGCTTTCACTCTGAGCTTCAGTTTACCCCTCTGCCAAATGAGGAAAGGGCGTTGGTCACGTGGCCTTATGGGTCTTTTGGCACGATGGGCTGTATCACAGATTCTGTGGGAGGTTAGGGGATGGGCAACACCTCTGACACTGTCTAAGGTCCCCTTGCTGTCACACCACCTCCTCACCCCAGGCAGCAGGAAGCCCCAGACCTCTTCCAGTGGCTCTGCTCAGATTCCCTGAAGCTCTGCTGCCCTTCAGGAACCTTCGGGCCGTCCTGCCTGCGTGAGTTATTCAAGTTCCTCTTGGGGAGTGGGAGGGGACTGCTGAGGCCAGGACTCCTGTCCTGGCTCTTCCCCTAGCAGGCTGTGTGAGCTTCCGCTGCTCAGATAACTCCTTGGAACCTTAGTTCTTACCTGCTTCACGGGGCTGGTGAGATGAGCAAAGATATGGAGCTAGACTGAGTCAGATGCTGCTGTGGTTTTTATCTCGTATTTGAGAAATGCCTCCACTTCCACCCTCCTTTCCCATGCCTGGATCAGACCAAGCTCCATGCCTAAGGGGGCCTTCATGAGGGTTCCAGGTGCTGTCCAGAAGCCCCCATTGCCACCACCTTTTTCTACACATAGTCCTAAGTCAGGAGCTAAACTTCCTACTAACCTCCTTTAGAAAATTCTCTCCAAAAGCTGCAGATAAAGAGTTAATGACAAAGATGATCAATTCAGCCTTTATAAAAGAAAAGATTTATAAAAACCTAATTGTTCCACAATGGGGTAGTGGTTACGTAAATTTTATACAGTTTATGACAAAATATTATGTTGCCATTAAAATTAAATTTTCTCCCCCCGAATGTTAATGTTTTCTATATACCAGATTGTTTTTACAATCTCACCCGTTTTGGTGTCTGCCCACAGCCTGTCCTGGGGGCGCAGAGAAGCCCTGTGGTGGCTACGGGCGTTGTGAAGGGGAAGGGACTCGAGGGGGCAGCGGGCACTGTGACTGCCAAGCCGGCTATGGGGGTGAGGCCTGTGGCCAGTGTGGCCTTGGCTACTTTGAGGCGGAGCGCAACGCCAGCCATCTGGTATGTTCGGGTAGGTAGCCAAAAAGCAAGGCTCTGGGCAGGGGCTGTTGGGGTGACTGCCTGCCCATCCTCATACTTCCCCCCTTCCACCCAGCTTGTTTTGGCCCCTGTGCCCGCTGCTCGGGACCCGAAGAATCGAACTGTTTACAGTGCAGGAAGGGCTGGGCCCTGCATCACCTGAAGTGTGTAGGTGAGTGGGGCTGTGCCCTAGATCTGGGGAGATGGGCAGGGGCCTGGGCTTGGTTTTCCATTAATACTCACATCTCTGGGATAGACTAGACCAACACAGTTCCCATCTTGATGGAGATCTCATCATGGTTGGGAAGGCAGAAAAGTAACCAGACACTTAGAGTATAGACTGATCTTTGTATACTGAGAGATGTCCCTGATCCAGCTTGGTGGTGGGAGGGAATCAGGAAAGGCTTCCTAGAGGAGGTGTCACTTAGGCCAAGTTTGGAAAACTGAGGAATGGTTAACCAGAGGAATGAGGATACTGAACTTGGGTCAGGAAACCTGGGTTTGAGATTTCGTTTGGTCTCAAACCTAGCCATTTATATGACTGAGAGTAATGGCTAAGGTGCTGTAACAAAAAGATCCCCAAAGATTGTGGCTTAAAGAATATAGAGGTTTATTTTTATCTTAAATTACAGTCTCAAAGCACGTGGCCCAGGCTTGCAGGGAAGCTTTATTTGTCACGATCATTCAAGGACATGGATTCCTCCCTTCTTACTGTGCAGTCATCCCATTGGGTATTGACTTTGTGGTAGAGGCTCGGTCATGGGCACCTCAATCTAGCACTCAGGAAATAAGAAAGGGGAACAAGTGCATGGGTGAGTTCAAGCCCATTGTTTTAAAGCCAAGCTAAAAGTGGAGCGCTTCACTTCTGTTTACATCCTCTTGGCCAGAACTCAACCGTAAGGCTGTACTGGGCTGCAAGGCAAATTGGAAAATGTAGTCTCTGCCTGAGCAGCCTGGAGTCCAGCTGCACTTCTGCTCCTGTGTTGGTGGACAGCCCACAGTTGCTGCCATGCTATAGGAGCCTGCCAAGTCCATTCCCCAGCAATCCTTGCCTCAGCTTCCCTATTAGTGAACTAGGGATTGGAATTCCCCACCTTGCTGCCCTCCTTACAGATATTGATGAGTGTGGCACAGAGCGAGCCAACTGTGGAGCTGACCAGTTCTGCGTGAACACAGAGGGCTCCTATGAGTGCCGAGGTAAGTGTCCACTCCTGCGGAGGAGAGGATGTGGCAAGGGTAGGAGCTGCTCCACACCTGTTCTCCCCAAACCTCTGCCTCCTCAGGCCTCCTGGGCCTAGGGGCAGCTCCCAGCCTTATCTCTTCCCTCTTCTCCAGACTGTGCCAAGGCCTGCTTGGGCTGCATGGGGGCAGGGCCAGGCCGCTGTAAGAAGTGTAGCCCTGGCTACCAGCAGGTGGGCTCCAAGTGTCTCGGTGAGTCTCCTGCCAATGGGCCATAGGTACCTTGGAGTGTCTTGCCACCATGAATTGAGAGGGGCTGGAATATAGAGGGGGTAGGGGAAGGAAGGGTGGAATGTTACCTCGGCAAGGGTAGAAGGGAGTGTCAGGATGTGGGAGAGACGGCGTCAGGGGTGCTGCATGTGGGACCCTGGCAGTCAGAGCTCTGATCCCTCCTCGCCCTTCCTCAAGATGTAGACGAGTGTGAGACAGAGGTGTGTCCAGGAGAAAACGAGCAATGTGAGAACACAGAGGGCAGTTACCGTTGTGTCTGTGCCGAGGGCTACAAACAGATCGAGGGCATCTGTGTGAAGGAGCAGATCCCAGGTGAGTTCCAGCCTGGCCCCCAGCAAACACCTTCTCCAGGCTGTTACATGCTCTGCCCCTCACCCCCGACCCTTCAGCCCCTATGAGGCTGCATTGAGACCCTAAGCCTACATCTGATCTCCAGAGTAGCTTTTGGTGTCCTCAGAGCTCCCTAGGGTAGAAAGACAGTTGGACTTGGCACCAAGCCACTATGCCTCCCCAAGCCTCTTTCCTCATCTATCCAATGGGGCCAGTTCTAGTCCAGGTCTGCTGAGAGCTATTGTGGGCCATGGTGTGGTGAAATGGAAGACAGTTACAAAGATGGCAGTAGTGATTACTTCCATAGTTCTTACCACATATGAAATACTGTTCCAAGCATGTTGCATGTATTAATTTACTTTACCTCTAAAGCAAATCCAAAGCTGTAGGTATCTTTCTCATCCCATTTTACATAGTGAAACCTAGGATGCCAAGAAATGAAGCAACTTGCCCAAGGCCACGTGGCAAGCAGGTTGCAGAGCCGGGAGTTGAATCCAGGCAGTCTGGCTCTGGAGCTAGGCTGGTATGCTTAACACATGCTGTCGCAACTCACTTACCGCATGGCCTTGGCCAAACCTCTTCACCTCCCTGAGCCTGTTTCCCATTTAGTGAGACAAGGATAATTACTGCCCCTCTCAGAGTTGCTCTCAGCAGTAAATGACATCGTGTGCTGGCATGCCCAGCAGGCATGTGGCAGCAATGACAGTGTGTGGGAGGCTCCAGGAATGGGGGAGGAATGACAGGTGCCTCTCTCATTCCTTGCAGAGTCGGCAGGCTTTTTCTCAGAGATGACGGAGGACGAGCTGGTGGTGCTGCAGCAGATGTTCTTTGGTGTCATCATCTGTGCACTGGCTACTCTGGCTGCCAAGGGTGACTTGGTCTTCACTGCCATCTTCATTGGAGCTGTGGCAGCCATGACTGGCTACTGGTTGTCAGAGCGCAGTGACCGTGTGCTGGAAGGCTTCATCAAGGGCAGATAATCTCTGCCACACCTACAAGATCTCCCACCCAGGCTGCCCGCAAAAGTCAGGCCTCTCTCCTGCCTAGACACTCAAGGCAGCTTGCTTTATTTTTGAGAATGGGATAGGCACCCCCTACCCACCTCTGGAGCAGCCTAGGCACTCAGGCCTGGGCAGGTGATGCCCATGGGGGTGAGGAAATAGCCCTAAAAGGTAGATGGCATAAGATCTTGGCCTTGTGGGGACCGAGCAGACTTCACAATGTGTGTGGATTTTTTAAAGTGTCTCCTTATGGTGGCTGCTAGTGAGCTTTGGCCTCTGCCCAGGATGAGCAGGGAGGTCGGTCCCTGCAGGGGAGGGCCCAACACACTCACCTCCTGCCAGCTGCATGCTGCCAGCCCCTGTTTGGTATTCACCCCACCACTCCCTCAGCCACTGATTTATTTATTCATCTCAGGAAATAAAGAAAGGTCTTGGAAAATGGAGAAACTTCAGTGTTACTACCTGCTCCCCACCCACCATGGGTTGGTCTAAGCTACTGAGCCCACCCCTACCCTTGGGGAAGTTTTCTAAAACCCCGGGAAATTGAGGGCTACCCTGATGGAGAGGTAGAGGGAGGAAAGAGGAGAGACTTGGCGCTGAAGTAGCGTTAGGAGAAGGGAGATGGATGCAGGCTTACAGGTGAAACTTTCTGGGTTCGTACCAGCTATTATTTGGGTCAGAGGACCCTGGAAAAAAATGACTTTCATCTCTGAACTTCACTATTCTCATCTATAAAATGGGCATGATAACGCTTTCCACTCAGGCTTATTATGATAAATAAGGTGAAGAAAGTGAAGAGCTGAAGACTGTACAACAAATAGTAGATGTTCAATAAAATATTGGTAGCCTTATTTCTAAAACTGCTAAAGGTCCAGTGCCCTTTCTTTAGGCAATCCCCCTTTATCCAACACATACTGGACTTGGAATTATTGGGGGGTGGGCCTCCTACCTCTCCTCTGAAGAGGATCCTGGCGTGGCCAGAGGGAGGCATGAGCCAAGTCCTAAGGGTTTATTTCTTTGGCACAAAGAGGACAGTCAATCTAGACAAGCGAGCCTCATCCCTCCACAATGGGATGTGTTTGGAGCACCTGAAGCCCGTTCCCCATACCTAAATCCATGCATGTCCACCCTGTATTCCGCATAAGTCACAGCCTCTGTGCAAAATAGTTGCTGGAAAAAAATAGATATTTAAAAAACAAAAAACGGGGGTGGGGTGGGTGGGAGGGTTCACTTTTGGCTGTCTCTGGGGACTACAATCAGGTTGAGGCCCCAGGATGCCAGTTTTTCAAATGCTCAACTGTCCCAATTGGCCATGCCATTTGGCCACCGGCCACCGAGGGTCGGGCCTTGGTCCTGCAGCAGCGTGGGGCCGGCTCAGAGCTCAATGGTGTCACTGGAAGCACTACGGGAGTCCCCTGGCTTGCAGCGAGGCTGGACCTCACTCAGGGGTTCCCCGGGCCGGGTGGGAGCCGGAACAGGGGCAGGCAGTAGTTGCACCGTGCTGGGCAGCTCATCTAGGGGCAGACTGTCCACCGACGACAACCCGTGGCGCCACGGGTTCCAGCTGATTTTGAGTGAGCCCCGGGAGAAGCTGTCCATGGAGCTACCAGAAGCCACCCGCTCAGGCTCGTCCACTACATGTGGTGGGACCGGCCCGCGCACGCGTACGTCGCTGAGCGACCGGCAGCGGCCACGGAGAAGAGAAGAACCCGCGCCTTCGAACTCCGCGTCGGGGTGGCTGCCCCGGCGCGGCCGCAGCGCGCCCCCAGGCGGCGGGGAGGCCAGGCCGCGCAGGCCGCAGCGTCGGAACACGCTGTCTCGCACCAAGTGCTCTCGGAAGAGCGCGGCGTCGATGCTGCGGCTCAGGTTGATAGGTGAAGGCGGCCGCAGGTCCAGCTCACTCATCGACGGCGCGGGCCCCACGCTGCTACGTGAGAGTCCCTGGCCATCCTGGGGACCGCGGCCCAGCGACGCAGCCGAGCCCCAGGCGCCTGGAGTGGGCGTGGCAGGCGGCCCCCCCTCCGCGGGGTTGCGGATGAGGCTCTTGCTGATGTCCAGGCTGCCTGCACCGACGCTACTGGGCCCTGCATAGCAGTTGTTCGGTCGCTCTGGCACCTCGCTTTTGCCCGAGGGCGCGGGACACGCCAGGCGCAGCAGCTTAGCCCAGCACGCATGCTCCGTGGGCGGCCTGGGTCGCGCGGCGGTTACAGCTGCCAGCGCCAAGGCGAGAGCCCATGTCAGTTCCAGCAGGCGCAACCAAAAATGGACTCCCCACCAGGCCCATGAGAAGCGGCTCACGCGGCCTGGGCCCGGGTACAGCCAGAGCGCGGCCGCCAGCTGTAAGCCGCTGGCCAGCAGCCCCAGTGCGCCCGCCACCGCTAGCAGCCGCGGGCCGGGACTGGCATCCCAGCCCCGCGGCCCATCCAGCAGGCGGCGACGGCACAGGCAGAGAGTGCCCAGAGCCACGGCTGCGCCCCAGGCGCAGGAGAAACCTTGAGCCAGGAGGTTGAGAGCCGGCTTCGCCGACAGCAGGTCTGTAACGAGTAACCCCACGCCGTGCGCCAACGCCACTACTCCCAACAGAAGCGGGTTCTGAAGTTGCTGTGGCAGCCCGCCACCCAGGCCAAGCAGGGTCAGGGCCGCCAGCGCAGTGAGCAGCAAGGGGAAGGGTAGGTTGTAGAGCACCAGGCCCGCGCGTAAACCCAGCCGCGCCTGCGAGCCGTATGGGTCCGCAAGCATGTAGGCAGATCGCAGCCCCGATGCTAGGAGCACCAGCACTGCCGCCACCAGCGCCAGCCAGGGCCCCGCAGGGGCGGCTGCCAGAGAGGCCATTGCCAGCAACGCCGGCAGCAGAAAGAGCACCCCCACGCCGTATACGTGCAGCTCCCAGGAAAAGCTCAGTACCCGCCGAAGGGGACCCCAGCGCAAGGGGGGTGCGGTGGCGTTGGCGGGAGGGCTAGAGGCTGGGGCTGATGCCATGGAGCTGGCTGAGGGCTCCGGAGGGGGTGGCTGTCCTAGGGCGCGCTGCGTGGTGACCCGAATGAGGCCCCGGCGTGACGTCGAGGGGGCCTGGACTGGGGGTGCTGGGGGATGGCTTTGGGGGCGCCGCGGCCAGTCCTCGGCTTCATCTGCAATAATAACATTAAAATAGCCCTTTGTGAAGTGCTTTTGATTTTCCATTATTCCCTAGTGTGGTGGGCCAGTTATTTAACTTCTACAAGCACATCTGTTAAATGGGGATGGTAGCAGCACCTACCTAACTGGATTGTGGTAAGGACTGAGTGTTTAGCATAGTGCCCATTACCCAGTAAGTGTTAAATGGAAGTGAGCTATCATTTTTATTAATATACCACCAGTTCTCAATGTGGGTTGCATATTGGAATCACCTGGAGACCAACTGAATCGGAATTCCTTGGGAATTTTTTAAAAGCTCCTTGGGTGAGCCCTGATTGGGTGGCTCAGTTGACTGGAGCATCTTTCTGTGCACCAGAGGGTTGTGGGTTCTATACCCTGTCAGAGCACATTCCTAGGTTGCAGGTTCGATCCCCAGTGGGGACTCATTTAGGAGGCAACTGATCAATTTTTATCTCTTACACGTCTCTCTCTTTCTCCCTTCCTCTCTCTCTCAAATCAATAACCATATCCTCGGTTGAGGAATAAATAAATAAAAAAATAAATAAGCAAGCTCCTTGGGTGATATTCCAGAGTTAGAGAATCACTGCATTAAATACATCCATGTTACATTTAGGAACAGTCTAGCCCCTAAAGGTCAAATGACTTTTCCCAGAGTACCGGGTATTGATTTATTATCCCAAGTTATTTGAAGGAGGTTCTAGCCAATTCCTTTAACGAGGTATTTGTCCTTATTCACTCCCCATCCTCCCATATTGACCTCACACAGGTCCTTAGTTATTAGACAGAGTACCCACTCTCCCCAAAACCCCAGCCATGCCCTCACCTGGCTGCAGGGCCCCCACAGGGCTCTCTGTTCGATTTGTAGCTGGGCCAGGGTCCAAGGGGCCAGGGATGAGGGACTTGGGGGTACCTGGGGCTTCCACTGCTCCTCTCACCCGCTGGGGGGAGATGGGGTCTGCTCCATTCATTGTTGCTATTTCTGAAACGACAAAAGCAGTCGTCACTTTGCCTGACCCTCCAGAATGAAAGAAATGAGACCCAGAGGGACCAGAGGGCACACAGAAACTGGGGCATTCAAGTGTCATGGAACACTGTCCCTCCCAGCCCTGCTCCGTACCTCACTTTGGTACCCACCTGGCTTGGGCTGCCCATCAGGAATCTCTGAGGCTGGAGGACCAGAAGGTTGGGGTCCTGGTGAACCCTGAACATCAAGGAAGTCGGCCTGCTTCGGTGAGGGACTAGGAAAACTGACTGCCCAGGTCTCCCCACCTCCAGCCTTCTTGGGGGGCTCAGCTGGCAGCTTCTTGGCAGGAGGAATACTTCTGGCCAATGCCAGGTCTGGCTGGAACCCAGGCTCCTGAGTGGATGCCACCTCCACTGGGGATACTGAGCCAATCTCAGAGGCTGCTGGATCCTGCTGGGTGAAGAGGGGGCCCTGAGCTGCCTCCAGGAGGTTTTTCTCACCCCCACCCTGTTCGTCCAGCACTGGCCTCCTTACAGTGCCCGGGTGGGGTACGAGAGTGTGGGGAGGACCCTGGTGGGCTGAGGGGAATGTCTCTGAGACCCTGGTCTTGCCTTCGGCAACCAGACCCTCATCTCTAAGTGGTTGCTGTCCCAGTTGGCCTCCAGGCTCCCCTGAGGAGGGAGGAACTGTGGCTGCCCTGAGTTGGAGTCTGGGAGTTGTGGGGATGAAAGTGAGGTGGGGGGGCCCCACTGGGTGGGGTGCTGGTGCATCTTGTTCCAGAAGCTCCTGTGAGTCAGGAGGTCCTGTCCAGCCCTGAGAACTTGGCCCTTGAGCCACCTGGAAGTCATCAGTTACTGGGAGTCCTTCTCTCTGAGCTCCCTGGGCTGCTTTAGGTCCATGCAGCGCTGGGCCAAGGGGAGAGTCTTCGATCCTCTCAGGCACCTCCTCAGCAGGGACTTGGGGGACACTGAAGTTCCAAGGGCTCTCATCTCTAGGCTTCTCCCAGAGGAAGTTGAAGGCTTTGGGCTCTGTGACAACAGGGCCCTTGGGGTGGGCTCCTGGGCTCAGGTGTGGTTCCGAGTCCTCCTGTAGCCTGGGAAGGCCCCTTCCCAGAATAGGGCCAGCCCCCAGGGACAGCAGCAGCAATAGCTGCAGGAGGCCACATACATGGCACCACAGGCTGGGGGCCATGATCCACTCTGATGCCTGGGCCTAGAACCCTCAACTTCCAGTCTTCACTGGATAAGCCTAAAAAAAAGGAGAGGGGGAATGACATGTGAGGGTTGGGGACATGTGGCTACCCCAAGGGGACTGGTGGAAAAGAATGAAGAATGACATGAAGCAGGTCTATCTACCCTTCCCCCCGACCCCCAACATTTCTCCCCTTCCTGTTCAATTCCTTTGTGCTGCCCAGAATGACCAGGAACTGCATCTCTGGTCATGCCACTTGTCCTGCTTCAAAACATCCAGTGGCTCCCCATAGCCCTCAGGAGAGAATTAAGACCCTTTCCTGGCCTTTCAGGGCCACACCAGGCTGCTTACCTATCCTTCAACACCTACTGGACTGTCTGACACCCCATGCCTTTGCTCCTGCCATTCCCTCTGCCTGGAATGCCCTCTTCCTTTTCCTTCACTCGCTGAAATCCTATTCTTGAAGTCCAAGCTCAAATATCAGAGAGGTGGAGAGGGAGAGGAATAGGCCCCTGCCTTTGAGGAGGGACCTGGGTTGAATCCCAGCTTTGCCAGTTCCTGGGTGAGTTACTTCACCTCTTTGCATCAGGGTTTTCCCCATTCATAAAATGGGTATAATAAGAGGACCTAACTTCAAAGAGCTCCTATAAGACTTACATAACAAAACACACAATGGGTCAGGCCTATGATAAGAGCATAAGTATTAGAGCCCTTTTACTTTCCCCTTTGTCCGAAAAGCTTTCTTTCCCACCGGCCTCCTTATTTCAACAAATAACTGCAACATATACAATGGGCCAGGCCCCGGGGATAAGGCAGTGAACAGAATTGGCAAGATTCCTGCTCTCGAGGAGCCGGCATTCTAGGTAAGGGACAAAAAATGATGTTAAATAAAGTGAGCTATGGATTAAGAGATAGAGGGATGAGGGACTACTTTACAGACGGGTGCCAGGAAAGCCCCTCTGAGGTGACACGTAAGCTAAACGCTGAATGAGAAGACGGAGCCAGCTATTTAAAAGTAAGGGGGAAAAGCATTTGGAAGAAGGAACAGAAAGTGCTAAGGCCCTGGTACAGGAATGAGTTAGGTGAGTTCAAGAAATAAGAAGGCTACTGTGGCTGGAGCTCAGAAAATGAAGGAGAAAGTGGCAGAGGGAGATGAAATCGGGAAGGCGGGGCTAGGCCACAAGGGGACTGCTAAGCCACAGTGAGGCACCTGGATTTTATTGAAGCCAATGGAGATGTTTCACAATCTAATAAATGTTGTAAAAGGGGGAAAGAAGCCAGTGCAGAAAGCCAGGTAAGATATGACAATGGCTTGTTTCAGCTTAGATATTTGTTTCTCTGGCACCCCCCTCTACGACTTCCCATCTCCCTGGTCACATAGTGTATCTCCTGTCTTCCACGTAGGCCTGGGGCTTCTCCAGGGCTGCACCTGCATCTTCCATGTCTTGTTTCCAGCCCACCAGCATGTGACTGGCCCCAGCCTTATATACCCTAAAAGTTCCTCTTCCTAAGAGTCCCTAGCTGAGCCAGGGAGGACCCCACAGCCAGAATAGGGGAGGATAGCAACTGAGAGCCCAGGCCTGGATATGTTTAGGAGCAGAGGCCCTGCTCCTTTTCTCTGGGAAAGAGCTGTGCCCAAATCTCCCTGGCTCCTAACTCTTGGTGGCCCACAGACACCTTGAAAAGCCAATGGAAAATCCAGGCTCTCTCACCAGGAAAATGCCCACGTTCACCAAAAGTTGTGGACAATTTCAGGGGGTTCAAAGATGCCTTATAACTCATCCCCCAAACTGAGGTAGACTCTGCCTTAAATCCTTATTGGTTCATTTCTCAAACATTCACCAATCCCCATGCTCTGTTTCTGGCCCAGGCTAGGTGCTGGGAAACCAAAGAGAAGCCTCAGTCCCACGGTCAGCAGTGGGAGCCAGCCAAGGGGGGCTGACTGAAAGGCCCCTGACACAGGTACTGGTTAATAACAGTACTCTAGTGTTGAGCTCCTACCCAGTTAGGTTCCTGTGCTAAGCTTAGCTGCATGCCCTCGATCTCATCCAACCCTCCCAGCACAAGCAGGTGTGTGGGAATAGTCATTTCACAGGGGAAAAATCAAGGTTCAGAGAGGTTGAGCAACTCACCCAAGGTCACACAGCCATACTAGGGGTTGTGAAACCTGCCAGTGGTTCATTTTGCACAGGGGGTCCAAAAAGCTTTGCAGAGGAGGAGGCAGCTGAGTTGGGCCTTCTATGAAAAGCATATGCCATCTGCTCACCACCCCCAATCCAAGAGATGTGGGCATCTGTGGACAAGTACGGGGCTGCCCAGCACTGGGTTCCAGCTACTGGAGAGATCTGGGCGCAGGGTAGGGGGGCGGTAATCTCCCAGCTTCAGGGACTGGGGAGAGGCCAGCTCGAGGGCAGCGCAGGGCAGCCTCCAGGAGCTGGCCCATCTCGGGTTACCTCTTTCCCTCCTCCTCCTCTCCCCTGGCTCCGCGCCTTCCCGCAGTGTCCCGGGTGGGGGTGGGCTCTGGTGCAGGCTCTGCTGCTTGCGCCCGAAACGGGGGCTGCAGGCCATGCTCCCTGCCTGGGCCCCGCTATTGCCCCCTCCCTCTGCCAGCTCCTTACCTGGGCGTCGCGCAGGCAGCCCCCGCGTTCACCTTGCGCGTGTCCCAGCAGCGCTGCCGCGCCGCATCCTCCGAGATGCTCAGACTTGGCTAACAGAGCCCGGCGCTGCCGATCGCCGATCCCGCCCACAGGAACGCCATCCTCACTTAACCCTTTCCCCTTAGGGGTGGATTCTTCTTCCAGTCCGGACCTCCCCATTCTCTGGGATTCTCAGGGCTAAGAGGGGACCGAGGTCATCTCCGAGGGATATGGAAATCCATTTCATAGCATCGCTCAAAATGAGGCAGCCAGTCTCCGTTTGCATACCTCAGGGGATGGAGAACTCACTCCCTTTCTGCTCTATTCTTATATCCTCACAGGGATACATACATACCTATAAGTAGATACAACTTGATGGGTATCCTTCAGATCTTTTCCAATGCACAGTCACATATACATTTTAAATAGACTTGAGATCATACTATACATATTGTTCTGTAACTTGCCTTTCCCCCTTCACTTTGCAATATATCCTGGCACATTTTCCATGTAAATTTCTGCAGAGCCATCTCATTTCTTCTATCTGCTTTTGAGAACTGCAGCATATGGTCAGCCTGTCATTTTTATTCCTAGATATGTAGGTTGTTTCTAGCCTTTTTCTAGCAAGAATAATGAGGCAGGGACCAATTCTTGCACAGATATCTTCATGCACATGTACTAGTGTACACATCAGACAATTTCCTACCTGAGGCATGTGATCTATGGATAGGCACATTTTCACTTCTGATAGACACTATCAAAATGTTCCTTGTTCCTCTTTGGACAGCTCCTGAGATACTAAATATCCACTACACTCATACACTGATATATCCTGGTGTACTAAATATCTCTTAATGTATCAATACATTAAGAGAAATCCACACAAAGAATATATGTGGTCACTAAATATGATATAGAATCTTTAAGACCATGGAGAAATTCCCAAGGTAGGTGGTTGTTTATTTTTTTAAACTTAAGTCATTTGAATTATAAAAATAATATATTCTGATTGTCCCAATTCTGGCAACACAGAAGGGTTCAAAAAACATGTTAACTGTCTTACCCTTGGCCTCTCCCACTCGGCCCCCAAAAATGTACCCACTGATAACATCATAGTGTTTCTTCTGCTTATAAAAACATATGCATATATGTACATGCACTTCTTACAAAATGGGATCATACTATGCATATTATTCTAAAACTTGGTTTTGCCCCAGGCAATATATGTGAAAACATTTTGAAGGCAATACATATTAGTTCCACCTTTTTCTTTCAACAAGCTGCACAGTATTGCATGGTGTGCATGCATTGTCATTTACTCAGACATTCTCAATATTCTCCTACTGATGGGTAGTCAGGTGGTTTACAAGTTTTTTCCTACTAAAAACAACACTCAATAAACATCCTTACATACTTACATCTTTACATGCTGACACTCTAAATATTATCAGATGATTAATTGTATGATCTCAATTTTGTTAATATCTGTCTGCCAATGTATCTTATCCCTGAATATTAGAAAGAAAATAGCAGTTGATGTGGTTTTTATCTAATTTTGCTTTTCTGTTTACCAATATTCTATACAACCATGTATTTCTTTTGTGATCAGATGTAAGAACAACAAATACCACTTTAAAAAGAAAGAAATTTTTTTCTAGGGTTAGGATGAACTCTTCCTCTCGGGTTTTCCTTCCTCTGGCTCTCACAGAAAAGCAGCTTGGGGATCAGTTGTGTCTGGTGTGGTATGTGGTTTGAAGAGTGTTCAGCCTCTCCTATCTAGTAATAGTGGAGCTGGAATCCAGCTTTTCTGATGCTGGGAGAGGGCTCTGGCTTTTCCCATTTCACCCTATCATCTGGCCAGTTCTACTGTTTTCCTTGTGGGGAGCTCTTCAGAATTGTAAAGATATCTCTCATTTCTCTAGAATTTCTCCCTCCAGGCCTAACACTCCCTGTTCTTTCAGCCTTTCCTCAAAAGACAGGATTCTGGGATCTCAGTATTGTAACATCTCTCCTCTTTTTGCTTCTTACTAGATCAACAACGTCCCCTTAAAGTATGACTCTTGGAATTGAACCCAGTTGGGAATCAAGCTGAACTTTCACTTCTTCTTTCTTAGATTCTACTCCTCGATTAATACGTCCTCACACTGAATTTATGTTTCTGGCAGCCACATCGTTTTGTTGCCCATTATTGATCTAGTAGGTTTTCCACATTTCTTTGTGTGCAGTTAGTTTCTTGACCCTCATTGTAGGAGTCTACTTTTTTTTTTTAAATGTTTATTTTATCTTGTTGGATCTAGCCAGTTGTTCTGCTCTTGTGGGAAATTATCTGGATCCTGGTTCTGTATATAATAGATAATTAGCATTTTAGGGCATTGTCCAATCTATTTCTCTTCTGACAGTATCCTAATTTCCTTTTGGGGGAACTATGCCTTTTCCCCCTGTGGGCAATCCTGGCGGGAGGACAGTTCTGGGGGCCCACGACAGAAGCTGAGGAGTGTAGATCCCTTCTCTCAGTGCCTCCTGTGAGCTCTCCGGTGAGCCTCCTTTGGGGATGTGAAGATTCCCTCAGCAGGCGCAGAGCTGGCATGGTTCTCTTCCTCAGTGTCACCCCATTCACGACCTTACAAAGCCTCACTAGCTTAACAGTGCCCCCACCCCCAACCCAGGCAGCACCATCCTGCTGCTCCCTGGCTCCCTCTTTGGAGCCAGGAGCCCCAGTCCCATTGTGCTTCCAAACCATCAGTTGGTAGAGGTTTTAAGATTCCAGACAAAAGCAAGAGAGATTATGATCCCTTTGGCCAAAAGCCAAGATGAAAACTGATCTTCAGGAAAGAGCGGACTGGCTGGGGGTGCAGGTAATGGTAGCAGGGAACATGGAGTGTCAGGTATGGGTGGGGAGTATCTTGGCTTCAGAAGGAGCTCCCAGCATCGTCCTGGGAGACTCCGAGACAGAGGATGGCCAGGAGATGATTCCAAGTATATGGGGGATGGACAGTATCTCCATTTACCAAGTCAGCCAGGAGCTATGCTACCCACCTTACATGCATTGTTCTTTTTAGGTCATCACAACCCTATATATTATTATGCTCTCCTTTTAACAAGGTGAAGCTCAGAGAGATTAAGTAATTTGTTCAAGGTCACACAGCAAATAAGAGGCCAAGCTCAAAGTCTGGCTTTAGAGCCAGTGCCTTTAATGGTAATGACACCATCCTGCCCCTCCTAAAGAACCTCAGAAAGGGAAGAGGAGATGAAAACCCCAGGCCTTCCAGGTGGCCCCTGCTGTGTTTGGAGTTCGAGTCTATGAAAACAGACCTCCAACATGGAACTCTGTTGGAGGAACTTTAACAGTTTTGGGAGTTGTTGGGAGCTCCCTCCCAAAAATAACTGGGAAGTTCCCACAGAAAGGGAAAGAGAAGAAAAAGGCTAAGGTGATGTGGCTGGCAGTGATGAAGTCTCCTGCTTAGACACTGCTCAGGACGGTTGGCTTACATTTTCTTCCTGGCTGGTGGCTCTGGAGTAAACAAAGAAACAAAAGGCAAAACAGGCAGGAGATGTGCAGCCTGGAGAATGTTCTCTCTGCTGTGCCTCCTCTCCTGAACTCTAAGGGCTTGGAGAGTCACATTCCTTCACTAAACTGGCCAAATTAAGCCTCAACAGTTCCTGGAGTCTTAACTCATTCTTTATCACATTTTAGCCTCTTTGGATACCAGCTAAATGAACTTAAATTTTTAAAAAAGAATTTTTTTTGTTAATAAATTTGATAATCTGATACATACTTTGAAATTAGCTGTTTCTTATTCCATTCCCCCTCACTTCCAGTTCCTTTCAACTCTTTCTGGTATTTCTGATTATTTCCTCTGGTTTTATATCTATTTTCTAATGTTAAGTGTTTTTTCAGTTTAAAATTTTATCTATTGACTACTACTAAAGGATATGAAGATTGAGCTCTTACATCATTTTCCACATTTTCCTGTACCTCTTCTGTTTACATAATTATTCTGCACTTACAATACTAGAACTGCAAAAACAACTATTCAAGCTGATTAAACAAATATTCAATTAGTATTCAAAACTGTACTGTAATTATGCTTCTTTTGAAAGATAGTCTGTTTTTCTTGGGGTATTCTTTTTTTATTTGTGCAATATATTTTATTCCCATTTCTCTCCCCTTTGAGAACCATCAGCTTATTCTCCATATTTCTGGGTCTGCTACTGTTTTGTTTTGTTTTGTTTTTGAGGGGGTCCCCATATAAGTGAAATCATACTTTTTTTGTCTTTATCTGTCTGACACATTTCACTTAGCATAATATATTGTAGATCCATCCATGTTGTCACAAATGGCAATATTTCATTCTTTTTTATTGATGAATAATATTTCATTGCATGTGTGTATCTTCTCCCATTCAGTAGGTTGTCTTCGTTTTGTTGATTATTTCCTTCACTGTGCAAAAACTTTTTAATTTGATGTAGTCCCATTTGTTTAATCTTTTTTTTGTTTCCCCTGCCCACGGAGAAATAGCCAAAAAAATATGACTTGCTAAGAGCGGTGTCAAAGAATTTACAGCCCATGTTTTATTCTAGGACTTTTATTGCTTCAGGTCTTATACTTAAGTCTTCAATCCATTTTGAGTATATTTTTGTATATGATGTAATAAAGTGGTCCAATTTAATTTTTTTCCATGTATCTGTTCAATTTTTCTAACACCACTTGAAGAGATTGTTTTTACCCCCATTGTATATCCTTGTCTCCTTTGCCATATATTAATTGGCCTTATAAGTGAGGATTTATTTCTGAGGTCTCTACTCTGTTCCACTGGTTTATATATCTTTTTTTTTAACAATACCATGCCTTTTTGATTATTGTAGCATTGTAGTGTAGTTTGATACCAGGGAGCATGATACCTCCCATTTAGTTTTTTTCTCAAAATTCCTTTGGCTATTTAGGGTCTTTTGTGGTTCCATGTAAATTTTAGTATTAGTTATTTTAATTATGAGAAGAACGCCATTGGTATTTTAATAGGGAATGCATTGAATCTATATATTGCTTTAGGTAGTAAGGA